GTGTGCTTGTTGTTGTGCTCCTAGATGATGTCGGCGTGGATGGTGCCGTTGCCCTTGCGCAGCCCGTCGGGGAAGGAGAAGAGCCAGGGCCGCGCCGCTGCACGTACCCGGCGCTGCCACGCGGCAAAAGCGGCGGCGGTCTCCGGGTGGAAGTAGGTCGTGTAAGGGACGGCGAGGTTGTTCCGATTCCATGGGCTCGCCTCGACGAGGATCGCCGTTATGTTCTCAACGGCGGGGTAGGTGAGCAGCTTGCTGAGTTGCTGCCCCACTCCCAGCCTTCGTCGCGGTGTCGCCGGAAGTCCCAGGTGGTGCGATCGGCGACGAAGAAATGGTCGCGGCCTCCCATGGCGTGCCATTCCAGCGGTCCGGCCGCCGCGTCAGCCACCCACTGAGGTCATCGAAGAGCGCGTCCTTCACCGATGCGTTCCGGTGGAAGAGGTACCTCCCGAGGCCCACATTATATTTGTGTGTATGATAAATGGGTCCCGCTTGTATTTTTTTTATTTTTATACACGAAAGCGCCACGTCAGCTCTACATGGAACGAAGACCAAGTCAATGCCGTCACGTATGCGCCACGTCAGCAAAACCACCCTACAAAACCGCCAAGGGAGTGATATTGCACCAGTTTTAATAGTTTGGGGTCGAAATATCCAGTATTGTAGTTTAGGGATATGATTTAGATTCGACCACTAATTAAGGGAGTCAATGTGAACTTATTCGTCCATTCTACTATCAGGCTTAAGCCCAAACCACCTACAACCTGGCTGCCGTTTGTGCTGTGGGCTGTGTCTATGCATTCAACCCACCTCGGTCTATCTCCTGCATCGGCCCACCAGACCAGACCGCTGCACCACTTGACCCACTCCCACATTCCCCCAAACGGCTTGAATTTAGAAGTAAAATCTTTGGATAGTTTCTTGTTCAAAATTTTGTTTGGAAGTTGTTCAAATCTCTAGGACGATTCTAACTTTTCCTTGTTTTCCACGTCTTTGGGAAGGGAGATTCAGCATTCTTGTGGGCCCGAGGTGGGACCGGACGAGATCACTGGGATTTTGAAAAGCGCAAATTCTCTTATCTGAGACCGGTCATGGACGGCAAGGATTTCTCCACGTATCCCCAGTTGCCGACGTGGACGGTCAGATCGAATTTTCGTAGCCGTCAAGAAGCCTCGAGCTATAAATTGGCAGCACGCCTGACGCATTCCTGCCCCTCCCTGACATCTCCTTCCTCTCCCCCTTCGCCTGCGCCTCTGCTCCTCGTCAGGTTTTACTTTTTCCCCTTTCCCCATCTCGATTTCTGATTTGCGTTTGATTCAACTCAAGTTTCATCGCTGAAACGCCCGTGTGTTTGCTTGCGAATCCCCTCCAGGTTGCCAAGATGGTGAGGTTTACGGCGGAGGAGCTCCGCGCGAGCATGGATAAGAAGGACAACATCCGGAACATGTCTGTGATCGCGCACGTTGATCATGGTGAGTGTTTTTCATCAAGCAAAATTTGGATTCGATCGATCTGTCGCTTTGGATCTCTGTGTGTGTGAGTGGGGGATGGATAGTAATGTGGATCGATGTGCGTTTTGGGGTGGGGGTTGGAATTCTGCAGGGAAGTCGACGCTCACTGACTCGCTGGTGGCGGCGGCCGGCATCATCGCGCAGGACGTGGCCGGCGACGTGCGGATGACGGACACGCGCGCGGACGAGGCCGAGCGCGGCATCACCATCAAGTCGACGGGGATATCCCTCTACTACGAGATGACGGACGCGGCGCTCAGGAGCTTCGAGGGCAAGCGCGACGGCAACTCGTACCTCATCAACCTCATCGACTCGCCCGGGCACATCGACTTCTCGTCCGAGGTGACGGCCGCGCTCCGCATCACCGACGGCGCCCTCGTCGTCGTCGACTGCATCGAGGGCGTCTGCGTCCAGACCGAGACCGTGCTCCGCCAGTCGCTCGCCGAGCGGATCAAGCCCGTCCTCACCGTCAACAAGATGGACCGCTGCTTCCTTGAGCTGCAGGTACGCACGCACTCCTCCTCTCCTGCCATGATGGTTCGCCTGTTCTGTTGTGTTCAACAACCTCGTGCGCGTGCGTGTGCAGCAATCCGGTGAGGAGGCGTACCAGGCGTTCTCCCGCGTGATCGAGAGCGTGAACGTCACCATGGCGCCCTACGAGGACAAGAATCTCGGCGACTGCATGGTGGCTCCGGAGAAGGGCACGGTGGCGTTTTCGGCCGGCCTGCACGGCTGGGCCTTCACCCTGTCCAACTTCGCCAAGATGTACAAGGCCAAGTTCAAGGTGGACGAGGCCAAGATGATGGAGCGGCTTTGGGGCGAGAACTACTTCGACCATACCACCAAGAAGTGGACGACGACCGCACCATCGACGTCGTCCAAGACGTGCCAGCGCGGGTTCGTGCAGTTCTGCTACGAGCCGATCCGCCGGATCATCTCGGCGTGCATGAACGACGACAAGGAGAATCTGTGGGACATGCTGACGAAGCTCAAGATCACGCTCAAGGCTGAGGAGAAGGAGCTGACCGGCAAAAAGCTGATGAAGCGCGTCATGCAGGCGTGGCTCCCGGCCAGCGACGCGCTCCTCGAGATGATCGTCTTCCACCTGCCTTCCCCAGCCAAGGCGCAGCAGTACCGCGTCGACACCCTCTACGACGGGCCCCTCGACGACCCCTACGCCACCGCCATTCGCAACTGCGACCCCAAGGGACCCCTCATGGTGTACGTGTCCAAGATGATCCCGGCGAGCGACAAGGGGAGGTTCTTCGCCTTCGGCCGCGTCTTCTCCGGCACAGTGGCCACCGGCAACAAGGTGCGGATCATGGGCCCCAACTTCGTGCCCGGCGAGAAGAAGGACCTGTACGTCAAGACGGTGCAGCGCACGGTGATCTGGATGGGCAAGAAGCAGGAGTCCGTGGACGACGTGCCTTGCGGCAACACCGTCGCCATGGTCGGCCTCGACCAGTTCATCACCAAGAACGCCACGCTCACCGACGAGAAGGCGGTGGACGCGCACCCCATCAAGGCCATGAAGTTCTCCGTGTCGCCGGTCGTGCGCAAGTCGGTGGCCTGCAAGAACGCCTCCGAGCTGCCCAAGCTGGTGGAAGGGTTGAAGCGCCTCGCCAAGTCGGACCCCCTGGTGGTGTGCACCATTGAGGAGTCCGGCGAGCACGTCATCGCCGGCGTGGGGCAGCTCCACCTGGAGATTTGCATCAAGGATCTCCAAGAGGACTTCATGGGCGGCGCCGAGATCATCGTTGGCCCGCCGATCATCACCTACCGTGAGACCGTCACCAAAAACTCGTGTCGCACCGTCATGAGCAAATCGCCGAACAAGCACAACAGGCTGTACATGGAGGCCCGGCCGCTGGACAAGGAGGACCTGCAGCAGGATGAACCGTCGCTGTGCAAGGCGATTGACGACGAGCGCATCGGCCCCAAGGACGACATCAAGGAGCGCGGCAAGATCCTCTCGGAGGAGTTCGGGTGGGACAAGGATCTGGCCAAGAAGATCTGGGCCTTCGGCCCGGAGACCAAGGGCCCCAACCTGCTCGTCGACATGTGCAAGGGCGTCCAGTACCTGAGCGAGATCAAGGACTCGGTGGTCGCCGGCTTCCAGTGGGCGTCCAAGGAAGGCGCGCTCGCGGAGGAGAACATGCGCGGCGTCTGCTTCGAGCTCTGCGACGTCACGCTGCACTCGGACTCCATCCACCGCGGCGGCGGCCAGCTCATCCCTACCGCGCGCCGCGCCATGTACGCCGCGCAGCTCACGGCTTCGCCGCGCCTGATGGAGCCCATGTACCAGGTGGACATCCAGGTTCCCAAGACGGCGGTGGGCAACGTCTACGGCGTGCTCAACAGCAGGAACGGCGAGCTGGTGGAAGAGAGCGAGAGGACTGGCACGCCCTTGTCCAACCTCAGGTTCTACCTCCCCGTCGCCAAGTCGTTCGACTTCACCGAGAAGCTGCGCGCCGAGACGTCCGGCCAGGCCTTCCCGCAGTGCATCTTCCACCACTGGCAGACCATGCGGTCTGATCCGTTCCAGGAGGGCTCCGAAGCTGCCAAGGTGATCACCGACATCAGGAAGAGGAAGGGTCTCAAGGACATCATCACCCCGCTCTCAGACTACGAGGACAAGCTTTGAGCTGCCTCTCTACATACGTATCCTAGTTTTGAGTTTTTGAGTTTTGAGTTTGGTCTAATTTTGAGTTTTTGAGTATGGTCTTGGTCTTTCAAATTAAGTGTGTCTCCTGTCTCTTCCTCTGCTAACTGTTTCGAGTCTGATATTGGTTAGCCAGCCTTTGTGCCAGTCAGTTTAGGATGAAATGGTGAGTTAAGTAGTTGCAAGTTATGTTTACCTTTCAGCAAATTTTGTTCTGAACTTGGTGTCATTGCGGTTCTGCTAATGCATCAATGGAAGTGTTAATCCTTTAACAAATGTTGGCTGCTTATGCTTATGTCTCAGTTACTATGATTGTTCATGATAAGAAATCAAAGAAGCTCGCAATCGATATAGTAGTACTGTATAACCACGCTGCTGCTGAGCGGCTGAAACACTGAGCAGATATTGCACATAGAGTTATCAATTTAGCCCTTAGGCAATTGTATCTGCAAATCGCTTCACAGCTTACTTTCAGAATAGAATCCATACACAGCTTATTTTCAGAATAAGTGCACCACGTGTATTTCGATGCGAAAACCAAATAAGATCATTCAGTTGTGGGAATTGAACAAATGACAGTATTAGTGAAGGCCCAAAGATGAACATACCCCCAAGATCTCTTTCAGCTTGTTGGCAACTGTTCTGAGATAAGGTGATGTATCATGATGCATCATCGGTAGGATTGCAAGTGGGATGGGTTGTGGGCCGTCCCGCCCCGCCCCACACCAGCCGCAAACTGCATGTGCGGGCAAACAGCAGCCCGCCCCGCACGGCTTGGCGGGATTGCTCAGCCCGACGGGCACCGCTGGACAGCCCACAATGTGCACATCTCTGTTTAATTAGGTTCATCAATCACACAAGCACATAACTACTCCATATCCCAAATTTAGCACATGAAAACTGTATTATTTTCATGTGAAAGTATTCTTTTTCAATGACATAACAAGTATAGTACTGAATAAGAACACCATTCTTTTCCTTCAACATCATGACTAAAGTTACATTGGTGCTTCATCCCTAATTATGAGAGATTTCTTTTTTATTAACTCGGCCAGCAAGAAAACGGATGTGCGTGCTAACGCTGTACCCGGGCCCTGTACACACTGCCCGTCACACCCTGGGAATTGGTCACACCCTGGGAATTGGTTTCGCCCGAAGCATCGGACCAAAGAGTGATGATGATGCATTTTCTCTTCATGATAAACCAACTGTCCCAATTGACAAAGTGACAAACAACTGCTTCCAACTCCATGAGCTCTTCCGGTCTTTTTCTATATTACCTTCAACACATTAAATTTAATAAAGTTAGAGCGGAGAAACTACTAATCAAAAATTAGAAATGAATTCATCAACCGACTGATCACAACGTTATTCCATATTGTAGAATGGAGTAAATATGTACTAAGTTTCATCAATTAAGAATGCATCCAAAATATGAATTAAAGGACATAATCAATTAAGAATGCATCCAAAATATGAATTAAAGGACATAATTGACAATAACAAGCAATTATCGAGGATAGTGAGATATATAACCTGCTGCTGGTTGTTGTGCTGGTACTACATGTTACTAGAGGTGTATAGGCATTTTCACCTGTATAGGAAAAAACAATGGAGTTAATAAAAAAGAGTACATGCTGGACTGTTGGATGTTAATAAAAAAGAAACAATGATGTTAGTGGTGTAGTATACAACTATACAAAAATATAGAATAGCCAAGTTAATTCAAACGAATCTCAATTTAAATACCTGAATGTTGCACATTTTGGTCATCACTCTCAGCAAGATCACGTGCAAAGAAATCACCCAAACCTTCTGCCCTCATCCAATCTTGAAGGCAAATCAATGCCTCTACAGTACTGCTCGAAAGTCTACTTCTATAGTCACTAATGATCCTTTCTCCAGTTGAAAATGCTGCCTCTGATGCCACTGATGTTGCTGGAATAGCCAAAACATCATGTGCCATTCGTGAAATCACAGGGTACTTTGTTTTGTTTACCATCCACCAGTTCAAGATATCAAAATCATGCCCATCTTGGAAATCACCTTCCTGAGGCACATCAGCAAGATATCGACTAAGCTCACTCTTTACTTTGCTCCTGCTTTTGTCATGTAGAAACTGTCTCCAATCAACGAATTGATTACTTGCATCAACATTCTGCTCAACACTTGTTTCGGGCTGAGAATTGATGTTGTTTGAGCCCCCATACTTGGCAGAATATTCATCAAACAATTTCTGCATATTACTCTTGATTTCCTTAAGGTAATGAGTTGCAGCAGCTCCAAATGCAGACTTCAAACGAAACTCAATGAATTTGTACTTATACCTTGGATCAAAAATAACTGGGAAACATATTTGCAAGTATTGAGCGTCCCAGTACTTCTTAAATTTTTCTTTCATTTCCTTGACAATAGATGCAATGGTGACATCTTCATTTGTAGCCTCCTTGTCCAAAACCATCTTTATCTTCCAAAGTTCATGAAAATAGCATGTTGAAGTTGGGTACAACGTACCAGATACTGCAACAGTAGCTTCATAGAAAACTTTCAACAAAGCACAAAGCTTCTCAGCCATTGTCCATTGATAATCGAAGGGTTGATGCAAATAATTTATGTCATGCCGATCCAAGGCTTCAAAGGCCATTCTGACCAATAAAGATGACTCGAGCATTAAGTATGTCGAATTCCATCTCGTTGATACATCAAGCGATGGTCGTCTGTTAGTTTTTATTCCCACTTGAGCAATCATCTCTTCAAACCTTTGACCACGTGATTGCGAACTCCGAACATATTTAACACTTTCTCTTATACTGTTAATGGCGTTGCTCATGGTTTTTAGCCCATCTTGGACAATTAGATTGAATATATGGGCAGCACAGCGGAAATGCAACAACACTCCATCACAAGGCAACATTGTCTTACCAACAAGATTGGTTTTCAGATGAGTCATCATTGTATCATTCACACTTGCATTGTCTAAGGTAACACTGAATAACTTATTTTCGATATGCCACTCCTGAATGGCCTTTAGCATTTCACTAAACATAGTGATGCCATCATGTGGGGTCGGCACTAGAGCAAACTTTATAATTCTCTTTTGCAACTTCCATTCATTATCAATGTAATGACAGGTAACACACAAATAGCCTAAGTTCTGGATGGAAGTCCACATGTCGGCAGTAAGAGATACTCGAGAATTTGAGCTCTTCAAGACATCAAATAAAGCTAACTTACGATCCTCATAAGCAGCCATACAATCATTTCTCAGTGTGGTTCTTGATATCACCTTAAAATATGGATTTAAACTTGCAACAAATCTCCTAAATCCAACATGCTCAACAATGCTAAAGGGTAACTCTTGGAACACAATCATCCTAAGAAGTTCTTTCCGTAACACTTCTTGGTCAAATTTCCAATTCTTCATAACATCAGCGGTAGGGGACAAGTTGGCATGCATATGCTCAATCAAATGGTGCATTCTAAGCCTGACCTTACAAACTTTCAAATGTCTAAGGCACTAACTAGTCCCAGAAGATCGGCTAGCCACGAAAACCTTATTGCAGTGGATACATTTAGCATGTGATAGTTTATCATTAGTACGTATTGGATCAAATTCTTTCCACATTGTAGATTTCAGTTTTCTTGCTCTCCCTGTGGCTAAGCACAAAAATATTGCTATAAATACACTAGTGACAAGTAAAGTAAAAATACTGCACTGACAAGTATTATACGAATATTATAAGTATACCAGCGACATTTCGACAAGTACTCTATGTTCAGTTTATACATATTGTGCAATTGCAGTACATGCACACAATCAATTAATATAAATTAATTCATAGACATGAATAGATTACTGTAACAATCAATTAATGGCTATTGCATACATATTATATAACTGCAGTACATGCATGCAATCAATTAATGTAAAAATAATAATTCATAGACATGGATAGATAACGACAAAAATCAGAACAAATAATTTCAAAGAAAAGTCAGCAATTTCTTACCGTGACTCCCACAAGGAGTCGCTCTTGTCTGATTTGTCATATCGATATCATTAGAAGTTGGGGCTGGTGATGGAGTTCTTTGCCTTGAAGAATTGATAATTGCCATTGGAGATCTAACAGATGGAGAGCTCACTTGGGACATCATGTGTCTCACCCTTGGGGACCTTACTAATGGCAAAATAGGTGACCGTGGTCGCTTGGCTGAAGGAGGATCTAAAGAAGACTTCCGCTTTGCCCCTAAAAGGGTTGCCTCTTCAGTAGCTTCAAACGATGATGGGGTCGACATGGAAGAAAATTTGTGCTGAAAAGAGCAAAATTGTGAGCATAGTTAAATTGTGAGCACTTATGAAAAGAGTAAAATTGCGAGCACTTGTGAACTATATAGCACTTCAAAAATCAAAACAAATAGACTATATATCATGAAGGGCAAATAATAAAAAGAATGCGTAGCACTCTACTATCAGCACATGTGCCTGATTGGTCCTCTATTAGAACAGTACTCTGATAGTCTGATTGGGCCAACAGTTGTGTAAGTGTTCTGTTTATTTCACCAAGATGAAATTCTGAATAACTAATGCAGATGCAGGGAAAACATGAAAAAATAATTATCCAGTGTAACATCTGGGGTGAATATTACTACTACATGTAACTGTACTTTATATACTATAGAACAAGAAAAAAAAAATCTGAAGCTAATAATTAAGAAATTAGTCTGAAGGAAACTTCTCTGAATGAGCACCTATCAATCTTGTTATGTCAAACCAGTGGTAGCTGATCATGCACCACATTAATTAGATTAAAAAAAAGATGCAATAGATCATTTGCAGACGCTGATGTCCAGTATAACAATGGCTAGATCACCAATCACACTCAAAGTTTAACATATACAAAAACAAATAGAGTGAGTGAGACAACCTGCTGCCATTCTTGGAGAAGCAATTCGTTGATTCACATAAATACAAAAGAAACACATGAAAGGTTAGTTTGATCTTGTACCTTAATTAGTGTGTAGAGATCTGGAGGCGGCAGCGCAGCGTCGCAAGCTGCAGGATTTGGATTGGATGGATCTATCAAGAACTATCAAGAACTGAAGTATGAAATGCACTGGATTCGCTATTTCGCTGGATCAGGAGACTGGAGGGCGTCTCCCAGTCTGTGCCCTAATGCCGTGGCGCCCAACGGGCTGTGCGGGATGGGCCAAACAATTTTGCAAGGTCCACGCAGGATGGCCAGCCCACAAATTTGCGGGCTTTTTTGTGGGGCGGGACTGCGGGCCGAAAAAAAAGCCCGCCCCACTTGCATCCCTAATCATCGGCATGTCAAGTGTTCTTGAGTGCAACAAAAAAAAACTGACTATTGTCGGAAAGGTAAATGGTTCGGTTTAATTTGAAGAGCTGCCAAGCCATGCAAAAAATTTAAAACTTTATTTATATCTATCAACTTGCACAATCTTTTTTTTATTTCTTTACGCAGCAAAGTTTCTGCTGTAAGCTGTGTAAAATCTGAAATTTCAACAGATAAAATTGCTTCTGTTAATTGGTAGTTTAGCCATATCACTACAGGAAATATCAACCTGCAAGATGTTAAGACATTCCTCTATGATAGAATTCAAATATTCAATAGCTAACTTGAAGTTTGTAATAGGGCCTAGGAACTAGGAACGCAACTACAGATTCCTTAGCAATTCTGCTGGATATTTTTTTCATGCTGGATTAGTGAATGATAACTATAAGTGTCTACGTCCTTTTCATGAGCTTCTGGACAAATATCAATCCAAAAGGAGAAGGAATAGAAAATAAACAAAAAAGACTGAACAACATACCTTCGGGGTATTCGGATATGGTCTCTCAAGTTTTGGAGGTATATTATCACCAAATATGGCAGCTTCTCGAGCCATCTCTAGCAAGATTCTTCAGACAGTTTCTTCCATATACATACCAGAAATCAACTTCTCGTAAATTTGGGAGGGCAATATCCTTATCCTGAGTCATTACCCACAAAAGGGCGAGAAACTACAGAGAAGTATTGTCAACCAGGAAGGATTTACAGTTAGATATAAATTCATAATGGTATACCCACAGAGAAGTATTGTCAACCAGGATCCCCACTCTAACAACAAAATAGAGGCATCAATTATTCCAGGTGTTCATTTAATTTAATAGTACATTATTACAGTTGTAGATATTACACACAAGAGAGCGAAAGCAGAACTCCTTTTTATGCTCTGAATTGTCATACACAGACACACAGAGAGGTTTACACAGTCAATTCAGTCCTCGAGATGAGAATGCCATCGGTATCTGCATAGAGCCACTCACCGTCGCAAATCCTGGTCCCTGCGATGGTCACAGGCACATGCTTCTCACCTATTCCCTTCTTGTTTGCCTTCATAGGATGTGAGTTCAGAGCCCGGACACCAATGTCACAGCCATTGATTTCATCCACGTCCCTGATGCAACCATTGACGACGATGCCAGCCCACCCATTGTTCTGTGCCTGCTGCACAGGGTTGCCACCCAAAATGGCACAGCGCAAGCTCCCACCACCATCAACCACGAGAACCCTTCCATGACCCTTCTCCTCAAGGAACTCACGGATAAGAACATTGTCCTCATAGACCTTCAGTGTCACAATAGGGCCAGCAAAAACCTGCCGCCTTCCATAGATTTGGAAGATGGGCTGGAGAGCACGAAGCTCACCATTCATGATTAAATCTGCATTTGCATCACATACTTCAGCGGTGGCTAATGGCAAGGCAGCCATATTGGCTTCGGTTCTGTTGTCATTAGAGGAAGAAAAACATTATTGAGCAAGAAGTGGCTTAGAAGTAAAGCTATTCAATAAAAATTTAACAATACAAGCTATTTTCATGATTAACTAAAATTTTTTAAGAAAATGCGCATTGAACTTGTATACAGCAAATGAGGAAGGCGAATATGATATGCTATAACACTATTTCTCATGCCTGATCTCAATGATGTACTTAGAACAATAGGAAAAGTGTTAGAGATTCCATTCAACAAGAAATGGGAGATTTTCCATGACTAAACTTATAAGCAGCATAACTAGAGAACTTTTTTATTATTATCACAGCAAGGAACAAAATAAAAATAAATATGGTGTTCCATCTTCCACATAACAACTAAACCGCCAAATCTATCTTGTTGAGAAGCGTTAACATGCTTTAACTAGAGGAGAAGTAACTAAAAAGGGAAAAGCACGTTTAAGAATGTGATCTAACATGATATTTCGTTATCCATCATCATATATCAGTTTTCATACATACATACAAATACAGTATAATACGTGATACAATGAGCAACCAAGGTGTGTCAAGTTACAAATGCTCTAAGCAGTAAGCACAAAAAAGACAGCAGCTAATCCAGCAACTAGATATGGAACTAAAGATTACTCAGTATCGTAGTTGCCATTTCAAGGAGAAATAAAGGTTTTGCTGTCGACAGGTCCAAGTCCAACCATACCAACACGAGACAATACCGTATGGCTTTAAAGGTACATCAGACGATCGATATTAGATACGATTTGGTCAATAGTATAACAACAGATCAAGAACTATCCTACGATTTCCTTTCATCCAGGACGTACAAAATGCAACGCAACAATTAGAACAACATGCCTAAACAAGGAGCAAACGGCTGAGAGTTTGTCAGTACAACACGCGGACTCCTAGAACTCCACCCGATCAGGCAGAGAGATTAAGCGCGCGGGCGCCGCTAGAAACCGCATGAACAGGAAACAAAAAAAAAAAAGGGCGAGGAAGAGGAAGATGAGGGGCGCCTCCCTACCTCGCTCGCGGGGTCGGATCGGCCGCGGCGGCGGCGATGTGGTCGGGGCAATCGGGTGAGGGATTCGATTAGTGGGGGTGGTTGGTTTGATCTGTCGCGTGGATGCGAGAGAGGAGGGAAGGAAGAGGGGAGGTAGCCGCGGCAGCCGGCGGCGGAGGGTACCCACCCAGTCCCAGCGTCTCCTCCTGCCTGCGGAAAGGGAGAATCCTGTGTGACAGTGTGAGACTGTGAGCTTTTTACGCACAACACCCTGTCTTTCACTAGTATTTCGCGGCTTCCACCTCCACTGTCCACGCCCACGGGAATGGTAATTATGGTTACGGGTTTGATTTGTCTCTAAACTGGAGTACAGTAGTTAGTTTGTGTCTTGGTCTCAATTTTGTGATATTTTTTTTTGACAATAAGTCACTAAATACGCGCGCATTTGCAAAGTTTGCAAAGCCGCGCGTATTTAGTGGCTTGTGCAGCTTGCTGTTAAGTCACTGATATTTAAGTCCCACTTTACTACGATCCACGTATAAGTATATCAGTGACATAATTTTAGCCTTTGGGTCTATCAGTTATACTTACCATTCAGCAGATTTCGCTCTGAACTTTGTGTCATAGCAGTTGTGCAGCAGCATCAATGGAAGTGTTAGTCCTCTCTATTTGTTTGCTGCGTGTGTCTGATCAGTTTATTTTATGATTGTTAAAACAGGTAGTATAGAACAAGAACTCCCTGAAAATGAACAGATTTCCAGTGCAGAGTTGAACTAACATTGCAGTACTTCATCAAGTACCATAAAAAAAACTCGTAATTGATATATAACCACAGTGTCTATGACCCACTGAAACACTGAACAGATATTGCAGATAGAGTTCATGTACAATTGACATTTGCAAAATACAAGATATTTAGCCCTTAGGCAAACTGTATAGCTGCTATTGCTCTAGAATCTCGTTTGGATGTAGAGGCCGGTTTAATCCATTATCTTAAAAAAAAAATTGCTCCAAAACCTATTGTTTATCACCTTAATACACAGTTTTTTTTCAGAATATTATTTTTTGACAGTTTTTTCAGAATATTAAGAGCTATCTGCAGATTCAGCTTCTTTTTTTTAGAATATTATGAACTATCTGCAGATTCAGCCTGGTGGTATTGAGAATAAGAGGCTGCCAGGAGAGCTGCCCCAACGCCTGAGCCATCATTGACATGCTTGATCATAACAGAGGGGGCCAGCTCCTGCCCAAGCATGTCACTCAGAGTGCTCTCCATGCACTGGCTGAAGAAAGTGTAGTATTTATAGACCCCTCCATCCACAGCAATCACGGACCTTCTCGTACTGGGGCTGTCAGAATGCTGACCAAGCTTTTGGATAATGCCATATATCCCAGCAGCAGCAAGCCGTGCACCGCGTGTCGCAATGGCCTCACAAACATCCAAAACCAGTTTCCTCGTCGTGAAAGAGGTATATTCGATCTGAAAACCAACTATGATCATTGTAGGGATTGAACAAATGACAGTATTAGTGAAGATAGAAAGATGAAAAATACCCCCAAGACTTCTTTCAACTTGTTGGCAACTGTTCTGAGATCAGATGATGTATCATGATGCATGATCAGCATGTCAAGTGTCCTGTAATGCAATGTAAAACAACAATTGTCGGAAAAAGTAAATGGTTCAGTTTAATTTGAAGAGCTACCAGAACATGCTTTAATTAAGGACAAATGACAAATTAGTCACATAAAGCCTAGAAAAAAAATTCAAAACTCTATTTATATCTATATCTACTACCAACTTGCAGAATCTTTTTTCTTGCTTTACTCAGATAAACTGCTTCTGTTTATTGGTAGTCTAGCCATATCTACTACAGGAAATATCAACCTGCAGGATGTTCTCACTTAGGAAGACATTCGTCTATTTCTATTATTGTTGGTACCATTTAGTTCTGTACCCAAATAGCGACAGACTTTATAGAATTCTAATGACTTGAAGTTTGTAATAGAGCCTAGGAAGGCAACTACAGATTCATTAGCAATTCATCCTTTTCATGAGCTTCTGGACAAATATCGAAAATGATTAATAAAAGAAAATAAAACAGAAATACTGAACAGCATACCTTAAGATGTATGGTCTCTCAAGTTTTGGAGGTATATTATCACCAAAAATGCGAGTTTCTTGAGCCATCTTTAGTAAGATTCTTCGAACAAGTTCCCCCATATACATACCAGAAATCGATTTCTCGTAAACCTGGTAGGGCAATATCCTTATCATGAGTCATTACCCACAAAAGGGAGCAACAACATAAGGGTAATACCTGTTTGCCAGGGTTCAAACTTTCTGCATCCAACTCTTGATCAAATTCAGTAAGTGGAAGATGTGAGGACTTAAAGTTACCCCATTCCATGTTTATTACCTTTTACCAAAGCAAAGAAACTAACAAATAAACACGTCAAAATTATCAACAATGCAAAAGTCCCTCTTATATTTTATTGTTGCCTTTTCTTATTCGCGCAAGACTACAAACAATATAAACTGCTAAGCATGATCTTTTGCATGCCTTGTACCTTGGGATAATGGGAGACGGACTAACTAGCAAACAGAACTACAGAAGTATGGACTGAAAAAACACACCATATTTCCAGACTTGGGCAGGGATCCATGCCATTTTGGAATTGCATCTGCATGATCTATGTACGCTGCATTACTACCTGTTCCCAGTATAACAGCAGCAATAGTATCATGATTCACATATCTCCCAGCAGCTAATGTCCCTACTGTATCATTAACCTGAAAGGGTAGTGTTTTACACTTCAATTTGTATGGCCAGTGCAATAAAACATGACAATAGCCACAACATTATCTTCTAGCAGTGTTTCTCCTATTGAGCATAAGATGGATATCAAAAGAAGCTAACCAATGCTGTGACTTTCATATCAAGTCCTTGACTTCTGATAGCCATGTTTAATTCAGCCACAACATCCTTGCCGACCTGCCTTCAAAGCAACAAGTAAGTATGTTATACACAACTAATTGGATATATAAGATATAACAGAACTAAAAGAGAATTCACAATTGGTGAATTTCCATCCAGGACGACATGTTTTTTTTTTAAATTCACAATGAAGCTGGATATCCTTCCTTAGGATTTTCATTTGGTTTACATATGTGAGGTAACAAAACTGACCATTTCATCAATTGCAAAACTCTTCGTCCACTTGATAAGAGTGCCAGATGCCAATGATTTTTGTTTCACTGGAAAGGAGAATGTAAAACCTAGTTCTCTTTGGGTACCCTCAGGAAGATGGCAGTCTTCACCTTCAGAGGCAACAAATTTTGCTAAAGCCACAGCAACAAAATCAAACAACTCCTAGAGCAAAATCACACCAAATGTGCCAGACTTAGTATAGAATCATAAAAATGATTGGAACGAACAAATTGCAGAAAGTGAGACATGATTTACATGTGAACTGCTGGACATTAAATGTTGTGGAATGGATATCCCTTCTGAGTCTTGCTTGATAATTCGACGTTCTTTGCCTCCTAATTGAACTCGTAAAACACGGAAATTTGTTCCTCCAAGGTCAAGTGCATAAAACATCCCTTTCTCACCCCTTCAATAATTTTCTAACAGATATCAGATTACTGTGTGCTGAAAATGCAAAATCCATGCAACGATTGAAATGTAAGATAGCCATGGATACACAGTTCAATAAGTCATGTCCATTTTGTGAAATTCAGACACAGACAGATGTAACCTCTACTGTTAGACAAGAGCAATAATACAGCCGTGCGCTTGCAATTGTACAAAATCTTTGTGTTTTTTCGCGTACACGCAAAAGGATTGCACGACAATATATTAGATACAATATCTTTGTGTAATAGCTCTGCCACACGATTGTGTCAGCATGCTTCATATAGCTTATGTTAGTTTTAAAGTCAGGACTCCCAAGTCAATTCGATCAGCACATCATATGCGCGTTTCCAGGATACCTCAAATCACATTAACCTCCTAGTAATGCAGGACAAACCATTCACTCCCTTCAATTTCATACGAAAGACAAGGAAGCCAGCCATAATATACCTCTGATTGACTTAATTATAAACATCAACTTCTAGACCAAATTAGCATGTGAAACATCCTTAACAAAATAATCCATTCACGCAAACCAGAAATTTTCGCCTACTGTCCACAACACTATCATCAACGCCATCCGACGTAGAAAGCGACATAGCACAAGCATTAAGTACAGAAAGAAGTCCCTCTCTTCGATCAGGAGGACCAATCGCTCTCCAATTGAATCGAAGAGGTGGGGTTTAGCACTGGGGGTGGGAAGGGGACTGGGACTTTTACCCGGAGGGGAGGGAGTCAACGTAGGTGACGAGCATCTGGAGGTCGCTCCCGCCCTCGGCGGCGAGCCCCGCGCGCATCTCCGCGGCCATCGCGTCCGCCACCTGCCGCAGCAGCTCCACCGGCGCGGCGCACCGCTCCTGCAGGTCCCGCAGCAGCACGGCCTCCGCGCGCTCTGACCGCTTCGCCGCCCGACGTTGCCTCTGGTGCAACACCGTGGAGACTACCGCTACTGCTGCTGCGGCCATCGCCGCGGACGCCAGCGCCGCCGCCTTCCTCATCGCCGACGACGTCGGGTTCGCTCGGCGAGACGGCGACACGAGTCAATAGGTCAACGCGAGTTCGGACTCATCACGGCGTTTGTACTGACGAGGTGGTGGGGTCAAAGCAGCAGTAATTGAGAATAAAAATTAATTTATTGGTAAAATTTTTATATATTTGTTTGCAACTTAAAAGCTAATATAAAAAATACGTTAAAAATATTTTAAAATTTAATTTAAAATTAAATTTAAAAATTTAAATTTTAACTTTTGTTTTGGTTTATTAGTCCAGAGGATGGGGCTCTTGGTATTGTGCATCATCCAGCCGTTGAGTACGCACAACGGACGAGAAAAAAAAAAAGAAGGTGATTTCGTTGGGCTGGTTGCTCCTGAACATACTTTTCTGAAACGCTGCTAAAGATGAACTCAATGCCATATAAACAAACTCAAGCCAATTAAATTATTAATTACATTGTCCTTATACAAATTACTACGGTAGCTAGGCGATTTTGGAACACTGACACGATGTGAACTAGACAATTACTACACAAAAGGGATCTTCGTGTCAATTCTAAACCACCACCACAAGCTTCGATGCCGGATCGACCGGCTTATTATCACCGTACTTGCGAACGAGCCACGCCCAGTACGCGAGCAGCCCGGCGACGAGGACGGCGAGGACGCCGGCACACGCCATCACCACACGCTCGTCTTCGACGGGAATCCCCAGGACGAAAGACGTCGTCACGATAGCAGCGCCACCGACAGCGCAGAGACCGAACATGAAGAGGTACTCGTCGGCGACCAGCGGCGCGCGGGGCAGGTACATGAGCGTGTAGAAGCGGATCACCATGGTCAGCGACAGGTAGGTGTCGCACAGGACGCGCACCGGCAGCCGCCACGGGACGCGGGCGAGGTAGAGAGGGTCCTTGGCTATGAGGGGCGTCAGGGTGTAGAGGCCACCGGCGAACATGCACGACACGAGGAGCAGCGCCGCTATCCACTTCGGCGTCTCCAGGTGCCGTGCGTCCGGGAACGCTTCCCCGATTGTCAGTGGTGGCGGCGGCGGCGGCGAGGACGGCAGCCACAACATGGATGGTACGGTGGCCTAGCGTTTCCACACCCCTCTCTTTCCTTTTTTGTAAATTGATGGTGGCTAACCTGAAGAATTTAGAGTATTTATCATTAAATTCGTGTGTCTTAACTTTTTTTAAGTCTAATTTCTCGCTAACCTGAGACGAGCTACTACTGTACACACAAATCCGTATCTATAAATACTACTAGTAGTATTTTCCTATCTGGTTTAGGAGACGTGAGAACACCAAAGTCCAATCGTATTCATATTCAAGTTGTATTCGTGGGAGATGTGTGTCCAAGAGCAAAAGAATCACTTAGTATTAGGAGGAGGAGCCGGATCTGTAGCTTGAGGCCTCCAATAATGCAGCCGATGAGGACCTGCGCGGCCTGGGGTCCTCGCCAATGTGCCGCCGCTGCTCCCGTCGACGCTGACGAGGGCTTCATGTACAGCTCCGACCATGATGTGTACAACAGTACAAGGTGTTCGTTGGGTAAAATTGGTGCATCATGATGCTGCTAAGTATTTATGTGAAGAAAATGGCAGGCAGGCAGGCAGGCCATCGATCCTCCATGCTTGATTGTCTGTACAAAGGGATCGATGCTAGCAATTTCACCACAGCAGGGCAAGTGGAGGATGGACGGCAACAATGGGGGGTATATTCCCTTGTCATGACACGCAATTCTTCACCAAGCTCGACCTCCGATTCGGCTATCATCGGGTCCGCATGCAGCTAGAGAACATCGCAAAAATGACATATTCTGCACACCCGACGGCCTCTACGAGTTCCTTGTGATGCCCTTGGGCCTCACGAACACGCCGACAACATTCCAAGCTCTGATGAACGAGGTGCTCGGTGAATAACGGGGCAGCATCGAAAAGCTGCATCCGCGCATTGGACAAATCTAAGAAATAATCAGAAAGGTTTCTACGAAAGCTCAACTCAAGCCAATTTCGTTGTCCATGCACGAGTACGAGAAGGGAGAATTTCGAAACACGGTGTAGCAAGATCAGATAATTGAATAGATGATTTTGAAACAAGAAAAAAAAAAGTTGAACGAGGAGCAGGTCGTGTCAGTTCCGATCACCCTCCACGAGCTTTGGTGCCGGATCGACCGGCTTGTCACCGTACTTGCGAACGATCCACCGCCAGTACGCGAGCAGCCCGGCGACGAGGACGACGAGGACGCCGGCACATGCCATCACCACACGTTCGTCTTCAACGGGGAGGCCCAGGATGGTAGACGTCGTCAAAGTTTTAAATCTCCGGCTAAGCCTCTTAGCTGCTGACCTTCTCAACAGCTAAGCACAGCTATAGCTGGAGATAGCTGCAGCTAAGCCATTTAGCTGTTTTTGCAAATAAATAAATAAATAAAAGACATGATCTTGGCATAACTTCATAACCATTACCAATTGATACATAACCAGTTCAAATGAGTACATTACAGGTTCACAGGAGTACATTACATCACAGGCTAAGTGGTTAATAGAATACTAAAACATCAGTTTCACAAAAGTACAACATTCTGGAATAAAGACAACAGTACAACACAAAGGTCATCAAGAATTCTGGATAGTGGATACTAAATTACTAATATGAGGCAATATTGCAATCTTCATTTCTTCTAGTCATCAATCATCGGTCTCAGAGACATAGGGAGAGGGAGAGGGTGACTTATCAGAATCAGAAGTCTGCATTGGAATACCATCATCACAATCTTCTGAGTCGGATGATGGAGCTTCAGGATGCACTGGGGCATTGCGCATCAAAGACTGTAGGCTTCTGACTTTCCTCTTCTTAGCGTGCACAGGCCTTTTCCTTTTAGCTGGTGCTGGTGCTTGTGGTGTTGTGTGCTGCTGTGACTCTTTTGCACATTGTTGATCCATTTCACTTGATGAAGGCACAACCCCAGTAATGAATTCATTGTCACCATCTGCCACAACATCATCCACTTCCTTCTCTATAGGATCTCTACCCTTGTTCTCTCTCTTATTTCTTAACTTGGAGTTAAATTTAATAAACACCAGATCTCGCATCCTTTCATGAAGTAGCCTGTTGCGCTTCTTTGTATGAACCTATAAGCCAAGTAGTGAACACAAAGCTGCAGGTCAGATCTAAATTCCATAAATAAGCATTATAATTCAAAATAGACAGCATGCACATAAAGCTACAGGTCACAAATTTCTTTTTACCTGTTCAAAAACTGACCAGTTCCTCTCACAAGCTGAGGAGCTGCAGGTCAAACTCAAAATCCTTGCAGCCAACTTCCTAAGATTTAGTGTGCTTGTGCCATGGTTCAGCCACCATTTTGCTGCATAAACATTACACAAATTACAACAAAAATGATATTCAGCAATAAAATTAAGTTCACATGTTGAGATCTGAACCTGGATTGAAATTTTTGTTCTTTCGCTGCCTTACGGCAATTTCGTGTCCAAAACTCCCATGCTGATCTTGATACAAGTTGAGTTCTTCAATTATTTTGTCTTGGATATCTTCATCATCAACCAACTTGTCAATACAGGAAATCACACCTGCTCTAAATGATCCATCACTCTCGATCTCTTGCTTATTTGGGTAGTAGTAGTAGTAGGGGTTCAAATAGTACCCAGCCAGGTGTAGTGGAGTCTTGAGCTTGTTGTCCCATCTTTTATCAATGATATCCCAAACTTCTATGAAGCGGCTCTTATCATTATCGAATCTCTGAGAAATTTCTTTCTTCGCCTCAAGCATTAAACCATGGAAGAATCCCATTGATGGTACATCGCTGTCCATTCTTCTCAACACGTTAGCCAATGGCTCAAAGTAATTAACTGCAATGTCAACATTTTTCCAAAAGGTTTCAGATCTGATCACTTTGCTGGCTTTCTTCCCCTTGGTCTGCTTCAAGTAACCCAATTGCTCCATCTCATCTGATTTAAATAGTCTTACTAACTCTTTTTTGTTGTCTAACAAGCTTTTTAGATTCAAATAAGCTGTGGCAAATCGTGTAACCCCAGAGCGAACCAAGTCTCTGTTAAGAAACTTTCTCATCAAATCCAACACCCTAGTATGAGCATACAAGAAAACAGTCACTTGTCTTGCATTAGCAATGGTTTCCTCAACTGGTCCAAGCTTCCCAATATCCTCGAGCATGAGATCCAAGCAATGAGCAGCACATCCATTCCAAAATATTGATGGTCTTTTTGCTGTCAATAGACTTGCTGCAATTGTGTTGACGCTAGCATTATCAGTCACCACTTGGACAACATGTTGTTCCCCTATCTCTTCTATGTACCTGTCCACAAGTTTAAAGATATATTTGCCATCTTTCCTGTCACCTGAGCATTCCACTGAATCTAAGAAGAGTACCCCATGAGCACTATGCACAACTAAATTCATCACTCCCCTACCCTTCCTATCTGTCCATGCATCTGTCATGATAGAACAACCTGTGAGCTCCCATGATTCCTTGTGCTCCTTGAATCCATCCATCACCTTTTCCTTCCTTTTCTGTAAGAACGATCCACTCATCTCATAGGGACTAGGCCCTTTCAGACTTCTACCAAATTGTCCAATGGCCTCTAACATATGAGCAAAGCTAGGAAGGGTTACTGTGTTGTGTGGAATACTAGCTTCATAGAACCACTGACATATGTACTCACAAGTTCTATTCCTCCTCTCTTCTCTTTTCTGAGTTGTCAATGCTGTTTGAACCTTATTGCTTAGCTTAATTACTCTTTGTGTCATACTGGCAGATTCTTCTATAGAAGGAGGCTTGTAGTACTTGTCAATAGTATGACCACCTGCTACAGATCTAGAGCTACTAGATCCTGTTGTCTCCTTTGGCTTCACCACAAGAACATTATTGCCATGATCTGAACCTTCACTGCCACTTTCACAATCTGAATTTTCTATGTCAACTTGAGCTCTGGCCACTTCCTTTTCTTTGTTTTTCTGTTCCTTTTCACTAGTCTTCTTGGTAAGCAAATCAAACATCTCTTGATGCACTGGACTTGGAACTTTCTGACACTTAGTAGTATTGAAACCTTTAATTCCAGCAAGATGGTACTTAATTCTTGTAATTCCAGCAGTGCAGACCTTGTCACAATACTTGCACCGTAGGTGATGTTTCTTGGTTATGTCTGGGCAGAAACAGTGAGCCCATGCAGGATCATCTGAGTTGATACCAGCTTGTTTTGGTCCAGCTTCTACTGAGACAGAGGCAGCACTGGACGGATTACCTATATAAAAAGCAAACTTAGCCCACATTAATGCTAGCGTCAAAGCTGCCTAAGCATCAAAATAATGCAAACTGATATAGCACGTATTATCATTACCACCTAAACAGGCGAAACAAGCAAACGAGAGATCTCAGGGAGTAAGAAAATAATTCACATATAGTAAGATCTACATCATAAGGCAAGTATCTGAAATTAGAGGTAACAAATATGGACAACTTGTTCACATATTGTAAGATCTGCAACATACAAGCAAAAAAGAGAGGAGGATGTGAGAACTGACCGGATTGTTGTGCCATGCCGTCACCTTTGGTGCTGCTGCTTCAGTGCTTCGGAGACGTTGCACTGACGGACCTCCTCGTCGGACTTGCGCCGCTGCTCAGCTGCCTTCAAAGCCGCCGCCGCTGGTTGGACGCCCGCTCGAAGCAGCAGCCGGCGCCGGTCGCCTCCACGAGCCACCTGCGTTGGTCGATCCGCTTGAAGCCACCGCCGCCGCCGGACGCCTCTGCGCCGCCGCCGCCGGCCGCTTCCACTTTTCTTGCAGCTGGAGAGTGAGCGCTTTGAAGTTGGAATGGATAGTGTGCTGCTGGGAGCTTACGAGCTAGGGTTTGCAGCACTTTACCCACCTCTCGACTCTGGTCTAGTTGGGCCGGTTTCCTCTTGGGCCAGACCGGCCGCGTTTTACAATTTAGCTACGCTAAATTACGGCCAGTTTAGCGGCTATTGCCGGCTAAATGGCGCTATTAGCGTCCCGCTATTCTTAGCGCTAAAAACTGCATCTCTTAGCTCCGTCCGTTCCCAGCAGCTATCTCTATAGCGGCAGCTATAGCCGGAGATTTAAAACTTTGGACGTCGTTACGACAGTGACGCCACCGATAACGCCGAGACCGAGGAGCATAAGATAGTCGTCGACGACCAGCGGCGCGCGCGGCAGGTGCATGAACGTGTACGCGCGGATCACCATGATCAGCGACAGGTAGGAGTCACACAAGACGCGCACCGGCAGACGCCACGGGACGCGGGCGAGGTAGAGAGGGTCCTTGGATACGAGGGGCGTCAGGGCGTAGAGGCCACCGGCGAACATGCACGACACGAGGAGCAGTATCACTATCCACTTCAGCGTCGCGAAGCCCCGCGCGTCCGGGTACGCTTCCCCGATCGTCGTCGGTGGCGACCGCCTCGGCGGCGGCCGCAGCGGCGGCAACGGCATCGTCCACATGGATGGGCTAGCTAGCGTTGCCGATAGATGGTGGCCGACCTGAGACGAGCTGCTGCACTCGTGGGTAAAATATGTGTTTTATGGACAGGTACCAAAGCACGAGTTCGTATCGTGTACAATGTACATTTTTTCGTAGCTAGGTAGGAGACGTAGAAACTAGGAACACCAGAGTCCAAATATATATTCATATTGCATATGCGAGATCAATCAAATTTCGGATTCGCAATAGATGCGTTTGCACGAGGGCATTATATGCGAGATCAATTTGCAGCTTAACTATGCAATACATATATAGTAGTACTACTAGATTAATTTGCAGCTTAAATTTGCGTACGGTAACCATTCAAAACAGGGACATATCAAATCGTAGCACCGCAGTCCTGATGCATGCAGCTAGCGCGTAGTGAGCCGGTGGTGCGTCGCGCCGCGCGGGCAGGAGGCTGCCGGATGGGGCCGTGTAGAGGTGTGGCGGCCTAGTTGGGCATCGATGACTTTTGCGGTCTGCAGCGACGGTTCGACCTTGCGTATTCCCACGTACTGTATGTTAGTAGTTCGGCCGGTGCTTTCCCGCAGCTCGCTACAACTGTGGGCCTTGTATTTTTCCCGTTGTTGTAAAGAATAAGTTCACATGAGGTCCTTCCATTTGTCGCCGAGTTTGAATCATATATCTGAACCACAATACCATATATATAGCGCATTTCCCAACTCCCAAAAACCAGTGTAAAAGAGATCACAAGATGTTTTGAACAGTAGTTTCGACTGACATGGTGCCTACGTAGCTGGTTTGACTTGGTCATCGTCCTACACGACAGTGAGGTGACATTAGAACCAAAACGTCTATATACTACTTAAAAAATAAGAGGTGCTTTCATCATCCGTCAAAAAAACCGGACAAAAAAACCAAATCTGTCCTAAAAAACCGGGCGGAAAAAAAGGAAAAAAAACCAAACCTATCCGATAAAAAAGGCGAAAAAACGAAAAACCGGGCGAAAAAACCAAATCTATCCGATCCAGAAAAAACCGGGTGAGAAAAAACCTAAACCTGTCCGATCAAAAAAACGGCCGAAAAAAGGTGGGAAAACCGGATCTGTCCATTAAAGAAAAACGAATCCGTCTCTGGGTAAGAAGAAGGACGACAAAAATTAAAAAAAAATCTGTCCGATTCTCTATCTCTAAACGAAAAAAATCCAACTCTAGATCTGATTCCTCTTTAAAAACGAAAAATAAAAGGCACCTCTCCTCTAGGCTTGAGTCCGAGATCCCACGCACCACTCCGCTCGGTTTTAATCTCCCGTGATATCCCATACATCTTGGTGAAAAAAATTGTTGCGTCGGATTGGAGATCTGTTTGCAAAAACGGAACCTACATGTCGAGAGCATTCTATTTTTATATGATTTTAATTTTTGGGTATGTACTTTTGTATTTGAGTCCCTGTAATTTTTATATTTACATTAGTCCCTATAATCTTGCAATAAGGTATTTTGAGGTCGTTTTTTAAAAAAATAATAAAAGGGAGATAACAAAAACAGAAAGGTGCATAAAAAGAAAAAGAAAAGCCGCAAAAAAAGGAAAAAAGAAAAACAACAACAACAAAAGTCTGTTTCCCCTAGATGGCCAAAAAAACCATAGATCCGAAACAAAAAAAATCATATTCCTATAAAAGGCAAACAAAAAGTGGTGAAAAAAGCTAAATCCAATTCCTTTAAAAACGGAAAAAAGTCAAATTCCTATAAAGGCGAAAAAAAATCTGAAAAAAAAATATCTAAAAAAATTCGTCCGATTCCCTAAGAAAGTGGCAAAAAAATGGTTCGTAAAAAATAAAAACTTGGTTCGTATGAATTAAAAAATGCTCGCGAGAAAAAAAAATAGAATGGGTGAAACAAAGTCTGATTTCTAATCAGTATATATCTCTTCTCTATCTCTAATCTAATCTAACTATTTAAAAAGAGAAAATGCATGAGAAAATAAAAACGGTTCAAAAAAACGCGTGAGAAAAAAGTCAGAAAAAAGCGCAAAAAAGAACACTCTAAAAATGTTTTCCATCTTCCATAAAAAAAATAAAAAAACGTGCGAGAAAAGCTATTTCCATCGTCGGTAAAAAATTTTTTAAAAAAAACATGCAAGGAAAAAACCGCCAGAAAAATGTGCCATTTCTAAAAAATGGTTTGAGAAAACATCGCAAGAAAAAAAACGCCATCTATTAAAAAAACAAATCGCTCTGAAAAAACTATTAGAAAAAGCTAAATTGATGGACACTTGAGTCAGATAGAATCCATCAATTTTTTGCCACATACTACACGGCTTTTATTTCGTCATATATTCTCCTGTATTGGAAAAAAGCAAAAAGGAACATTCGAAAATACAAGCAAAAAAAACATGCTAAGAAAAAATATTAGAAAGAAATACGGCATTTCTAAAAAATGGTTTGAGAAAATCGCGAACACCGTTTATAAAAAAAACAAGCCGCTCATTAAAATACAAACACTGTCATTGAAATCATTATGCATGAAAAACGTATATTATGATTAGAATTTTTTCGCCCGTTGCAACGCACGGGCATTTTTGCTAGTAAAAATTAAAATTAAAAGAAAATGTGGACCCCTTCTCGAGCTCCCTCACGCCATTGTCGGTGCCAGGGACGGCAAGGCAACGGTGCTAGCCGTCGTGGTTAGCCCGCTCACCGTGGCGGCGCTGCTCCCGGCGTTGACCGGCCGATATGTCTGCGGGTCGATGCCTCAACTCAGGAGCTTGCGCTTGATGTGCATGTTCCAGTAGTTCTTAATCTCGTTGTCCGTCTGACCGACGGTGAGCGAGAAGGAGGCGGCGGCGAGGCGGACAGTGATGGGCACTTGGACAGAAAGGGAGAGGAGGCGGGTGCAGGTGGGGAGGAGTGGGGTCAGGGCCGAGAGCTAGAGGACCGGGTGTTAACAACGGAATTTGGCATCAGATTTGGAGAAGAAGAAAGATCGAAGCGGATTAGGTGTAAAATCTAGTTGATCTCTAAGTCAAACTGCACATCGGTTGAATATCGGTTGAATATCGTATCGGCTAAACACTAGACAAAGGCTTGACTTGGCCGATATGGCAAGCTGCCGATATGGTATAATCTAGGCTCGGCATAGGCCTAGATCAAGATAACTGTCATTGTCAATCAGAGATAGAGCTCGTGTATGGCAATTGTACCTATTAACTAGGTTAGTTATGTCGGTTTGAGTTAGATTTGGCAAGAGACCGCTGTATATGGTCTTGTTTGTATTTTATCTTTAAAAATGTTTGAGTCATGTCCATAATGGACTATTTTGTACTCGGGATATAAATATGAACCTTATAGCATTGTAATACGAGGGACAATCCAATACAACTTCGGCGCATCACCACCCTTTTACTTTTCGACGAGTTCGCTTCGCAAGAGGTAACTCGTCTCGATGGCTTGTACTATCGGAGCTACTATGTCGTTTTAGATATTCTAGTCCTTGTATCATAACCATTGTTATCATATGTCTTTGTTATTCTAGTCTTAGCATATCAATTTAGCTCTATCGGCTGCTTCTTGCTTTAGGATTTCTGCCAGTATTGGCTAATTCGTCTTACTAGATTAGATTAGCTTAGACATCTACCATCCTAAAAATTCAGTCAACGACTTGATTGTCTAGATATCATATTTCTTTTCATACTTAGTGCTGCATTAGTACATTCGACCTACTATGTCGTGTTCAGAACCATGATCTCTAGCTTGCTTCTTGATTGTTAATAAGGGTAGTATCGAGGTTTTAGCCGATCTTACCTAATATACATGCTTCTTTACTAAAGTTTTATGTATATTTGCCACTTATATAGATAGATCTCCCTATACAGTTATATCAAGCTAGATTGGTATCGGCTGGGCTATCTAAACTACTAACCAACCACAATTTGATATATTTATATAGATTGATCTGCCTATATAAGCCTGTACTAGAGTATTAGCTAGTATATTATCTCTCTTACCCTAAATATTGTTCCATCGGCTACTTTTATAATACTATCTTAAACTTCTTTATTAAACCTGATAGACAATATTACAGCCGATGAGGCATGTTTAGGGTTTAATATTCACCGATCTACCCAGTCTATAGCCGATTTGGTCTAACTACATCGGCTGAGACCACCAACGATATGCTATCGGCCTATTGGCCGATCGACTGTCGGCTGACTAACTCTACTTTTTGTCTTTCTTGCTAATTGCAGGACCAAATCAGTTGGCACGCCTTGACACACTTAGGCTAGCTTTGGACATGCACTGAAGTTAAGCAGATCTCCCAGGCCACCGTGTTTTTACATCAACACCGGGGCAAGGAGGGTGGTGAAAGTTTCATTGCCGACGGAGGAGTCACGGGCGGCACACCATCACCAAGAAGGACTCGAGGCCGATGAATGCAGCCACCGTGGCGGCGAGCGTGAGCAAGAACGAGACGAGGAGTAAGGGGAGGAGGAAGGGCTCGAGCCATGGTTGGTGGTCAGTGAGCGAATTGGAGCGGACGCCACTCGTATTCCTGTCAGACATCGACTTTAGTCTTCACCACGCTGATTTCTTCCTCCAATGGCTCTTCTACCTTTGCCCGTCGACTTTGATATCCACCGCGCTGATTTTTTCCTCCACTAGCTCCTCCGTGCTATTGATTTGCACCGCCACCGCCGGCCTCTCTAGCGGTGGCCAGCTCTAGGATTCATCATCGCCGGTGGTGAGCGCGAAGTGGCGCGGGGAGCCCTTGTGCTCGCAGAAGACACTGCAGGAGGTGAGCAGGCGGAGGAGGCGCTCGAGGACAAAGGGGTTAGGGTGTCCCGTGGGGAACGGGGCATTGGCACCTCTAGCCCAGAGCTTGGCTGGGACGTCAAGGCGGATGGCAGCGGTGAGCGCCATAAGGACGGAGATCATGTTCACCAGCTCCATCACCGTGAGGCAGGCGTCCGTCGGGGAGAGATCACCATCTCCGCCAGGCGTTGCGCCATTTTTGAAATTATCACTGTGAATAATTTGGTCGGAGCTCGCCTCTATCCTCTTCTCCGTCGCCTCGGAACGTCATGGCTCCCTCCTCAATAGACACCTCCCGCCAACCGCCGTCGCTGCCTTCTTGCTGGCCGCCGTTGCCACTGATTCCTCATTGCGAACAATGGGAAGGAGGAAGTAGAGAGGAGAGAGGGGTGAGGTGGAGGAAGTGGGACCACCGACATGTGGGTCCCACTTCCTTATTATGTTTGTATTGACTAATATATGGGCCCATATATTTTACTCTTATTTTAATTTTTTTTTAATCTTGATTATAACGCCACGTGAGACGATAACCTAGTCAAACCATTCACGTAGATACCATGTCAACTGAAACCGCCATCCAAATCATCTTAGGGTCTTATTTCAAGTGGTTTTGAAAGTTGAGGGACGTGTTATATCTGGTATTTCGGTTTAGGGATGAATTTCATATTGGCTGACAAATTGAGGGGCCTAAAGTGAACTAGCTTATCCCGTTTCTGTAATGCTGGTGCTGCTCGTTGGCCCAAATGAGCGGAAACGTGTCGTGACTCGTGAGCCGCAACTTGGTCCAGCCAAATTTCACTTTTGGCCCAGCAGCAGAGCAGACTCGCTCCCACACCACAAACAGCCGCTCTTCTGATGTACACTCACTCTATCAGATGGCGGCATGGTGCATTGCTGGCATGGAAGGACACACGCTTCAGGATTTGTGCTGCGTCTTATGGCAATAACAATGCTGCGACGACGGCGTCGTTAGGCGATGGCATGCATTATTTGCTACTCTCTCCGTTTCACAAATATAAGTCATTCTATCATTTCTCACATTTATATTAATGTTAATTAATCTAAATAAATATATATGTCTAGATTCATTAACATAAATATAAATATAAAAAATATTAGAATAACTTATATTGTGAAACGGAGTAACTACTTTAGCTAGCGCGCGCGAACAAGATGAAAAGGCAATGAGACAGTGCAAGGTGTTGTGATGAGGATGATTCAATCTAAAACTTGACGACGACAAACTAATTGACCTGCCAATAAGATAAAATTTTTAGTGCCAAGTCAATAGATTCACCTTAGTACACGGCTATATGTTGGGGCGACCCAGCACGCGCGATGTCATCTTCCAGTACCGCATGACTATTTCTTACACTTCTGAGACCATATATATACAATCGTGTCACACACACACGTACGTTTACGCGCACTCACACAGTCATAGTTGATTTGCACGCTTGCACGGTACATATCATGACGTCTCGTTCCGTCACTAGCTAGCCAATGCAGCATACTTATAACTTAATTGAGATAATTCAATTACCACTTTGCTAGCTAGACTAATGAGATAAGCAAACATTAATTTCTTCTTATTAATCCTAGCTAGTAGTACAGCATCTCTTGCGACAGCATGACATCGTCGAAGGAAGCTGCAGAGCCGAGCAGGTCTTGGAACGAGCCACTACCGAACGCGTGAGAGCCGAAGAACAAGCCGCTGCTGCTGCCGCTGGACTCCGACAACGGCGGCATCATCGTACTGTCGTGCACGTCCACGGCCGGCCACGGCAGGTTGCTGCTGCTGCTGCTGCCGTCAGTACTGCTGCTAGCGGTCGGACTTGTCGTTCCCGTCGACGGCGACGACCACGACGTCGTCGTCGTCGCCGCGTCGACGGCGGCGGCGGTGATCGTGGAGTACTGCTGCTGCTCGATGAGGCCCATCAGCTCGGCGTACAGCTGCTCCGACTTGTGCAGCAGGAGCTCGTCGTTGTCGCCCACGGCGCCGTCGAGGCCGGCCGCGTCGAGGTTGACGAGGGGCGCCGGAGGAGTAGGAGGAGCGGGTTGGCTGGAGGCTTGTGTCGTTGGGTTGTTGTCATCGTCGCCGGCGGCAGGAGGAGGAGGAGTGGTTGCTTCTGTTGCGGCCGCGGCCAAGTACCTCTTCTTGAGCTTGGTGTTCCAGTAGTTCTTGACGTCGTTGTCCGTCCGGCCGGGGAGCTTGGACGCGATCACCGACCACCTGTGCACATCCACGGCGACGCACGCAGAAGTATAATCAATATACTCGCACAGAGGTAGAGGTCATGTGAATGCAGGTAGACTAGAGCGCACGCATGCATGCACGTACTTGCTTCCCATTTCGCCGTAGAGCGACAGGATGAGGTTGTCCTCCTCGTCGGTGAAGCCGCCGTGCCGGATCGCCGGGCGGAGGTAGTTGAGCCACCGGAGGCGGCAGCTCTTGCCGCACCGTTTAAGCCCTGACGATGACAATCAAATGGCAACACATTAACGACGTCATCCTTACGTGTGCATACGTACGAGCGAGTTATCAGTAAACTCACCCGTCCCTACGCTGACAGACCGAGCTAGATAAAGTCACAGAGAGAGATACAAGTATACAACTAGCAATATTTCAGAGAAGCTAAGTACTCCATATACTACCAAGCTGCCGTTAAAAAGTTGCAAGTGACAGAAGCCTTTGACCACTGTTCATCGAACCACGCACGAACTCGTCTAGGACTCTAGCGTAGCACACGGTTTTCAAAAAGAAAGAAGCAGCGGACGCATGCAGACGCGCACCTGCTTTGTGGGGCAGCGCGATCCAGTTGCCGGCATTGCCGAACCTCTCGACGAAGCTCCTGAGTATGGCGTCCTCCTCCTCCGACCACGGCCCCCGCTTCACGCTCGCCTTGTCGCAGCACGGCGACCTCCCCATCGTTAAGTTCTCTCTCTCTCTCTCCCCACCACCACCACCGCTCCCGATCGAGCACTTCGCCTCACCCCACTCTGATCAGAGGAAGAAGCGAAGCGCGGCCGTGGTTGGTGAGGCCCCGGCGAGGCCGGGGGTTTATAACGAGCACAGCGTCAGCGTGTGGCATCGGGAGCGAGAGCTGAGAGCAAAGTTGACCTAGCTAGCGCTCGCTCGCACACACACACATCGCCTCTCACATCGCGAGACGTCAAGAAAAGCCATAGAAAACTTCAACCACCACCACCGGTCAGCTTCGTCTCTCTGTGTATTTTACGAGAGACACCGATGGTGAGACAACCGTGTCTTTCGTTGTTGTCTTTAGGATGGAATAAATTAAAAATGAGATGTCTAGTTTTTTTAAGAATGATTATAATTGTACTTAGTCCGTCCCTGTCGCCGACTAGTTATTTATTTGAGTTTGCAGGATTTAATTTCAAGATCGACTCGACGGTTTTTTCTTGTAGGGAAGGTGTATGTGCGGCATAGAAAAATGCTTTGGTCAAGCGACAGAAATAATGTCCATGGGCGGGCGCTTGCTTGTGCCCTCTGATCAGCGATCATATATTCTACAGGCCTAGGAGGACCTAACTTGATTATAACTTGGCAACTACCGCAGTTCGTCGTACGTATATGCTCCTATCTAGATGAGCATATAATCCATTGGACGTTGCAACCAATTTTTATAACCAGTTTTATATTTTTTTTCTTGAATGGTAATTTTGACTTCCAACACAAGAACGCTAGTTCCAGTGATCCAGTCTGATGTTCTTCTCGGCCACATGATCTTTTCTTCTGGGGATAACTAAACAGATGCTGAATTAGCTGCATGCGTATTAGACTTCCAAACTGTTGTCGAATTATTCAGGAAACAAAAAAGAAAAGCTGAAAAATAGTATTTGTTTTTCTTTTCCGTTTTCCGCTTGTATTAAGATTTTAAGACTATTACTACTTTTTTTTTCTGAAATGAAATGCAGAAATGTGGTAGAAATGGTCAGGTTCAGGTTCAGTAAAACTACTGAATCTGAACTGGTCTTTCCACTCTCCGCTACAAGTAAAGCCAGCAAGATAGCAAGATAAGTGACGCTTGCTTGCAGTCAGTGCCTTTTCGGTAGTGTCCATCGTCGTAACTTCGGTCTACGATGAGCAGAAATAATGCATATGTGCACTTGATACGGACATTAAGCACGTATATTGGTAATGTCGCAAGCCAAATGACTACTGTAAACAATTGGAAGGATTAATTAATCTCTGTTGATCTGGTCTCTGTGAAACGAAAACAGTAGCATCTGATGACCTACGTGATTATCGTCATCTATATGCTAGCTCTACGTATATCTAACGTAGTTGGAGAAGTTCGTCAGGTAAAATGGGGACTGACTCCGGTCTGGTCCCGTTAATTTCATCAATCGATATTGATCTACTAGTAAAACATGTGGTGCATGTTAAAACATTTTCTGCTGCTGTGTTCTTCCTTGAAGTGATCCGTAGCTGCAAGAGTAGAATGTTCTGATTAAGATTCTTACGGTTCCTTCTCCAATTGGTTGATGCAATGTGTTTCATCCACACACATAAACATAGAGTTAATCAATAACCATGCATGTTGCTTGTGTAGTTTGTATATGCTCATGCACACTAACCATATCTGAATTTTTAGTTTAGTAGATAGATACGAGAATATAGTACATACATATGTGAATGCTGTATGCACGCACGCAAGCGATTGTAGTGCATGTATATATGGATCCAATTATATGCCCTGCGATTCCTGACCTTTCTCACGCGCACATTATTGTATACACTGTCTGAGATTTCTGATGCATTTGCTGTATATCTAAAACATTTTGGTTGATCATTAATTAGCTGTCTTCTTGTAGTCTCTTGCCTAACATCGAACTTCCAAGCTGCTTCATCGTACAGGAATACAGGATGCTGCTAGCTGTTGCGGCGCATGACCAATATGCAATTAAAAAAATGGTAGAATCTCTCTAATCTCTAATCATGGTTATTGTTTTGATTCAGAAACCGTACAGGAAACCTATGACAGTTCAACTGCTGAAGATGTAAAAAGAAAAAAGAAAATTCCCATTTGACAATGCTATCCGAAAATAAATCAAAATCTTACCGGATAATGCTTCCAGCTGCTGGGTATATAATGTGGACCGTCCAAGTGATAAGAACATGAAACAAATCCTTAACAGGATACAAGCAAGTGGCCAATTTGAACCGAAAAGTTACTTTCCAGTTAGATAGATAAACAGAGCATGTTGAAAGCATATAATCTGTTTCCACTATCTTGCCAAAAATCTGCCAGTTTTTTACCTTTTTTTAACAAACTGGTCCCTTTCAAAAACTTATTTCGAAACTAGTCCCTGCAAAAAACTTCAACCAAAAATAGGCCGTGAACTCAGCGCCATGGACCTTGGCGCTGAGCTATAACGTCTCAGCGTCATCAACGTTGGCGCCAAGCTCGAATCTGAGGTGGCATAAATTTGTTGAGTTGGCGCTGGGGTCCTAATGATTTAAATTGCTGAGGAGGCATTCAGCTTCAACAACCCACCGATAGCATAGTGGTAGCATGATTCTACTCTAATCCTATGAAGCAGGGTTCGACCTCCCATCTCCCCCAATTTTTTTTTCTTTTCTTCTTTCCTTCTTTTCTTCTTTTCTTCGTTTTTTCTTTTTTTGGATCCCCCATCTCTCCCCATTCTTTTTTTTCTTTTCTTCTTTTTTTCGTTTTTTCTCTCCCATTTTTTTTATTTTTCTTCTTTTTTTTCTTCTCTCTCTCACTCTTTATTTTTTTCTTTTCTGTTTGTCTCGTGATACTATCTTCAAAAGATATGTTTAAATTGCATTTTTTTTGAATTTGGAAAAAAATATTAAAGTGGTATATTATATGGCAATTGATAACTTAAACTGAATTTTCAAATCAAATTCAAAATAAAAAAAATTACAAACGAAACTGTCATTTTGTAAAAAATAAGAGTGAGTAGTCGAGAGAAAAAAAAACCCATTTTTTTCATTTTCTTTTTTTTCTTCTCTCTCTCACTCTTTATTTTTTCTTTTCTGTTTATCTCATGATACTATCTTCAAAAGATATGTTTAAATTGCAATTTTTTTGAATTTGGGAAAAAATATTAAAGTGGTATATTATATGGCAATTGAGAACTTAAACTGAAATTTCAAATCAAATTCAAAATAAAACAAATTTACAAACGAAACTGTCATTTTGTAAAGAATAAGAGTGAGTAGTCGAGAGAACAAAAAAGAGAAAAGGAAAAAACCCAAAATACAAAAAATTACAAAATAAGAGAGTAGTCGAGAGAACAAAAAAGAGAAAAGGAAAAAATCCAAAATAAAAAAAAAGGGTGAGGCGGGGGATACCAGGATTCGAACCTGGAACCTTATGCCTCACTTGAGACATTAACCACTAGGCTATCACTATTTTGCTACACTAAGATGCTTGCGCGTCTATTTGAATCGTCAGGACCTTAGTGCCAAACAACTTTGCACTGAGCTATAATGACTCAGCAAATTCATGCCACCTCGGATTAGATGTTAGCGCCAACAACGTTGGCGCTGAGACGTTATAACTCAGCGCCAAGGTCTATGGCGCTGAGTCCACGGCCTATTTTTGGTTGAAGTTTTTTGCAGTGACTAGTTTCGAAATAAGTTTTTGAAAAGGACCAATTTGTTAAAAAACCGGATTTTTTAAAACCACCCCCCCCCCTCACCCACCCACACAAATGAACGTTTCTGTCGTTCTTAACTAATTCCCACCTTTTAAAACAACATGTGTTTTGCTGTTCTTTCACAAACAGCAGCCGCCTCGGTTTCTCGACCAAAGACCGTGTTCCTTTTTCGTCGTGAGTTACTACTGCGAGAACAAGCCAATTAGCCAATGGAAGTAAGGTTGTTGTACTAACTGTCCGTGGAAATTGCTGTTGTCTGATTGTCTCATGTTTCATGTTTTGGCTATATACGATCAACCATCAATTATATAATTAAGGTGCCAAGCACCAATTTGAATTGTTATAATTTACTAGAGTATTTATTAGTTAATTTCATCTCACACCAACCACCAGCTAATCAGCATGCACGGCCGCCGCTCAGCTTAGCACCGAGTTGACCATGTATACGACCATGCTGCTTGTGATGTTACAAGATAGATAATGTTCGTCAAAACTCGTACACCAATAATGTTCATCAAAATGCATACACGAGCTGTGTGATTGTGATGCATGCGAATTCTTGCACATCGTTTCTTTCCTATATGTTGCTGTAGCTGATGCTATGGTTAATTGGCTAGCATGTCACAGCAATGTTAATTGCATATTTTTTTTGGGGAGACTAGCATAGAATGGTTAGTTGTGTACTGCATAAATATTAGGCAGCATGTTCCTTGCCTAATCCATCAAGTCCATCTAACTTCTTTAGGTCTCAAAATCTTGTGATCTTATCTCCAAATCACACATTTTGAACAGGTGTACTGCTACCGTTTTAATTTATGTGTCCACTAGAAACCATATACGAAGTTTCAGCAAATCTTATTCAATTGCCGTGCAAAGTTGCAACTGCAGATGGATAAATAATAAATAAGGATGGAGTAGATAGATAGGATTAGCCCTTCGAAGAAAGAATAGTGATATATGATATTTGAGGAGTTTTACCTTTATCTTGAGATACCTAAATTTATATTAAAATCTTTTATACCTTAAAATACTTAGTACCTAGAGATGTGTACCTCCAGGTATACTTCTCAAATATGGTAAAATTACCCTATAAGATTATGTCATGGTACATACCATACCTTATTAATTGATGCTTTGCCTCATCTTTTTTGAATGGCACTTATGTTTTGGACATGTATATATTTACATGTTATTGACAATTTAGCGCATGCTGACAAATTAAGGAACCTAATATTAGTGGGTCGCGGCTATATGTTTAGTTTGGCCACTTTAGCTTTAATTGCAGACATAATATTAATTTCCAAAAAAAGAGAAAAATTTCAATTTATTGTGCATCTTATTCACATGTTCATAGTTCCTCCTCCTTTTTTTTTTGTTATTTCACATTAGTTAGGCACTGTTTGTTTCTGCTTAAGATTATTGTAATCTAGATTATTAAATCAGATTACTCTAAGCTGGATTATAATAAGCTGATATAAAATAAGCCACGAGTTATTTGTTTCTCTGGATTATTAGAGGCATCTAAGAGTAGTGGGTCTTTAGCCACTCAATAATTTGGAAAAAGCTCCTCTAGAGAAGATTATTGGATTATAGTAATCTAGCTTATAGATTATAATAATCTAGCATAATAATCTACTTGTTTGTTTCAGTTTACAACTAATAATCTAGATTATAATAATCCTAAGCTGAATCAAACAGGGCTTAGTTCCATTTTGAATTACCAATGTCAAATGAAAAATAGAAGGGCTGGGTATGTAGTCCTTGATATACGATGCAGCGACATTAGGTTTCTTGCGATCGAACTTATATACTCGGGTTGACTTGATGTAGGTGCTCGGCTAATAACTCTTAATTACAGTTTTGATACCAGTGCTCTCGTTTATAGATAAAATGTGCTCGTAGAGCGCGATAGTGTGTGCATGTACATGTTCATAGTAATAAGTGTGTGTAGGGTGAGTATATTCACGTGTATATGAGCGTATATGTTAATTTGTGGTTTGTTCCGAAAAAGAAAAGGAAAAATTATGGCTAGAGGCACACAATAACAGGTTTGTTGGACCAGGCTATCACATGGCCATCTAGGGATGAAAACGTCCGCTCCGGATAAAAAACAAATACGGATACTTTTCAGAGTAGATAATTTTCGGATAGTTCAGATACGGATATCCGGTGAACAATGCTATTCGGATATTCGCTGAAGCCATAAGACATACTCCATTTCTTTATAACTCTGTGACCCTCAATATACCTTTTTAGATTTTAATAGTAGCACATCTCTTAACACCAATCCATATTATTAATATTATTTAAACTTTTAAATATTTTATAAAGTATACTATATTTTTTATAAACAAGTTAATTATATATGATGATATTTGTTTCTATTAGAAGCTGAGGTGGCTTTTGTATTCTGAGAAAAAAATGTTTTTATCCGTGTCCGATCATATTTGATCCTTATTCGTATTTGAGATATTTCGTATTTGTTTTCATATCCAACCTATTGGTATTCGTTTTCGTATCTAACAACAAATATAAAAACGAATATGGTATAAGTATTACCAGCTCCGTTTTCATCTCTAGGGACATCCAGTCCATACTCATTCCGGATGATGAGGCGATCTGCCAATTTTTCGTGGACAATGCGATCGCTAAAGGCTTATATGGTTTACTATTGCTAATATTTTAGCAACATACATGTAGTATATATAGATAAGTATTGATAGCAAATTAAACATTGCTAAAATTACTGTCCAAAATGGCAACATTTTGGCAGGGCAAGTTAATCTGTCTTCACACTAAACCGACTATAAGAAGAGCTGTGGGTTTGGCTATGGAAGAGACTTGACAACGGATGATAACAAGCCATAGCACAAATCGAACATCATGTTAGGAGTTACTTCTTCTATCCCAAAACATAAAAAATTTTAGCTTTTAAAATTTGTGTAAAATATAATAATTTCTTCACCTATATTTTTTCTCAAATATTCACAACATTTCATCATTTAAATTCTCCATATACTTCATCTTCTCAATCAATCACAATCATTTTTTATTTAATTTCACCTACTCTTTAATACCCATGTCTAATTTTAAAACTTCTTATGACTACTGAGGTAGTAGATGGTTTTGGATCAATCGATCCATCAATCTTAACAAGCCTTAGAATAGATTAATTGTCAAGGGAGTCTTCATCCGCTTTATGAGATGTGCTAAAGCGTATACTAGCTTAATTAATTTCATTATTCAGTATCTCATATGGGTTTTGTCTGTTCTGAATTTTGCTTTGTCAAAACGTATAGTAATGTGATGTGCATCCTATATGATAAATGCAAAGGTCAAAGATGTAATGTCCTCCTCTTATGTAAAAAATGAATTAGTGTGGTGGTTACTATATATATTAGTATGACAAAATTCATATGTTCTAGGGCTGAGGCAATCCGTAAGTGTCAGAATGTGTGGACCGAAAACTCCAGATAAAAGGCACAAATCGGCCTGTTTGTTTAAAACTCAAGATCATATCATGCATACGTTTAGGGCGGCTAATAAATAGCTGATCATATTTATTTGCTGGTATATCCTCCCAAAACTTACTTTAAGAAAATCGATGCCTTTTCCGGTGAAAACAGTTAACTAAAATGGTACCGGATGGCTGCATACTTGCATGTCTGATCATGGCGTAAAAGCTTGAGCCATGAGCCAAAAAGTTTCTTATATTCATTGAAAACAATAAACCACGGCTTAAGATCAGTTCTCTTCTATTTAATTGGTGTTTCTTTAAAAAATTTACATAAAAAATTAATACAGTCCTTTATAAAAACTTTTCCACCGAACTAATGTTTATGTAAATATTTTCTAATAATTACATAAACAAATTTCAAAAAAGTTGGTTTACATATCCTTATTTGCCATAAAACACACCACCAATGAGTTTTAACAGAAAAAACATAAGTTATTGGAACAAACCCTCAACTTTCTCTAAATTATGACTTAAAAAAAACATTCTTTCCATGATACTCCCTCCGTCCCAAAATATAATAACCTTATAATGGATGAGATGTATTCTAGTACAACGAATGTGGATATACTCCCTCCGTCCCTTAAAGAATCAACCTAGGAGGGATCACATCCCCTCCTAGGACAATGTATGTGGACATGGGGGTGTCCACATACATCAACCTAGGAGGGGGGTCACATCCTCTCCTAGGTTGATTCTTTTTGTGACGGAGGGAGTACCTCTCTCCACATTCATTGTACTAGGATGTGTCCTATCCTATATAAGGTTGCTATATTTTGGGACAGAGGGAGTATTCTATAAATACTACACCATCTAAAGTGAAATAAAAGACATATTATTATCAATTTTAATAGTATAGCACCATTGCACACAATATTCTGACCCACCTATGATATCAAAGTGAAGTCAGCTAAAAGACATGAAGATAACTTGCATAGTTATCTTGAGTTCTGTTAAAATTTACCCCCTTACCAATATATGAAAGCCATAAAAATAATTTTCAATTCAACGTTGTTTTCTTTTTCTTTTTTAAAAAAGAATAAAATACATATCTTATGCTTGCACCGCCGCTAGATGGCAGCTTAAAGAAGCAATGTTAGTCCCTGGACTGTTGGTCAGGTGAATTTGTGCGAATATATACCCTGCTTGGCTCCAAGATTAAGCAACTCGGATCATATATTGACCTAGCTATAAGTGACACCGATGCTGACCTAGCAATATGAAAATGACTATCTATTTGTCACCTCTTTCTTAATTAATTACCAATAAAAACAGTCCATGCTAGAATAAACAAAATAGAATGTTTACTACTACTACTATTACTTATTCTTGAGCTCTCTCTTCTCAACCAAAATATTGTACATACAATTTGCATTAGTCTAGTCTTGATATACTGAAAAGTACCGGATACATATTACACAAAATGTTGGTACTCGAACTTCAATGTTCATCGAAAGGGAATATAAGTTTTTTCGATTATGAATTTGTCTTCTTTTTTCTTTATATTGGTTCAATTTTCCATCATTAATTTACAATAGCCATAGAAGCATAAACAAATATGTTAATTTATAGCCTTCATGAAGGAGAGCTAGTAACGGGCAAGAAACTATTCAACATATCTTTTTGCACATTTTGTTTGATGATGTTTATATTTTTCTTTTTAATACCCCCTTCCTTGCAATGCTCAAAATATCATTGTAGTTGGCTACTGAGACTGCCTAGGTCAATAAGAAAATTGAGTTTGGTTGGGGAGCTAGTGTAATGTGTTGTTAATTTGGAGTTGCTGTAATAGTACATTTTAATAATAAAAAATATCTAAGATGAAGTCGAGATTTTTTTTATCATAATTTATGAAGTCGAGATTCAAGACAAGGTTACGGTAAGTAAGCATGAGATATGTTTTTTTTTTAAAAAAAAAGGTAAAGATAGAATAGATGATGTTGGATTGAAAGATTATGCGTTCATATATTGGTTAAGGGGGATCTATGACAACAAAAAAAACATTATTGGAAAAAGTAACAAAAAAATTGTTGCTGCCCAGGATCGAACTGGAGACCTTCAGTGTGTAAGACTGACGTGATAACCACTACACCACAGCAACTTTCATGTCATGTGATGGCAGTTTTATGTTATTGGCCTTGTTTGGATCCGCTAGATCACTGACAAAACCCATTCCATAACCCAAAACCCATTCCATAACCCCTAGACTATTTTGCGAGACGAATCTAACGAGGTATATTAATCCATAATTTGCTACAGTGATACTACAGTAATCAGCCGCTAATCATGGATTAATATACATCATTAGATTCGTCTCGCAAAAAAGCCTAGGGGTTATAGAATCAGTTTTATCGGTAATCTATGTTTAATACTCCTAAATAGCAAGATTCCAGAGGACTATTTAATAGCTCGGAGGATCCAAACAAGGCCATTATCTTTATTGTTGTCGCTGATTATATCAAATGACAAATGTGTACGGTCGAGAGCTATCATTCATTTGAACCCGCAAGACCTGGAATGACAATATATACGGTCCATAGGCCCTGGAAGGTTTAGAACTGATATTTGGGTCCGGCACATCTGATGATCTGAAGGTTTCTGAAGCAAGCAGATTCAACATTAATAGTCAAACTGTATGTCGTCCGAAGAACACCAATGCAAATTTTGGACCATCTCAGCACTAGCAGTAACATCGTTCAGACAATACAAATTCGAGCCTGAGATCCAGGAGGCGACATACATACACTGTACAGGATGAACAAAACCGAGGCAACGCCAAATATATGTACAACGACTAAGGAGCATTTGTGCATCCACGAACACCACTACTCATCTCATCTCAAGAGAAAATAAAAAAGAAAAAGAAACGACACGCAACTTCCAAGTGTCCTATATCCAGATGCGACAGTATTTGGTCAAATCTGGAGTGAAGGGGCATTCAACATCTGTATGATGTATTCCTGTGTTCAGGTATTAGAATATCAACGAGAAACTCTTGCTTTAACAGTCAAAGAATGGGCGACTTCTTTCAAGAACACGATGTGAAACATGCCCAGTCCAAAGAATGAGCGATGCTTCCTGCAACCAGAAACATACAATAAACATGAGGACCAAAACAACCCAACCAGAATCAATCCAAAACTTATTCTAGAAATTATGAAACACCAGGAAGCAACTTTTTGGGAAAAGAAGTGTATCTCCACATGTTTATGTGAGCTCATGCACTTCCCTAAGCAGTAAGAGAAGAAGTTGGTTTGGTTGGTTTCAACTTTCACGATTGAAAGTCCAGGTCAATCTTCAGGCACATTTGTGTGCAGTTTTCAATTTGTTGGTTGTGTTCAATCTTTCTGGAACGATATTTCCTCGTTCTGGAGTTGGATTGTCTCTTCCATGATTATATTTTGTATAAGTTAGTTCTTATGACATCGCATTTGCCCAAAAATATTATCATCCACCTCATATAACACAAAAAGTTTGATAATTGAATGCATTACCTAAGTGATGTCTCGGAAATTGCCAGTAAAACTTGAAAGTTTATAGAAATTTCAGCGGTTCCAACTTCTAAATTTGCAAATTCCACGACGTCCTTGGCCAAAGGACATGCGAATAGATTCCACCATATAGGATACATGAGTTTCTGATAACTCAATTTCCCGTTCCTGTTACACAGATTCCCAAATAAATAAATACATGGAGTGGAAGTAACAACTAGAAAGATGGCCAATGTGTGTTTACCAGTTCAGCAAGTCTCTCATCAAAGCTACTCTGACTATTAATAGATGGCATAAATACTTGTTGATAAGCTTTCCTCAACATCCGTACCTTCATTTATGAAGTGAGATAAAATTATATAAGACAGAAAAAATTATAATTGGCTGCAGATATCTAGTCACTAAGTTAAACTTCAAGCCTAATCTCCCAAAATATGGGGAATCCTTAAACGGTGCATAGAGTACTTAACAACACATCATTCTGTTGGTAACATAAAAAAAATCATCATGGTTCTTCATGACTGTTGGCATACTTGAGCCTTGTATTAACAGATCAAATTATCAGCTGATGTATCAAAGTGTGTGTGTGTGGGGGGGGGGGGGGTTATATAGTTAACTAAGAAGGTGCAGTACAATTGAGGTTGGCTCCAGATCATCCTCGCTATGCTTTACCAGTAAATGTGATAAGATGACAATATGTTTAAACATTACCATATTGGTAAAGGAACATCACAACAGAACTTTAAGTACCCTCGCACAACTACTAGAGGAACATAAAGAAGTGCACTCATGTTATGAATAAAGGCTACATATTTCAGAAGTATATGGAAACCTCTTGGTCTGAGAAACCATTGCGCTTAAGACCTTCAAGATTCAGCCCACGAAGCTCTGCTCTATCACCTGCAACCATCATGTATCTTGGCACATCTTGTGCGATCTGATTCAAATTGAACTGAATGAATTTCATACTCTCGGACATCATATTCAGAGTTCAAAGACAAGAATTCATTCCCCCCAAAAAAAGACTAAAGAATTGCAGTGCCAGTACAAATGGACAGCCTAGGTGAGAACTGCAACGCCATCAGCATCAAATAAGAATGTTGTTGGAAAGAAAATATATGCAAAAGTACTGACACTTGACATGATTGACCGCATACAAGTCTAGGCCTCTGATTGGTTGAGCTACAGCTCATAAGCCATAGAAATATGAACGATGCAACAAAAAAAATATGGGTGGAACTTCTGTATATGTATTATTCGTGGTTTAAAAGCCAATGCTGCAAAGTAGGCTATGATAAAAAAAAACAATATTGACTCTAAAATTAAGTTTCAAAATTCAAATGTTGGCTGCAACTAATAAGCTAACAAACATAAGTACCTAGTAGTAGTGATCATGCACCTATTCCTAGAAAAGTATCACCAGATGAAGTGCATGCTAATTCTATGACTTCAGTTCACGAGGCCTGCTTCTTATGTCTTATTTGCATCATTATCATTCCTTGAGAAGATCGATCAAGATTACATGCAATGTAATTTGTTGGCATAAGAACTTTGTAATTTTACAGAATTCAGATGAAAGCTTATCGACACAACATACCACAGAGCCTCCACCTAGAAATGAAAATGACCCAATATGACAAAATTGATGGACAACAACAGCCCCTGCAGTATGGGTGCAATCCTGAAACAATGAATTCCATCAATACACAGATGGGTTCTTGACCAAGAAAATGGATGAAGATTATCATGGTAAATAATCACCCACTTCAACAACAACATGGCCAGCAAATAGAGTATTGTTAGCAAATATGTTATTGTTGCCAATCCTGCAATCATGTGCTATATGGCATGAACCCATTATAAGATTATTGTCACCAATAACCTACAAAAATACAATGATTGTTAGTAAGAAGGCAGAAGTGAGTTCAGTGGAAATCTTATCACAAGGGATCTGAATACCGTGCAGTCACAAGATTTAGAAGAGCGATGAATAGAACAGTACTCTCTGATCTCATTATTGTTACCAATCTGTAGAAAGCATTCATCTCCTGACTAAGATGGGGGGAAGGGCAATAATGTTCAGCAGAAAGTATAACAATTCAAGTAGCCAAATGGCATATTAATCATCTAAATTAACTCATGGACAGATTTTACATTAAAGATAAGCAAATCACTGTACCGTGTGGCATCATCACACTAAAAATCCAGTGATAAACAAAAAAAAAATTCTAACCTTATACTTGAGATCTTGGCACTTAACACCAACTACAGCGTGGTGTCCAATGACATTGTTTTCACCGATAATGGTTTGCCCAGGAATGTCTGAACCAAGGATAGCGCCACTGCCAGAAAGCTAAATTCCACATTAAAGTTGTTCACATGTCATATAGTCAGATTTCTTGACAAACATGCAATATGATGCATTGTTCTCCAATATTGCATATTTGAAGCTTAGAATGCTGCTGGCTATGGTTCAGCTGTTGATAGAAAAGTTATTGCAACAAATTAGCTTGATGCGGCGAGGAAAGAAATTAGAACTATTGTCCTGGTAGATAGCCTAACAGGGGATGTGTAGTATTCAAAAGTACCTACAAGAACAACATCTTAGCTCCACATAGCACCAGTGATAATCCAAGCTTAGTAGCTTACTTTCACTAGAATTTCTATTGGTGGAGAATTGTTTTTTTTTTCCCATCATTTTTCAATTTCGATATCACCCGAATGTTCTATTATCATATCAGAAGAATGCAAACATTTCTAGATCCATCGATGGAGCCGAAAACAGAAAGTGGGGAAAAAAATTATATCTTACGTGAGAACAACACATCTCTCCCCTAGCTCGGTATCTCCCATGACATGGCTCCCAGCGTGTAACTGACAAGCGTCACCAATCCTCGCTGAAGCTCCCACGGTGCAAAATGGGCCTATCGAGACACCCTACAAATAGTGGTTCAAGTTCAAGGCACATATGCACAATGATTTACTACCAGAAATCAATGCATTTTTATTTCCTATGAAGCAGAAAGTAATCATCTCAGATTATGAGCATCTGCACCAAGCAGGCGAAGGCTAGCACGCATTCGACATTTCCGCATGGACCAAATCCAACAGCCAAGCGCAGAGACTCCACGACAAGTTCGTTGGCCGATACAGCAACTCAACTCAGCCAGAGCCGCGGCTGGTGAGTGGGAGCAATCGGAATGGGGGAGATCTTTACCTGTCCGACGACGGCGTCGGGGTGGACGACGGCGGCGGGGTGGACGAAGCTCGTGGCCGCCTCCCTCGCCGCTCCCTCGGAAGAGACTGGGCGCGCGGGGGGAGGAAGCAAAAAAAAAAAAAAAACCAAAGGTGTGAGAGCGAGCGGTGGCCGGTGGAGGTCAGAGTTAGTGCGCGAGAGGTGGCGTACTTGCGTGGAGACTCCGCGAGGCGATGAGGAGGCGGCGGACGGCGCGGGTGGCGGCGGCGGCCATGGGGAGCGGTAGGAGGAGGGGAGAGAGGGGGGACCACCCGGCGATGAGGTCAGCTGGGGTTTTTGCGAGTGTGTCCCCCCATCCGTCACGTCACGCAGCAGCAGAGCTGCAGCATCCAGCGACGACGCGGTTGCACGAGTGCACCGCACATCGGTCGGCACATGGGACTCTGGCTATTTCGTTCATCTTCTCCAGTTCACGCACTCGTGACAGGGAAGACGCACATGACGCATATACATACCGGAGGACGGTTCTATGCAGAATAGTACTACGTCCGGCTCCATTAATATGGCTACCTTCAACATGTTATTAACGTGTTATTGATTGAAGAGCATCTCCAACAGTCTCTCTAATTGACTCTTCAAGTTAAATTTTGGCTATTCTATCAAATAAAACATGCTCCATCAATATCACCAACTCACTGGCCAAGCTATTTGGCTAGTCAAACCCTCCTCCTTATTGGTTAAATTTGACTAGTCTATTTGGCTGGCCATTGGTGGGCCCTACACTACCAATCTCCTCTATCCCCCCTCTCTCGTATCCGTCGTCTCTCCCCCATCGACACTGGCGCACTGCTACGGAGGCGGTGAGCTCGAGCACGGCTGCCCCGCCGCTCGCCCCAGCCCGCTGCAGCCGTCGGCCTCCGTCTGCCCCGCCGCTCGCTGCAGCCGCGCCTTTCGCTCGCCGCAGCCGCAGCCCCGCCTCTCCCCGCCTCCTCCGCTCGTCGCAATCGTGGCCCTCGCTTGCCAGAGCCGTCGTCCCGCCTCCGCCCGCCCCGCCGCGGCCTTCGCTCGCCGCAGCCCGCCGCCTCCGCTCGTTGAAGGCCGCGCCGGCCTTCGCTCGCCACCGTCGTCGCCCCGCCTCCGCCTGCCCCGCGGCCTCGCTTCCGCCCGTCGGCCCGCTTCCACCTGTCACCCCGCCTCCGCCGGTCGGCACGCAAGTCGTCGTCGCCGTCGCCGCACCGAGGTAGGGGCGCCGTCCGCTGGCGCCGTACCGAGGTAGGGGCGTGAGGAAGGGGCAGTAGCACGGGAGAGAAAAGGGAGATGTAGTATGGGTGGGAAAAAAACAAGATTGAAGAAGGTTTGTTGAGTGACATATGGATCCTATTTGTCATAGACTTGTAATAGGGATGATAGATGGAGAGGCTGTTGGAGTAAATAAGAGTTTGACTTGCCAAATTAAATGAAGAGTTGGCCAAATAGATATTTGGAGAGCTAGATTTGGAGAGATTTGGAGAGACTGCTGGAGATGCTCCATGAGTACCCAGAGAATCTAAGAGATAGATCAGATAACTAACCTTATTTTTTTGATAGAAATAAGCTTTTTAACACAAAACCGTCCTCTTTTACTAAACGGAAATTTAACTATTCGTCACTATTTAAATGCCCCTCTTACACTTGCACTTAATTTTTTTTTGCCCTTTTTAAGAGGTGATATCTTAACTATTTATCATTTTTGTCTACGTGGCATACCAACATGGTAATTCTAGGTGAAAATCGGTGTGGGACACACTCGTCAGTCTCTCCTTCCACATATGGATGATTTAACATCTTGTCCATTAATCATTTAATCGGAAGGCTTGCAACCGCATGTGATATTAACTGTTGTAACAAACTACGCTAAAATCCAGGCTTCCACAGCCAGGATCAGTTCGCACCTAAATGAACACTAGAGCCTGGGGCGCGCCGCCTATATGCAGTTGGATTGGAAATAGAGTCAGAAAGCAAGAAAAGCAGATAAATGTAAAAGAAATTAATATTATATTATGTCTACTAATAGTTAATGGTCTTTACCGAAAGTTACACGCATAGATGGTATTTTATACGTACAAGAGAGTTCAGTACATAGCATAAGCACCAAAGATGTAAAGGTAATCCTATCTTACTATAAAGTTATCCCTCACTAACTACTTAAGCTTAACATGTAAAAATATTACATCATCATCCAATAATTAACAAGATGCCACATTATTATTCACTAACAATCATCACATTTAAACATCATGTAAACATGCTATATCTTTATAGTTTTTATAATTTAAGAGCTTTTCAAATACAAGCATGCTAAATTATCATCCAACATAGTTCACATAATGTTTCAATGTATATTTTTATTATGTTTTATGATATCCTATATATTTATATAGTTCATCCTCATTTAGTTAGTGCTTAAATGATTAATCTATGGTCCAAATTATTTTTCTCCTTTTTTCCTCTAATTAAGTCATATCACATCAATTGTTTTTAGCCTTTAGATGATTAATCTACGGTCCAAACTATCTCCCTACTTTTCTTCTTCCATAAAGTCATACCATCTTACTTTTTACGTTTAAATCACCATTCTACATACTATTTAAATTTAAATTATCATAAACCATATTAATTTACTTAATTAATCTGATGTTATCTAGCTATCTTACATGTTATTTTTTTTATTGTTATCATACTAAATTCCCGCAGCAATGCGCGGGGTTTCACTAGTTATCATAGGAGTTGTAACAGAGAGCATAAGCGGTTCATTTCTATAGAAGTATATATTACAGTTCAATGCTAACAAAAGGGCGATCACAGCATAGGTTTAGGTATTGATATGCTCATCACAGAACATCAATTGTTACTTGCACGTGATTCATCTTGTAGAAGTGGAAGATGCAAACTGGGTCGATATATATATCATTATCTGATGCAAAATTTGTCCATCCTTTTTTCAAATTGCAGCGACCATCAATTGAGACGTGAATGATCATGGTAGTTGGAGGACCTCATGCTATTTGCACTTGTGAGCTGATGGTTTTGTTGCTTTTCATGAGTGGTGGGTCACATCATTTAGGTTGAGTTATTTTGGAACGGAGGGAGTAGGCATCCGAGAATTGTCTAGCAAAGTAGTGTAACTAATAATGAGAAGACTTGACTGAAGGAAATTCCCATGAGTGGCGCTATATAGGAATTTCTTCAAGATTTGACTGAAGTAGCAGCCATTGTGACTATGATTTAGAGCAGGTACAATAGCAGGCTATAAGCCGGCTGTAACTATATATCGAGAAGAAAAGAGAAGAGAGAGAAGAAAGCGGGCTACAAATTTGTAGCCGGCTGCAACACGAACTCCAAGATGTTATGTGTGTATGAGAGATGGGACCGTGTATTAATGGTGTAGTATATTTTTATAGTTAACTATTGTATGAATAGGCTATTAGATTGGCTATAGATGTTTTGGAGTCAGTAGTTGGCTATACTATTGACCTTGCTCTTAGTGTCTAATAATGAGAAGAGTAAGGACTCATTTGAATCGCATGAATGGAAAAAAATAGAGGAATAAGAAAAATATATGATTCTGACAAGTAAATATAAAACAGAGAATTACAAAACACATGAATGGCCATTAGATTGTATTACAGGAAAAACACATAAATTGAACGAGAGAATATACTCAAAGGAAATTTTTGTAAGAGGTTGGATCTATATCATTCCATATGAATTTCAAAAGATAAGATATGATTTAATCATTGCTCCAAAGGTTTTTATAGGATTTTTTTTATAGAACTGAAATCCTTCAAAATTCTTATATTTTCATACAAATAAAAGAGGTTCTAAATACTACTCCATCCGTAAAAAAGAAAGGTAACCTAGGTTGTTTTTTTTTGACAGAGAGAGAATGTCGTATAAACCGTGATTTAAATTTACTAACAACGAGAAGAATGTTAGAGAAGTGACAGTGTAACACGATGGATGCAAAGGTGTAAAGGGTTGAAGGTTCGATCGAGATATCGAAAGCAGTGGTTCGACCGATCTGGGTCTTTTTTGGAGAGGTGGCGTACCATGCATTAGTGGCAGCCATTTTTGAAGGGATCGAATAATCGGACGGCTGAGATTGGAAATGATCGAATTGTTCCGGCAGCGTGGCAGCAGGGGAGCCCATTTTGCTCCTACCAGCGAATCTCAGCCGTCCGATCCGCATTCCCCAACCCCATCGGTCCAGATTGCCAGATTCCTAAATCCACGAGCGCCTTCACACCTCTCGAGACCACCCCACCCAAGGAAATCCCCAAACTACCCCTTCAACCTCCCGCGTGGCTAACGTCACCCAAAACCCAGCTCAGCAAATAGTCGCTGGGCTCAAGGCTAATACGGTAATTTCATCACCTCCGAGAAAAAAAAAGTAAAAAAATAAATCCACTAATCCGACACGAAGGATATGAGCTCGCGGCTAGGGTTTCTCCTCCTCACACACTCCCCCCTCCCCCCACTACTCCTTTCGTCTCCAACCCCTCGCCGCCGCCGCCACCCAAAACCCTACCCTTCCCCTCCCCGTATTCTAATGGCGCTGCAACCAATCCGGCACAGCTGCTAGCAATCGACTCCCATCATCCGCGCGCGTCGAGTAGCTCCGTGAACCTACCGCAGCCTCTCCTCTCTCTCTCTCTCCGGCGCCGCCCCCCCCCCCCCCCCCCCCCGCGTCTCGCCATGGCGACCCTCAACATGTTCGACATCCTCGGTGCGGACGACAACGACGACCCCTCGCAGCTGCTGGCCGCGGCCGCGGCCGCGGCGCAGAAGGCCGAGGCGAAGAAGGCCGCCGCCGCCGCGGCGGCGCCCGCTGGGAAGGCGGCCCAGGCCGCGTCGGCCGCCGCCAAGTTCCCCACCAAGCCCGCTCCCCCCACCCAGGCTGGTGAGTTGTGGTTGCCGCGGAGTGTTTAGATCTGATATTCGTCGTGAGATGTTTATACTGAATGATACTTAGTTTTGTATGATGAGTTTTTTTTTACTATGGTTTAGTGGTTGTGATTGGATTGTATGTTGCTACTTGCTAGGAGATTATTCTTGTAGTTCTTTTTGCTCAATCTTGGAGTTAGGAACATGTCGGCTGTAAACTTTGTTGCTATGATCTGTAAAGGCGTGAGCTTTGCATTGCTGGAAAGTAGAATTTATTCCCCTCTTAAAACCTGCTGTTCGAATCTTCGATCAGTTTTTAGAATTTATTCCTGCAAACACCACTGGTTCTGATTTCAGCGCCTGAATTGTATTTGTTTCAGCGCGGGAGGCACGGGGTGGTGGTGCACCATCACGTGGAGGATTTGGCCGTGGTGAGCGTGGCCGTGGCAGAGGTGGACGGGGATATGGCCAGAACCGTGATTTTGGTGGAGACAATGCCAATGGCTACCAGGGTGGTTACGGTGGAGGCTATGGAGATGGGGCTGTTGCTGCTGGTGGAGAAGGTGACAGGGAGAGAGGCCCTCGAGCTCCATTCCATGGAGGTAGGCGTGGTGGCTACCGAAATGGTGAATATGGGGATGATTCTGAGAGGCCGCCCCGGAGAAATTATGAGCGCCACAGTGGTACTGGCCGTGGTTATGAGATGAAGCGTGATGGTGCAGGGCGTGGGAACTGGGGAACTGCTACTGATGAGGCTCTTGCACAGTAGGGGAATTTTATCTGTTTATGATGCCTCTTGTCTTGGATAGTGAAGGCACAGATAACTCATAGTGTTATTCTTGGTATGTAGGGAGACTGAGGAAGCCTTGAAGGTTGAGGAGAGTGCTCCTATTGCTGAGAAACAGGGTGAGCAGGATGATGCTCCAACTGGAGAGAAGGATAACAAGGAGGGTGCTGCAAATGAGGAAGAAGAGAAGGAAGAGGATAAGGTAATGATTTTCATCTGTTCTCTACTCTGTCTAAATTGAGGAAACTGCACTGCTATTTTAGAGGTTTGCTGAAATAAAAAATTTATTCTTGTGTGTCTAATAGTACATTTTGGAACTATTTTTGCTACGTCACTTTTACGAGTCTATTGTTGTTCTGTGTTGCTGGTATTATTTGGCATGTCGCCATCATATTGCTTACTATATGATACTTTTCTACTGTCAAAATGATGCAATTCCATCACCCTGGATGTGACAAGTAGTTGCAAATTCAGTTGGTGGTTGGGTTTACACATGAGTTATCAACCCAAGTTAACTACTATCTGCACATGCATGTTCACATATCATGTTAACAGGATTGTGCTGGGCTGATGGACTGTATATTTTTCAACTCAAGCGATACTTAATTTCAACCACAGCATTCTTAATCAATTTGCGTGTAATACAATGGGATAAAAGTGTTTGTGTACACTTTTGATGTGCGGTATTATGGGTTCCAGAATATAGACGTTTTATCTTACTACACTGTTTTGTCTATACATCTTGCTTGAAGCCAATTTGCTGGTAATGTTTTGTATTAACACACCCAGTAGATGTATGGTAGATTGGTAGTTGTGTATTATGATGTGGTGATTTCATCTTACTGTCATTTTTTCCTGTGCATTTTTCTAGAACTAATTTACTTTGCTAGTAATGTTGCTACCTTATTGTTACCGCTTATTTCTTGAACTTGGTTGCTATGCTCTATCTGTTCAGCCCATGGAACAAGCTATATATAGTTACATTGAAAGCTTTGAACAGCTATTACACTTTTCTGGTTTTCCCAGTGAATTTAATTGTGATTATTGCTTCTGCTAATGCATTTGCTGTATAATAAGATCAGCACTGACCTCCCAATGTTATTATATTCTACTATCTAGGAGATGACTCTTGAGGAGTTTGAGAAATTAAGGGAGGAAAAGCGGAAAGCTCTTCTTGCTTTCAAGGCTGAAGAGAGGAAGGTTGAGGTCGATAAGGACCTGCAGTCTATGCAGCCACTTTCTACCAAGAAAGGAAATGATGAAATTTTCATTAAGCTGGTATATTTCTCAGTGTGCTCTATTTCAATCCCTACAGTTGTCTGATTCTAGAATTTTTTTTTGATTAAATGTACCATTTTCTTAGGGTTCTGACAAGGATAAGAAGAAGGAAAATGCTGAGCGCGATGAGCGTGCCAAGAAGGTATTTTAACTTACATACGTAGTAATTGGCAGACCTTTACACATTCTTCGTAGGTCAGTCTGGATGCCAAAATCTTGTAAATTTGAGGTTCTTGTACACATTCGTTTTGGTTGTGAGTGTTGGGTAGATGGATATGATAATAAGACATCTGTTTGGAAGAACATGGGGATGCCTTGGTAAAATGACTACTAATAAATTTTCAAACAAGCCTATGGTGTAATTATTGGATATTCCTAGATTTTGCGATTGATAGCAACTCAATTTATCTTGGAAAAAAAAACTCAGGTTTCTAATCTGTTAAATTTTGTTCCAGTCTGTGAGCATCAATGAGTTCCTGAAGCCTGCGGAAGGAGAAAGGTACTATGGCGGCCGTGGTCGTGGAAGGGGGCGTGGAGATCGTGGCGGTCGTGGATATGGTGGTGGTTACCAACGTGGCCCATATTCTACATCTGCACCATCCATTGAAGATCAGGCTCAGTTCCCAACCCTTGGTGGGAAGCCGCGTGCGTGAACGGTCTAAGAGCATCGCAGCATTGTTTTTACTGGTGTCACCTTTAAATTTTGCCCGCAGTTGAATCATATTGTCACGGTTAATCGGAACAAATAATGGTGTTGCCTGTGCCTTTTTTCCATCGTGTGTTGGTCTACTTTGTATACCGGAGTTGCTTGTCAGAATTAGCCTCTAATTTTGTAGGCTAGCTTTTACCATTTTGTTAAAAATCTGCATTCCTTGCATGTTTATTAGCTGCTGTTGCCGCTGGCTTGTGTTTGCGTGTGATGATGTCCTACGCTGTGTGAGACCTCAGCGTACAACCATGGTGCGCTCCAGGAGCCCAGAGCTATGGACACAGCCTGAGCTCAAGGACAAACTGCAGAATGGTCCGTTCTCTTCCGCAATTGCACGAGCTAGTCAGAATTGGGTGTCTGGGGTGTCTGGTGGTACGGCGTGTTTAGTTTCAAAATAATTCTTCAAACTTATAACCTTTTCATCAAATCAAAATGTTCTTACACAAACTTTCAACTTTTTTATCACATCGTTTTAATTTCAACTAAATTTTCAATTTTGGTGTGAACTAAACACAGCCGTACGAACTGCTGGTTTATGACCCAAACAGGAAATCTTGAACTAAACAGGAAGAAGCATGCTCTGCTCAAGTTACAAAAGCCAACATAAAAACATGGTCCGTAACAGAGACCTTCTAGCTTGCTATATATTTTTAGATCACACCTACGGTCGTGTTTAGTTAACACAAAATTGAAAATTCGGTAGAAATTGGAACGATGTGACAGAAAATTTGGTTGAAATTGGAACGATGTGATGGAAAAGTTGGAAGTTTATGTATCTAGAAAAGTTTGGATGTGATGGAAAAGTTGGAAGTTTGAAAAAAAACTTTGGAACTAAACACGGCCAACTTGTACTCCGTCCTAGATGCAGGCTGTGTTTAGTTCCCGCCAAAATTAGAAGTTTGATTAAAATTGGAACGATGTGACGGAAAAGTTAAAAGTTTGTGTGTAGGAAAGTTTTGATGTGATGGAAAAGTTGGAAGTTTGAAGAAAAACTTTAGATCTAAACACGGCCGCAATGTACAATAGTAGCGCAAATTCGAAAAGTGGGAGACTCCATGCTAATAGCTAAAACATTAGCTATAAGAAGTAAGAAGTGAATCAATCAAATTACTTGACCCTTGTCTGTTGCCATTACGGTATCGTATTGTTTTGTTGTGCCATATGATGGACCTACTCTGGATCTTGACAATACCAACACTGAGACCCTGTTCACATTCCACCCCAAAATTTTACACCCTGTCACATCGAACGTTTTAACACTTGCATGAAGTATTAAATAATAAATTTGCGAAACGAATCTTTTAAGCCTAATTGCTCCATGATTTGACAACATGGTGCTACAATAAACATTTGCTAATAATGGATTAATTAGGCTTAATAAATTCGTCTCACAGTTTACTGACGAATTCTGTAATTATTTTTTTATTAGTGTCCAAACACCCTATGCGACACCCTATATAATATCCGATGTGACACGCCAAAACTTTACACTCCTGGATCTAAACACCCCCTGATTTCAAATCAAACTAACCCTTCTGAGAGCGCCTGGGTATAATTGTTTTGTTGGTGAACTATAGATTTTGTGAATGATTCTAACTCTCTCTCTAACTCTCTCTCTCTCTCTCTCTCTCTCTTTTTGAAAAAAATGTGTTCAGTCTGGTGAACTTTGTTCTAACATGTGAGCATCAATTAGCTCTTGAAGCCTACTGAAGGACAAAGGCAATATAATCCTTGGTGGGAAGTCAAGGATGTTTTCTTTCACAAAAAAAAAAAGAAAAGAAAAGTCAAGGATGTGAACGGTATAAGAGCATTATAAGCATTGTTTTTACTGGCGTCACCTTTAAATTTTGCCCGGATTTGAATCATGTCATAGTTAATCAGAGCAAGTAACGGTGTGTTGCATGTGGTTTTCTTTCATCCTGTTTCTCTACTTTGTATACCGAAGTTGCTTGTACTCAGAATTAGCCTCTAAATTTGTAGGCTAGCTTTTACCATTTTGTTGAAGATTGCTATTCCCTGCATGTTTAACTGTTTGTTATCACTGCTTTGTGTTTGTTCGAGATGCATGTGAGACGGCTAAGCTCAGGCACAACCATGGTGCGCTCCAGGAGCCCAGTGCTGTGGGCTCAGCCTGAGGCCCTCCCCTGAGCTCAAATGCTCACCAAACAGGAGGCATTCTTGTTGCTCCTGTTCAAATATAACCATGCAAGTTCCATTCATCAAAATCTAATTGTTCAAATATAATTTGCAGTGAGTGAGATGTCAATAGTTGACAATGTTATTCAGACAGAGGGGGTAATATAGAGATATGCAGATTCAACTTTTATAAATTTTTAGAAATGTATAAAGCGAAAAAGGTACATCCAACCTTCAGAAAAGAAAACAAAACCATATGATTAAAAGATCGGATAACGGAAGATGACACAGCATTCCTGCAGAGGGATGTACATAACTGTTGTAAGTTTACATCATCAAAAGGGGGGAAAACATGGGGCAAACAACAAGTTAAAATAACTGGATAAGAATGGACTAACATATTTGCTAAACTGTTGATGTTATAGCATCCAAATTGTTTGCTTTGCCATATGGATGGACCTACAATACAGTTTGACAACACCAATTCCATTCCAGATCAAACTAACTCTTCTGAGAGCGCCCCGGATCGCTTCCTTTTAGGAGGTAGCATGAGTTTCGGTTGTGCAAGTATCTCGTATTGCGCGATGTAGCTATAGTATGGAGGTATGCTGGATTGCCATTCCAAGACTTCATATTTCGCTCGAGGCTTAACATTTCGAGAAACCATATCAATTGATCGTATCGTTGGTAGATTATTTTGACTTATAGAACTTGCTTGATAAAGTTTGTATGTCGCTAGGCCACTGCAGCCATGTTTGTTTTTATGCATCCAAACGTAAGTAAGTCCACCGTTATTTTTATTTGTGTCTCTTGGGTGTTCACCAAACAGACGGACATGCTTGTCTGTGTAATATTTCAGACGTTTGAGATAACTGTACCAGAATTGAGCACATATATTAGATCTTAGTATGCTCCCATGGACGTTTAATCCAATGAATGATCTATTCACCAAAGCCGCGATGTCCATACATATGGATGCTAGCTTAGGCTCCTCTACAGGACTTGTGCTCCCAAATGCAATCGTCTTGAAGAAATACCAAAAAACTTCTTTTGGGAGAAAATCTAATTGGAGTGCCTTTGTTGTTCCAAACAATTCTATCTTGTTTGATCGGCTCATTATTATGATCTTACTCACAGGTGCTATGTGGTCTCCTCTAAGGCTGTGCAATATCTTCTTCCATGTTTCATCATCCATCTCATCAACAAGTTCAATGATAGCTAATGACTGTTTGCCTGAGACAGGATTTCGATATTTGACTGCGCCGGTATCTGGAAGAAACGCCATGTCTCCATTATTCTCAATGCTACCAAGGCCATAGAAAACAATTGTAGAGAAGTATTTACGCACCCTTTCATCATGGCAGACATGCTCAACAAGAGTGCTCTTCCCAACCCTGCCTGGGCCAATTATCGGAAGCACATCAATAACTTCTTCACCGCCGGGAGGATGTCGTGCTAGCAGGAAGTTGATGACCCTTTCCTGTTCTTCTTGGCGACCAAACATGCAGTTCTCTAGCAACAAGTAGCTGCAATAAGGTTGTCGACTCATACGAGGGTAGCTGCTCACAAACACAACAAACTCCTGCATGTCTGAAACAATGCTTTCCAGGTGACCAAGCATCTTATGCAGCTCTTTTCTCTCCGAAACTTCAGATACCATTTTCCTTGTTGTAGTGGAGAAGCAAAACTGCTTTAATGGATTGAAAGAGGACAGGGCAAGAGAGTGATCACGCACCTCATCTTGAGCATGCGCTTGAACGATTCGGCACCTGAAATTATCAAGGAAGTAGTAGCCCCTGTACATCATATTGCTCAGCATTCTAAGTTGCAGCAGCATAGCTTGATTTGTGATGTGCCTACTGTCAGCCTCCTCAACGATGGCTTGGATCCGGAGCAGCAAGCGATGTAAGCATTGTAGATTCTCCTCAACACCCTGATGCTTCTGGTAGTAACTGTCAACCATGAAGGATATGGACCTGCTGAGAAGATCACCAAGAACTGCAGAAAAGAAGGTATCCATAGTGATATATCTTGTGCTTAGAAAAGGCAAAGCAATCAGGAATGCAACTCAACAGCAAAATGCCAACTCTGAAAACACAAAGCTAGCGAGGAGTAAAGAGTTGTCATGTAGCTGAATTGCATCGTAAGGCCGCTGTCTAGGTGCAATGCACGGAACGCTTTGCACAGTGGGTCATTTATTGATGGCTCAGTTGATTTCTGCACAATTAGCCATAGGTGGCCAGTGAAAAGGCTTGTAAGAGGCAACGATTTTAAGAGCATGCGTCAAACCTTAGAATTAGCCAACATCTGGAACCAGCACAGCTTGAAAGCTTCCATTGACAGCAGTGCCGCAATGTAACCATGTCAAATTCTCCTTCCACAACGCTGCTTGATTCCAGTAGTACATATCAATGAGGAATATGTAGGATATGGATCTGCTGATAAGATCACCAAGAAGTGCAGGGGGAAAAAAACAAAGTCACTATGGTGAACTGTTGTGAAGGGAGTTGTAAAAGTGGTATTTCAGGCCGTATTGCAAGAGCTAGTGGGACCTGTGACAATCAGGCAGGTTAGTCAAATATCAATTCAGATCCTCTGCGTGTGCACATGCACATGCAAGTACTGCAGACTGACATGTGGACCCGAGGGTCTGTGGGACTCACATATCAGTGGGCAGCACTATATGTGCAGTACTGCAGAGGACCATCACTCGTCAAATACTACTATGATGTTGATCCATGAAAATAGTTGGATGGCAGGCTGCTATCTAAATGCAACGATTCTTCAAAGGCACGTGGGTCACTTAGGACTAACTAAGTGCTTGTTGATTTCAGCTGTTGACTAGGAACATTTTGAAGAACACACGAAAAAATCCACACCCTCCACACGGAAAACTCTGCATGGATTAATTGGATTTGGGAACAATTCCGAGACGAAGCCCTCCAACCCAGCAGACTCCTCGGCACTCATTGGAAATCTATCGCAGACAAGCTCCCCGAGTACAGGCGAATCACCAGAGTAATAATTAGAAACGGGAGAAGATCATCCTTCTGGCTCGATGTCTGGCATGGCAACGCCCCTCTTTCCCAATCCTTTCCGGCTCTGTTGTCGCACTCAACTAGACAACACTGCTCAGTCCGCCAAGTGAAGCAAGCGGGGCTCCCTCTGGGACTCACCCCTCGTCTCTCTTCAGCCGCCCGAGAAGACTTAGCAGAAGTGCAGGATATCATCCAACAACTGGAGCTCTCAAGTGGTATGGATCAGCGGATCTACTCCCCAAATGGCCACTCAGAGACCTTCTCCTCCAGCTCCCTATATCAATTCCTTTCCTCTTCCAATCTACCTAATTGTGCCAACTGGGATTTCGTCTGGAACAATGCAGCTCTGCCAAGAGTGCAATTCTTCGCCTAGCTCATGAAAAAAAACAGGCTGCCCACTTGCGCAAACCTCTACAAGAAAACAATATTGTCAACTGCTGCATGCGAGCTGTGCCTCTGCCAAGATGAAGACGAAGATCACCTCCTTTTACACTGTCCCTTTCTTTAGCTTTCTGGTCTGTGATCCGAGTTCACCCGAATATCCCCTTAGCACAACTCCTATTTCAGCTCAAGCCGCCTCCGATAATCTCGACGGTAGAATTCAAGTGCTTCTACCTCCTTTGCTTTTGGTGTCTTTGGAATCACCGACACAATGTGGTCTTCAGAAAAGAATCCCCCTCCCTCCAGCGGATCCTTCGCCGATGTGTTGAAGATGCATCCCTTTGGTCAGAACGATTGAAATGTAATGTACGTCCCATAGTTTCGCAGTGGAAGCGTTGCTTCGCTTCTGCCCTTTCATCCCTGTAAATTCAGGCGGGGAAGCTCCCCCCCCCCGGCGTTGAAAATTCAAAAAAAAAAAAAGAACACAAGGTCGATTTGCCATGATCATACATAATTTTAATGAGGCTTTGTCGAAGAGAACAATTCATAGCATCAAGAATGGGACAGTTTCATATATGCGTGCTAGCACTCAGGTACAGTTAGAGAACAAGGCATTCGATGATAGCACTGAAATCACAAAAAATCCAGCTATTGTATCGGACTATTCGATGATATTATTAAAGTGATAGAAAAAGGAGCCTCTATGTTCGCTCTCACGGCTTAAAAATTCTCATATTAATCGAAGAAAAAGGAAAAATAGAGTTTAAATAGGAATATAATTTAAAAATAACTGAAATTCGAATTTTTTTAAAAAAAATTGAATATTGAAATAGAAGGCTAGAGCCCATATACGTATACAATTATAAATAATTGAAATTCGAAATTAAAAAAAAGAACAAAAGTAGAGGTTAGAGTCCATATAGAAATATAATTTATAAATATCTAAAATTAAAAATTTTAAAAAATAAGGAATATTAAAATAAAAGTATAAGAGTCTATATAGAATGTAATTTAGACATAATTAAAATTTCGGATTAAAAGAATAAGGAATATTGAAAGTAGAACTAAAATGCTCCCCTTCACATTCTACCCCTTACCCCAGACCAGCACCCCCCCCCCCCCCCCCAGCCACGGCTCGGAGACGAGGAGGTTCGGGCGGTGAATCCGGTGATGACGAGGCGCGTGGGCGGCGTGCGGCTATTGGCTCGGGCTTCCTCCGGTAGCCAGCGATGGCGACGCCTTGCGGCAGCGGCGGGCGCGGCCGGCGACGACGACGGCCTGCGACGGCGACGGCTACAGCGGCGGGCGGCCGTCCTCCTCCCGGATCCGGCGGCGGCGGCCCGGTGGCGGCGGGAGGAGAGCCCAGCGGAGGAGTCGGCAATGGTGTGGCCGGCGACGGCGACGGCTTGCGGCGGTGGAGGATGGGGGAGGCGAGGGGGAAGAGGCTTCGTGCTCCTCCAGTCGGGCGCATTCGCCGCCATTCCGCCCGCGCTCGCCGAGGCCATCGGCGCCGCTGGGTAGGGCGCGAGCGTCTTGGAGGTGATGGGCGGGGCGCGCAGACTGCTCGTGCCGGACCCGACCGGGACCTGCTCCCAACTCCCGTGGCATGCGAGTTGAGTGGTGCCAGATCCGGCGGCTACGACTGGGCAACGGCTGATCCGGGGAAGGCTTCGTGCTCACTGGTGCTGCCTTCTCCCATGACTCCGACCTCCCTCTCTAGCCGCCGCCGGCGTCCCCCGCTGGATGCAGTCAATGTAGGCTCGGGACTCGCCTGATCTGGGGTGGATCGACGACCATTGGGCTGTCGAAGCATAGCAGAGACCCAGGCAGAGGTGTAGGTTGCTGCTTGCAGGTCCGCCACTGCCCGTGGACAGACAGTGCTCGTCGATCGCATTGCTGTAGGCGCCAGCGACTAGTCCTGCCAGGCCTGACTGGAGAACGGTGGGATTTGGTGCTGCTGCACCCTCAGCGGCGCTGGTTAGTTCCTTTTTTTTATTGGATCGATGGAAGTTCTGAGCTGAGCTTGTTACTATTGTGCTTTTGGCTTTTTGTGGTCTCGATCTAGTTGAACAGAGCTGTTCTAAGAGCATCTTAATATTATTCCCTTGCTTAGCAGTAACCAAGTATTACAAATCAATAGCGATAAAGGTATTAAATGAAAAATTTGCCCCTTTATATCTTTGTAGTTTGTAATAAGCCTGCTAAATTCTCAATGTTCATGTGTTCTGTTCAAAATTTATATGATTCAGAAATTATCCAAGCCACTTGTGCTAGCGTTATTCATAAATTAAGATGTCATGGCTGATATGATCTGTGTATGTTTGAATTTCGACAGTAATCTCAAATTTATACAACTCAAAACTTGTATAAACCACCGGTGCTATCTGTTAGAGCTTGCATTTTCAGAAATAGCTGTAATTGGACATATTTTCATAAATGATCATGTATTCTTAGTGAATTTGGTTCTATGTATTGTTGTGATGATTGCTGCTTTTGCTGGATCAAGCATCATGAGTGAATAGCCCTGATACCAGAGGTTTTTTTTGCAACGCATGAAGAACCATGCTCTCATCTTAATTTTCATTTGTTCAGTCATGAGTTGTTTGTGCAATATATTCAGAAAAGTGTTCCCATGTGAATTTCATTTGTTTAGTGATATATTTGTGCGTGCAATATTTGGAAAACTGCCAATAGCATCATCATCAGGTTCTCTGATATGTTTGATAAATGAAAACTCTAGAAGCTCAATTCGGTAGCAGTTCTATGAAGTTTTGTGGTTCAACAGAGCATATCAATTGATTTTCTCTGAACTGCTCTCTGAAATTTTGTGGTTCAACAGAGCATAGGTGTTTGAATAAAATAATCTACAACCTATTAACGTGATGATGGTAACGTTTTTTATCAGTGAAGGATTAAAACTCCTTGATTCCCATTTATTTATGCGAAGGAAAAAATGAGCCATTTTTTATCCCAGTTTTGCATCACGGAGGAAAAAAATCTATTTTTCAAATGTTATTTACTGATGTGTCATGATTCATGATCTGAGAATTTATCATTGTTTTAGACGGATCTATTTGGTTTTACTTAAATGCTCACCCTCTAGTTTTAACCCTTCTAGAACTGTGCCATTTGCCCATCTGTAATATAGTGCAGCGGAATGATTCATTCGGCTCAGTTGAACTAGAAAATCTAGAAAATGAACCTTGCAGCTGAATGATTTATTCCGATCATCTTGACCAAATAGATTTATTTCTGGATTTGGTATTTGTTTTCTCATTCCGCTGAGTAGCACAATGTTTAATTGTAGGCTGGGAGTAAGGCGAGCCCAAGAACACTATAGTCCGGATTTAATTTTTGCTTTCTCATTTTCAGGTATAGCAGAGTACATTATGCTCATGTGAATACAACCAAGTACATTTTCAGATCCGGTTGCTAGCCAGTGCCATGGAGGAGCAGCAACGACCACCTCCATGCCGCGACGCCGTCAATGTCCAGCCAGCGCCAGTCATCTCCGCCACCAACCACCGGCCGGTCTCTAGATCTATGTTATATTGTCATAGAGTAAAATGTTTACTCACACCGTATGATTGTTTCATGCCGTGTAGGCTTATTGTAAAAAAGTTACTATTCTCATATTTCTCATTGTATTCATATCGTGTAGGCTTATTGTAAAACATTTACCATGTGCTAATAAGTGTCCGTGAAAAATACTTGAGTCTATTTAACTATATTTAACTAGATAGTAAAATTATTACTCAACAATAACGAATTAATCTAACAATATGTTCACGAGTAATTGATTTACTTAGTGAGGCTCCAGTGTGAACAAAAACCAATAACTTATTGACGAAAAAAATATTGGGCGCGGACGTAATCTCCTAGTAATTCTTTTACTTATGGTTCCACGTTGGAAGGAAAATAACATAAATCAATTGGGTGTGCGGTAGTGTTAGTAACTCATTTACTTATAGGTCTTTTACTACCGTAAGTAATTTACTTACTAAGAAAAAAGAACGTGGCAACAGAAAGGTGCGGGTGTGGAGCGGTTGGGGGTGGGGGAGGAGAGAGAAAGGTGGTTTTTCTGGGTGGGAATGGGGGTGGGTAGGGAGGCATGTGAGGGGAGCATTTTAGTTAGTTTAGCGCTGCCCTATATATATATACATATACATATATATATGTATGTATGTATGTGTGTGTGTATATATATATATATATGTATGTATGTGTGTGTGTGTATATATACATATACATATATATGCTATTATATGAGAGTATAAGTATGCTAGCCGCACAATCTGCGTGGGCCATCATGCTAGTTACATCGTAAACTTCCAACCATAGATGGACACAGCTAATAATATCAGTCAAAAAGGGAAAATACATAGTTGAAACTCCATGCTAATTGCTAGAATAACTTGCTAAGAAGTGAATTAACAAAATTGCTAAACTCAGTCTATTACTCTATTGCTGTTATAACATCATGGTTGTTTCCTGTGCCATACTGATGGAGATACTCCGGAGTATGTCTCAAAACTAGTTCTAGATCAAACTAACCCTTGTTAGATCGGCCGGGATCGCTTCCTCTTAGGAAAAATAATTGGCGGTCGTGCAAGTACCTCGTGATGCACCATGTAGCTGTAGTAAGGAGGTACACTAGATCGCCATTCTAGGGCATCAAATTTCCCTTCAAGCTTAATATCTCTAGTAAGAAGTTCGCTTGTTCGTATCACGGGCAGATCATTCAGATTCGCAGAACTTATTTGATAAAGATGGAATGTCGCCGTCACAGCAGACCAATTTTTATACGACCAAATGTAAGTAAGTCCACTTCTTTTCTTAAACATGTCGCTCTGATGTTCACCTTGGAGGTGGATATACCAGCCTGTGAAATATCTATAGTATTCAAGAAAGGTGTACCAGAATTGAGCACTAAGATTTGACCTGAGTATTCCACCAATGACGTGTGCTCCAATGAACGATCCATTCATCAGGACGGCGATCTCCATACATACGGCTGCTAGTTTCGGCTCCTCTTCAGGATTTGAGCTCCCGAATGCAATTGTCTTGAAGAAGTACCAAAATGCTTCTTTTGGGAGAAAATCTAGTTGAAGTGCTCCTGTTGTTCCAAAAGTTGCTATGTTCTTTGATCGACTTGTTATTATGATCTTACTCACAGGTGTTATGTGGTTTCTCAATCTGTGCAGTATCCTTCTCCATGTTTCATCATCCATATCATTGGAAAGTTCAATGACAAGCAATGATTGTTCAGTCGATGAAGGATTTTGATGTTTGATTACAACGGTGTCTGTAAGAAGCGCATGGTATTCACCCCCAATACCATCTGGGCTGTAGAAAACAATTGTAGAGAAGTATTTACGTACCCTTTCATCGCGACAGACATGCTCTACAAGAGTGCTCTTCCCAACCCTGCCTGGGCCAATTATCGGAAGCACATCACAGCCTTCTGCACCAGGGCGGCATGGTTTTAGCAAGAAGTTGATTACCCTCTCTTGTTCTGCTTGGCGGCCAAACATGCAATTTTCTAGCAACAAGTAGCTGCAGTAAGGCTGGCGACCCATACGAGGGTAGCTGCTTAGAAACACAACAAACTCCTGCATGTCAGAAACAATGGTTTCCAGGTGACCAAGCATCTTCTGCAGCTCTTTTCTCTCCAAAACTTCAGATACAATTTTCCGTGTTCTAGTGGAGAAGCACAACCGCTTAAATGGACTGAAAGGGGACATGCCAAGAGAGCGATCACCCAGCTCATCTTGAGCATGCGGTCGAACGATTCGGTACCTGAAATTATCAAGGAAGTAGTAGCCTCTGTACATCATATTGCTCAGCATCGTAAGTTGCAGCAGCATAGCTTGATTTGTGATGTGCCTACTTGACGCCTCCTCAACGATGGCTTGGATCCGCAGCAGCACATGGTGTAACTTCTGTAGATTCTCCTCCACACCCTGATGCTGCTGGTAGTAACTGTCAACTATGAAGGATATGGACCTGCCGAGAAGATCACCAAGAACTGCAGAAAAGAAGGTATCCATAGTGATATATCTTGTGCTTAGAAAAGGTAAATCAATCAGGAAGGCAACTCAACAGTAAAATGCAACTCTATAAACACAAAGCTAGCGAGAAGGAGTAAAGAGTTGTCATGTTGCTGCTGAATTGCATGGGAAGGCCGCTGTCAAGGTGCAATGCACAGAACGCTTTGCACAGTGGGTCATTTATTGATGGCTCAGTTGATTTCTGCACAATTAGCCATAGGTGGCCAATGAAAAGGCTTGTAAGAGGCCACGATTTGCAGAGGACGTGTCAAACCTTAGAATTAGCCAACATCTGGAACCAGCACAGCTTGAAAGCTTCCATTGACAGCAGTGCCGCAATGTAACCATGTCAGATTCTCCCTCCACACCGCTGCTTGATTCCAGTAGTATATATCAATGAGGAATATGTAGGATATGGATCTGCTTATAAGATCACCAAGAAGTGCAGGCAAAAAAAATGTCACTATGGTTAACTGTTGTGAAGGGAATTGTAAAAGTGGTATTTCAGGCCCTATTGCAAGAACTAGTGGGACCTGTGACAATTAGGCAGGTTAGTCAAATGCTATGATGTTGATCCATGGAAATAGTTGGATGGCAGGCTGCTATCTAAATGCAACAATTCTTCAAAGGCACGTGGGTCACTGAGGACTAACTGAGTGCTTGTTGATTTCAGCTGTTGAATAGGAACATTTGGAAGAGCACAAGGCGGATTTGCCATGATCATACATAATTTTAATGAGGCTTTGTCGAAGAGAACAATTCATGGCATCAAGAATGGGAAAGGTTCATAGATGCGTGCTATAGCACTCAGTACAGTTAGAGAGCAACGCATTTAGGGCCGCGCCAAAGCCCAAAGCCAACCCTAGCTATTGTATCGGCCTAGTCGATGAAAGCATTGAAATCACAAGAAATCCAGCACCCAATATGCATCTATCTACCCAAGATATTTACCCTACCAATCGCGCCGTCGTGGAAGTCAGGCAGCGAGGATTAATCCGGCGCAGCAAACCAGGGGCAGCACGGGCGGCGGTGGCGTGGATACGCGGACGAGCTCGAGCGGCGCGGCCGGCGAGTTTGTGCGGCAGGAAACTCTACCTGCCAGAGGATGGTGGAGGCGCGCCGGCGGAAGATCTCCCCGGCGGCCATCGCCGGACCTGACGCCGTCACCATGAGCCTGTGACGCGGCCAGAGAACCCAACCGAGCCTTGCAACGGGAGGCAGGAAGGGAAGAGCCCAAGATATATGGGCCAGTTTTAAGGTTGGGCTTTTAATCTTAAGCGGGCTGAATAGTCATACCGTCCTTCTGCTAGTGCTTCCCCCTCAAGGCCTCAAATTTCCTTTTTTTTTTCTCAAAATAAGATAAAGAAGCTGCACATGTTCTGAAAACACTTCAAAACAAACCCATGCAAGTATCAAGATAGTTCCAAAAGGTGGGGAACCGGGCTATACACAACTTTCAATATTTTTTTTTAGAAAAACTTTCAAATGTAACTATAGCATAAATTCATGAACTGTGGGATGGATGTATGTCACCGGAAACAGAAACTAAAGAAAATGTTAAATTTCAAGCTGGTGTCAAGAATTATAAATTGACTTACTACACCCGAGACGAGAGTACGAAACCAATGACACCGATCGACAGCATTCCGAGTAACTCCTCAGACGGGGGGTTCCGCCCAAAGGAGAGGCTACAATAGCTACCAAATCTTCTACTGGTACATGGACAATTGTTTGGATTAATGGACTTACTAGTCTTGATTGCTACAAAGGCTTATGCTATCACATCAAGCCCATTGTTGGAAAGGAAAATCAATATATCGCTTATATAGCTTATCTATTAGACCTATTTTGAAGAGGGACTCTTCCATTTGGGTAATATACTCCCTTCATTTTTTAATAGATGACGCCGCTGACTTTTAAATATATGTTTGATCATTCGTCTTATTAAAAAAACTTATGCAAATGTATAAGATATAAATCACGCTTAAAATACTTTGAGTGATAAAACAACTCACAACGAAATAAATTATAATTACGTAAATTTTTTGAATAAGATGAATGGTCAAACGTGTGACAGGAAGTCAACGGCGTCATCTATTAAAAAACGGAGATTGTATTTGGTTTCAAAGCCCCACGCGCTCTAGTGCTCTACGTCCAGAGGATTACGAATTCCCTCTACTTATTCAAAAACTTTTCAAGGACCACCTCATGGTATCTAAGTTGCAAGGGATAAGTTCAACAAGTACGATTGTCCTTTATTAGAATGTATTAGTAAACTAAAATTGAGATTATCTGCAAAAAAAATATGGTAGAGCATGATATGAGTTTCTATGTGGTGGACTTGATTTTACTAAAGACGATGAAAACGTGAAGTCACAACTATTTATACGTTGGAGGGACTGTTTTGTCTTTTCTGCCAAAGCTATTTATAAAGCACAGGCCGAAACCGGTTAAATTAAGGTTCATTACTTGAATGCGACTGAAAAAACCATCTGGAACGAAGATTAGATAAGGGAAGATGGCATTACATCCATGCAAAGAGATGTACATAGCTAATAGTTTAGTTTACAATGTCAAAACGGGGGAAACATGTGAGCAAACTCTCTGTTGAACTAAACTATCAGTTGTTGTTACGGCATCCATACTGTTTCCTGTGCCATATGGATCAACCAACTCTAGACTCTAGTGACCCCAACGATTTCAGATCAAACTAACTGTCCAGACAGTGACCGGGATCGCTTCCTTTTAGGCGGCATATGCAGCGGCCGTGCAAGTACCTCGAAATGTGCCATGTAGCAGTAGTAAGGTGGTATCTTCGATCGCCATTGCAGGACATCAACTTTCCCTTGAAGCTGAACATTTCCAACAAGAACATCGCTTGCTAGCACCATGGGCTGATCATTCAGATCTTCAGAACTTGCTTGATAAAGAGTGTATGTCAATGCATATGTCGCTTCAGTAACACACCGATTTTCAGGCGTCCAAACGCAAGTGTGTCCACTTATCCTTTTATATGTTTCAGTTGGATGTTCGCCTAGCTCACGGATATGAATGTCTGTATAATATTTAAAGCATTCGAGAAACTTGTACCAAAATTGAGGATTGAGATTAGACCTGAGTATGTCACCAATGATGTATGTTCCCATGAATGATCTATTCATCAAGGCAGCGATCTCCATACATATGGCTGCTAGCTCCGGCTCTTCTTCAGGATTTGCGCTCCCAAATACCATCGTCTTGAAGAAATACCAAAACTCTTCTTCTGGGAGAAAATCTAGTTGAAGTGCTTCCGTTGTTCCAAAGGTTGCTACCTTGTTTGATCGACTTGTTATGATGATCTTACCCACAGGTGTTGAGTGGTCTCCTCTCAGTCTGTGCAATATTCTTGTCCATGTTTCATTATCCATATCATTGACAAGTTCAATGATAAGAAGTGATTGTCCAGTTGATGCAGGATTTCGATGTTTGATTACACCGATTTCAGTAAGAGGCACCAATTCTCCACACTCAATACTATCTGCGCCATACATAAGTATTTTAGAGAAGCATTTACGAACCATTTCATCATGGCAGACATGCTCAACAAGAGTGGTCTTCCCAACTCTGCAAGGCCCAATTATTGGGAGCACATCAATGCCTTTTGAACCGGCAGGACGATGTGGTTCTAGCAAGAAGTTGATGATCCTCTCCTTCTCTATTTGGCGGCCAAACATGCAGTTTTCCAGCAACAAGTAGCTGCCATAAGGCTGGCGACTCATACGAGGGTAGCTGCTCATAAGCACAACAAACTCCTGCATGTCTGAAACTATGCCTTGCAGGTGATCAAGCATCTCTTGCAGCTCTTTCTTCTCCAGAACTTGTGACAGAATTTTCCATGTTCTAGTGGAGATGCAGAAACGCTTTAATGGACAGAAATGGGACAGGCCAAGAGAGTGATCACCAACCTCATCTTGAGCATGTGCTTGGATGTTTCGGTACCTGAAGCTATCGAGGAAGTAATAGCCTCTGTACATCACGTCTCTCAGCATCCTGAGCTGCAGCAGCATCGCCTGGTTTGTGATGCACCTCCGGTCGGCCTCCTCGACTGTGGCTTCGATCCGCAGAAGCACACGGTGTAACCGCTGTTGATTCTCCTCGGCATCCTTCTGTTGCTGGTGGTATCTGTTGATCAGGAAGGATACAGACCTGCTGAGAAGATCACCAAGAACAGCAGAAAAGAAGGTGTCCATGGTGGGGTGTTGTGATTGGAAGAAGGTGTGCAGTGAGGCAGGGAAGCTAGCCACATGCTATCTTGTCGATGTTGAACTGCATTTGCAAGAGTCTTTGATGGAAGAGTCGGAAAGAAGAAAAAGAAAAAAAAGAAGAAGAAGTGGATTGCAAGACCCGCGGTCTAGAACTCTGGAGTATATGCAATACAGTTGTTCATTCATCATTGACGGCGCCTGCAATGTCGGTTTCAGACTTTCCATTGTGACTGCACAATTTGTCCTGTTAGACTGGCCACTGATTTTCATAGCATGTGTCAGACCTTAGAATTACTGCCCCCTCCGTTCGTTTGACTTTTTTTTAAGTTAAATTTCTTTAACTTTAACTTTGATCAAACTTATAGAAAAAACATGAAGATCTACGACAACAAATTAGTCCCATTAAATTTGATATTGAATATAACTTAATATAATATTTACTTTGTATTAAAAATATTATTATATTTTGTTACAAACTTAATTAAACTTTAATAAGTTTGACTAATAAAAAAATTAAATGATATATAATATGAAACGGAGGGAGTAGCAAATACCAGCTCACTTCGGAAGTAAGCAGTTATCTAGTTTAGGTGATAAATAATCATCTACTTCCTACCATTTACTTCTATCCCTTTTTAAGTGCAGGTGTGTGTTTCCGTGTACTATATTTGACCGTCTGTCTTATCTGAATTTTTTTATGATTAGTATTTTTATTGTTATTAGATGATAAAATATAAATAGTACTTTATACGTGACTTTTTTTATTTTCTCATAAATTTTTTAAATAAGACGGATGGTCAAACCTTAGATACGGAAACCTACAATTACACTTGAAATGAGAGGGAGGAGTATGTTTCGGGCCTGTTCACTTTGATGCCATTTTCAACCATGCTATTTTTTAGTAAAGTTGCCAAAAAAATATCTATGTTTAGTTTGTTGCCAAATTTGGTAAATATATAAGAAATCGTGCCAAAATTTTGATAATATTACCATCTTACCAGGTAAGATTTATTTTAGCTACAATTTGACCAGTCCCTCCATGTTTCCTTGACTGCCAGAAAAGCCACTTGCGTTTCATGTTTTTCTTGACCACATTTCATTACACATACAAATGCCAGCAAGGCTCAATATATAACCAAAGGCAAAAAAACACTAAATTTCTTTTTCACCACCAACGACCACTGAACAAACTTGGTTGACTAACATGATTTATGCGCCGCTAACTTGTTGAGCATTTGACAAAATCTTTATATTTAGTCCTAGTTTCTTATATAAATTGAAGTACCAATATAACTTTCAATAGAAAAACTTTCAAATGTAACTATAATTATAAACTAGTATAATTACATTATAACTTGATTATAGTTATATTGTAACCGATATATAACTTGTACGTAGTTATATTGTAACCGGTATATAACTTGTACAGAAGAAATCAAAACGAGGTGCTGGTTCACTTGTGAAGGCGCACGCACGCAAATCTTAGGTTGCGTGTTCTATTCTTCCTGGCTGCCCCATTGCATTTTTTCCGACGCCCCCATTTGCATGAATCTTGGAGCAAATTCAATGGCCCATAATTCGAAAGGTTTAGAGTTAGGGTTTAGGTGTTGATTCCCAAAAAAAATTGCCGACAAAAAAATAGTTATACTATAGTTCTTCCAATTATATACTCCACATTTGGCAAGGACACTTGTTACATATTATTTTATTCATTTTGAGTTTTAATAATTTTTAACTTGGAATTTGTACTGTAATCAAATTGATGATTTTATTATATTTTTATTCCGAATTTCAATTAATTTCATATTATGTTCTACATGGACTCTTCTTATTTTTATTTGTTATTCAAATTTCAGATACTTTAAATCGTATTTCTACTTGTATTATATGTTGGGTTCAATATGGTTCTTTTTATTTTCTTTATTTTAATCCAAATTTCAGTTATTTTAAGTTGTATTTCTACTTAAAATAATTGATGAGTATATCTGGTGGCATCCTCGTGCGGAGCGAGCGGCAACGGGGACCTTGAGTAGGAGCGACCGACGGCGGGCTCGAGTGGGACCGGGCAGCAAGGGATCAGTGGTGAATGTGGCGCCATGATGGGCAGATCCAGTGAATCCATCGGGGTGCGGAGGGATAGTGGTAGAGGCGCAAGGAGGAGTGACGACGACAACAACGATGAGCTGGCGGGACTCGACGACGGAGACGACGAGCAGTGGCAGACTACGACGACGACAAGCACCCGCTTGCCAAAAAACAATTTTTCCATGTGGGTGCGCCATTCGCATGAAAAAATAGCGATTGCAATCATCTCCTGGCAGACGGACGGTTCAACCGCATGCAAAAATAGCTTTTGGATGCATGCAAAAATACCATTTTAGTAGTGGCCAATATAAGACATGAAAAAAAAGGGGTTGTGCTTCAGTCCTGTATTTTGAGATGGTGAGATGGAGGGAGTACTACACATCAACTTCAAAAGTCATAGAAGTTTAGTTTAGTTTACATTGTCAGAAAGGGAAATTACATTGGACAAACTCCATGCTAATTGCTAAAACAACTGGCTAAGTGAATCAACAAAGTTGCCAACTCCGTCTGTTGCTTAAACCTCATATGATTCTAGATTAAACCAAACCTTCTGAGAGCGACCGGGACCGCTTCCTTTTAGGCAGCATATCCGGTGGTTGTGCAAGTATCTCGTAATGCGAAATATAGTTGTAGTAAGGAGGTATGCTAGATCGCCACTCCAGGGCATCAAATTTCTCCGGAGGCTCAACGTCTCCGGTAAGAACATCATTTGATAGAATTGGGGATAGATCAGCCAGCTGAGCAGAACTTGCTTGATGGAGGCTATATGTCGCTGCGACAACACTCATATTTCTAGATGTCCAAATGTAAGTAAGTCCACTTGTTTTTGTATACGCGTCGCTTGGGTGTTCTCCTAGCACGGAGATATGCATGTCTGTGTAATGCCTGAAGCATTTGAGAAACCTGCACCAGAATTGAGCACTAAGATTAGACCTGAGTATGCCACCAATGACGTGTGTTGCCATGAAAGATCCCTTCACCAAGGTCGCGATCTCCATACAAATGGATGCTAGCTTTGGCTCTTCTTCGGGATTCCTGCTCCCAAAAGCAATCGTCTTGAAGAAATACCAAAATGCTTCTTTTGGAAGAAAATCTAAATGAAGTGCTTCTGTTGTTCCAAAAGCCCTTATCTTGTCTGATCGGCTCGTTAATATGATCTTACTCACAGGTGTTATGTGCTCTCCTCTTAGGTTGTGCAATATTCTTGCCCATGTTCTGTCGTCCATATCATCATCAGCAAGTTCAATGATAACCAATGATTGTCCAGTTGAGGTAGGATTTCGATGTTTGATTAGACCGGTGTCTGTAAGAAAACCACCCCCAATACTATCTGCGCTACATAAAACAATCATGGAGAAGTATTTACGCACCCGTTCATCATGACAGACATGCTCAACAAGAGTGCTCTTTCCTACCCTGCCCGGTCCAATTATCGGAAGCACATTAATGCCTTTTGCACTAGGATGATTTGGTTCTAGCAAGAAGTTGATGATCCTCTCCTGTTCTATCTGGCGACCAAACATGCAGTTTTCTAGCAACAAGTAGCTGCAATAAGGTTGACGACTCATATGAGGGTAGCAACTCACAAACGCAACAAACTCCTGCATGTCTGAAACAATGTTTTCTAGGTGACCAAGCATCTTCTGCAACTCCTTCTGGTCCAAAACTTCGGATGCAATTTTCCTTGTTCTAGTGGAGAAACAAAACCGCTTAAATTGGCTGAAAGGGGACAGGCCAAGAGAGCGATCACCCACCTCATCTTGAGCATGCGCTTGAACAGTTCGGTACCTGAAATTATCAAGGAAGTAGTAGCCTCTGTACATCACGGCTCTCACCATCCTAAGCTGAAGCAGCATAGCTTGGTTCGTGATCTGCCTCCCATGTGCCTCCTCAACGATGGCTTGGATCCGCAGCAACATGCGGTGTAACTTCCGTAGATTCTCCTCCACACCCTGATGCTGCCGGTAGTATCTGTCAATCGTGAAGGATATGGACCTGCTGAGAAGATCACCAAGAACAGCAGAGAAGAAGGCGTCCATGGTGAGATTTTGTGATTAGAAGAAACCAATTAGGTGCACCTGTTGTCTTATACAAAAGGCTAGCCACAAGGAGTTGCCACTTGCCGTGTTGCTGTTGAATTGCATAGTATTGCAAGGCCGCTGTCTAGGTCGTTCATTGACTGCACAATTAGTACTCCCTTTGTTCCTAAATACTTGACGTCGTTGATTTTTTTAAACATATTTAAGTGTTCATATTATTCAAAAACTTTTATGAATATTATTGAAAAACTTGAGTAGTAGTAGTAGTATATTTAACAATGAATCAAATGATAGGAAAATAATTAATAATTACTTATTTTTTAAAATAAGATGAATGGTTAAATATATTTTAAAAAGTCAACGGTAACAAATATTTAGGGACGGATGGAGTATTAGTCATCGGTAGGTGGTCAACGAAAGGCTCGTTATGGGTAGGTGATTTTCAGTGCATGTGCTAGACCTTAGAATTACTACTTTCAATTTAATTAACGTTTTAAACAATTAATACGGTCTACCTTATTTTTCTATTATAATACATATATTAAATAAATGTATGTTTACTTTTATTGTAGTGTTTTGAAAGACAAATCTATATATGTTGTTCTAGTTTTTTTAAACTAAATATTTTTAAAATTATTAATGGTCAAAGTTATAAAAGTTTGATCTTAACTTTGTTTAAAACATAATTATTATAGAATCGAAGGGAGTAGTAAATGTACAAAGGCCGAGAGACATGCAGTTTTCCAGCAACAAGTAGCTGCCATAAGGCTGGCGACTCATACGAGGGTAGCTGCTCATAAGCACAGCAAACTCCTGCATGTCTGAAACTATGCTTTGCAGGTGATCAAGCATCTTTTGCAGCTCTTTCTTCTCCAGGACTTGTGACAGAATTTTCCATGTTCTAGTGGAGATGCAGAGACGCTTCAATGGGCAGAAATGGGACAGGCCAAGAGAGTGATCACCAACAAGGCAACAACGTACGCCCCTCCAACCACAAGCAACGGTTGCCCATTAACAACTAAGAAACCATATTTTCGAGCACATGTTACATACGTAAACCATTATAAAATCACAAACATTAAAAAATAGCATTTTATCAACATCTCGACCAATTGTTAATCGTAACTTAATCACCATGATTTTACAAATAAACATATTTTAATAGATGATTTGAAAGCTAAAGTTTATATTTAGATGTAACTTGACGATAATACATGATTAATAAATTCATTCTTGAGAATAATATATAATATACACATAAAAACTTGAATGATATTATATATAAGAATTTTGTGTCCTCTTCTCATATACTTAACACTCCTTTTCTGATACACTATTTTTCATGCATTCTATATTTTAAATTGTATGTCAACTTGGATTATACATTGTGATCAATATGGATTCTTTTTAATCTTATTTTAAATTATATTCCTACTTGAACTCAGTTTTAATCTAGTCCGTCATACTCTTGACACACACTTTAATCAATGACTTAGATCTGATTAATGCATAAATTTCTAAGCTATAAGAGCAAACATTGGTGACTTTATTTTCTATTACTTTATCAAGATAATAAATTCGTGGTCTATTTTACATCGGTTATTTTTAAATTTGGAGTATAGATGCCACTGACATATAGAAATCATCACATGTCGAGAAGGCTGTGGAAAGGGGAAGTATTTGTAGAAGAGATGCATGTCCAGTGGCAGAGGTCCTGAGGACTACAAAGATTTAAAACAAAAATCTGGACCAAAACAGCAGTAGTACAACCACATGGATGTGCGGAAATGGAAGGTGGAACTTGCCGGAGGTTGACGATATTTTTTTTAGGCAAGAGTTTTACAATATCAATAGATATTGCAGATAAAACTAACCCTCTATGGCAGTTACCGTTCAAAACTATTGAAGGGTGTGTTTAGTTCACACCAAAATTAAAAGTTTGGTTGAAATTGGAACGATGTAACGGAAAAGTTGGAAGTTTATGTGTGTAGGAAAGTTTTGATATGATGGAAAAGTTGAAAGTTTGAAAAAAAAAGTTTGGAGCTAAACTCAACCTGAGCTAACAAGCCACTGAACTCCGAAGATCAAGGAGGAGACACCCGAGGCAGTTAGTTTGTGGAGATCTTGGAGGGCGGCAAGCACGCTTGAGGTTGCAACTGCAATAGAGATATTTAACTATTTACCATTTTTACAAGTGGCAATTAAGAATTTACTACTGAATCCACATGTCATAGATTGTGGGTGGTAAATAGTCAAATGCCCCAGGATCTAGACTGCTAGAAGGAGAAGAAAGATTGATGCATGGGTCCTATCATTTATTTAAAATTTTGTTGCCTGATTGGACCACCATATAAGCACCACGTAGATGAAAACCGACCATTTCTTTAAAATATTATTGGCTGACTGGATCATCATGTAAGCATCACATAGACGAAAAATTATAGGGTTGGTTTGAACCAAGGGGATGGGTAAAGTAAGGGGCTGTTCAGATTGATGCTATTTTCAACTATATTATTTTATTTTAAAGTTGTAAAAAAAATGTATGCGTTTAGTTTGTTGCCAAATTTGGTAAATACATAAGAAATCTTGCTAAAATTTTGGTAATATTGCCAACTTACTAAATTTTGGCATAGATTTATTTTGTCTACAATCTGAACAAGCCCTAGATAGTTTCAAGACAAAAGTGGCAAAATATGATATATTAGATGGTAACTCGGACTTATCCCTTTATTTAAAATTATTTCTTATACATATGTAGCGATCAATCAATCCACTATAATTTAGTCCCATCAGCATAGATTACACATATATTTATTTTTAATTTATTTAACATGGTAATTTTTTTAAGCCTCAAGAATGAACATAGTGGCTCCTTTTAGCCATATTTATAACTAGCATGGTGGCCCGCGCAGATTGCGCGGCTAGCATCATTACATTTTATCTCATATAATAGCATATATGTTTTCTCAATATATTATTCAAATATATTAAGAAGACAACATAATTTTAAATTTTATACTAACTTTACGAAACTACTAATGTGTAATATTCATATTGTATTTTATATATGTGCTAGTTATTAATTATTTTTAATATCAAATTTTAGTTATTCGTAAATTATATTCATATAGACACTAGACTCGTCTTTATATATATATTTTAAATTCTGGATTTTCATTACCTGTAAATTGTATTTCTATATAGACTCTAGGCTTTTCTCCCAATATTATTTATTTTTAATTCTGAATTTTTATTATTTCTAATTGTATTTCTATGTGGACTCTAAAGTCATCTTTCAATATTCTTTAATTTTTAATTTCGAATTTCAGTTACTTTTAAATTGTATTCCTATAATGACTTTAGACTCTTCTTTCCATGTTTTTTTTAATTTCGAATTTTAGTTATTTGTAAATTGTATTTTTATGCGAACTCTAAACTAAATTTTTAATTTTATTTTATTTATTCTAAATTTTAGTTAGTTTTAAATTCCTATATGGACTCTATACTCTAATTCTAATATTCCTTATTTTTAATTCCGAATTTCTATTATTTCTTAATTGTATTTCTATATGGACTCAATACTCACTTCTAATATTCCTTATTTTTAATTCCAAATTTCTATTATATCTTAATTGTATTTCTATATGGACTCTATACTCTTCTTCTAATATTCTTTATTTTTTAATTCCGAATTTCAGTTATTTATAAATTGGATTTCTATATGGACTCTAGTCTCCTCTTCCAATATTACTTATTTTTTAATTCCGAATTTTAACTATTTCTAAATTGTATTTCTATATGGACTCTAGTCTCCTCTTCTAATATTCCTTACTGTTTTTCTTTTTCTCCGATTAATATGAGAATTTCTAAGCCGTGAGAGAACGTGGAGGCTCCTTTTTCTAGGGAGTGGATTCTAATCCATCGAGAGGATATCCCCTCGTATACCTTTTTCTTTTAAATTCGATGCAAATAGTTGTGAAAAATTCTGAAAACAATTGACAATATAGAGTATAATGGTACCTACTAGTCCACCAAAATTCATGTTCAAATTCGATCTACACATCAAGAAACATAAAAGATAAATTTAGATATAAACAGTACGATACTATTCATACGCTAAATTTGCCTTTTTTTATATCTTGACTTGTGAGTTAAGTTTGGACTTAATATTTTGTGGAGTTGTATATATGTGTTGTATGAATGTTGTCAAATTTTTCCAGAATTTTTCATAACCGTTTAGATGGTTTTTAAGCAAACGAGGGAACATCCCCTCGAGGGATTAGAATAGTTTTCCCTTTTTCTGTTACTTTAATAAGTTAATAGATATCTCTGTTCTTGAAATAATTTAGTTTTGAACTCTTTTTAGCAAAAATAAATAAATACTTGAAAAATATGTTACATTATTGAAGTATGTAGCTTCACAAATATAAATATGCAACTTTCATTCATAAAAAATCTAATAGTTAAAATATATAGATCAAAGTTTCACGAACTCTTTAGAAAATAAATCAAGACAAAAGATATGTGCAACAAAAAAAAACCATATGACTTGTTGGGGGAATGGCTCCGGGTAAAGGAGCAAGCCTCCGAAAGACGAACCGAGCTTCAACGGAGCCATCCACCCTAGGAAAATGACTAAAGATGGCTACTACCCTAGGCTCCGGAGCAATTTAGAGGCTCTGGGGCCAACCAAGGCTTCCGGAGCCCGCTTGAGGCTCCGGAGGCAGCCAAGGCATCCGGAGCCTCCCGTAGGCTCCGGAGCTGTTTGAGGCTTCCGGAGCTACCCAGGGGCTCCGGAATTGACCAAGGCCTCCGGAGCGCTCCGTGGCCTCCGAAGCCGTATAAGGACTTCGGAGGCCTATCAAGGCCTCCAGGGCTAACTGCTGCCCCGGAGGAAACCAGGGCTTCAAGAGCCCTAGGCTTGAGATGGAGGACTGGACGCTCAGTGGGATGGCATAAATACGTACTACACGCCGCCAACCACCTCTGACACCACTGACGATGGCGAGATGGCGCACGCTATTACCCGGAGCATGGCTTTATCCGGGTAATAGCGGGCACCCTCGGGAACATGCGCCGCTTCCTTAATGGGCGCAGCCCTCCTGTCACCAGGGAATTTACCCGATGGCCGTCAGGCTGGCCCACCGGCCAACCACTTAGATTAGCCAGCAATGTGGGTAGCAATGTAATTTCCTCTTTGTACACTCCATATAAATGTGTAAACGTTGCCCGCGGTTGAGGCATCCAATACAGAGAGAAATACACGCATACTTGTTGGATTTTGTCCCAACATGACTAAAAGATTTGATACCGAAGATGCACACAATTGATTAATACTAGTTAGTTTACATCATCAAAGAGGGTGGGAAAGAGAAGGGGGCACACATGAGTAACACCATTTGAAAAATAATTGGATTGGAACGAAATGGAACATGTTTACCAAACAGTCCGTTGATGGACCTAATCTAAAGTTTGACAACACTAATTCCATATCAAACTAACTCTTCTGAGAGCGCCCCGGATCGCTTCCTTTTAGGAGGTAGCATAAGTTTCTGTTGTGCAAGTATCTCGTATTGCGTGATGTAGCTAATGTATGGAGGTATGCTGGATTGCCATTCCAAGACTTCATATTTTGCTGCCTGAGGCTTAACAGTTCCGGTTAGAATATCTCTGCTTGTTAGTACCGTTTGTAGACCATTTAACCTTGCAGAATTTACTTGGTAATAATTGTATGTCACTAAGTCACTGTCACCACAATAGTTTTCATGCATCCAAATGTAAGTACGTCCACTGTTAGCATTATACAAGTCTCTTGGGTGTTCACCTAGCAGATGTATATGCCTGTATGTGAAAAATTTCAGGCGTTTGAGCAAACTGTACCAGAATTGAGCGCTGAGATTAGAATTGAGTATGCTCGCAACGATGTTTAATCCCATGAAAGATCCATTCAGAACAGCTGCAATCTCCATACATATAGATGCTAGCTTCGGCTCCTCTTCTGGATTTGTGCTCCCAAATGCGACCGTCTTGAAGAAATACCAAAAATCTTCTTTTGGCAAAAAACCTAAATGGAGTGCTTTTGTTGTTCCAAAAGTTGCGATCTTGTTTGATCGACTTGTTATTATGATCTTGCTCACAGGTGCTACATGGTCTCCTGATCTTAGGCTTTGCAATATTCTTCTCCATGTTTCATCATCCATCTCATCCACAAGTTCAATGATCGCTAGTGACAGCTTGCTTGAGGCAGGATTTCGATGTTTGATTGCACCGGTGTCTGTAAGAGGCGCCAGGTCTCCATCGCCAATGCTATCTGGGCCATAGAAAACAGTCGTAGAAAAGTATTCACGAACCCTTTCATCACGGCAGACGTGCTCGACGAGTGTGCTCTTCCCAACTCTGCCCGGTCCAATTATCGGAAGCACATCGATATCTTCTTCATCACCGAGAGGATGTGGTGCTAGCAAGAAGTTGATGATCCTCTCCTTCTCTATTTGGCGGCCAAACATGCAGTTCTCCAGCAACAAGTAGCTGCAATATGGTTGGCGTTTCATACGAGGGTAGCCGCTGACGAGCACAACAAACTCCTGCATGTCTGAAACTACGGTTTTCAGGCGACCAAGCATCTCTTGCAGCTCTTTTTTCTCCAAAATTTCGGATATTGTAGTTTTCCTATCTCTAGTGGAGATACAGAACCGCTTTAATGGACTGAAAGGGGACAGATCACCCACCTCATCTTGAGCATGTGGTTGAGCGATTCGATACCTGAAACCATCGAGGAAGTAGTAGCCTCTGTACATCATCTCTCTCAACATGCCAAGCTGTTGCAGCATCGCTCGGTTTGTGATGAGCCTCCCGTCGGCCTCCTCGACGATGGCTTCGATCCGTAGAAGCACGCGGTGTAACTGCTGCAGACGGCTCTCCTCCTCCACGCTCTGCTGTTGCTGTTTGTATCTGTCAATCATGAAGGATATGGACCTGCTGAGAAGATCACCAAGAACAGCAGAAAAGAAAGTGTCCATCATGGTTAAGATTTTTGTTATGATTGGAACAAGGGTATAATCAGGGCAGGCATGCAACTTATACTGAAGCCTAGCCACAGGGAGCTGTACATGTTGTTGTTGAATTGCTCCAGGTCAGCCCTTAACAGCGATTTCTTGCTGAGTTGTTGGTTTCAAACGTTTTAGTTGTTGAGTGTTGACTGCACATTCAGTCGCCGATAGTGACAACGAAGGGCTCATAAGAGGCGATGATTTTCAGTACACGTGCTAGACCTTAGAATTAGCAAACGTCAGCTCCCTTACGTTTTCAGAATTAGGTAATTAAGCCAGGCGTTTGATAAGGAGTAATATACATGGAGGGTCATCCAATTTGCTTAGGTGTATCATATAGGTCACTCTACTTTTAAAATGCACATCTGGATCATTAATGTAAGTTAAGTGAGTCATTTAGCCATTTAACTATTCACATGAGCACACCTCATACATATAGCATGTCACCTAGGGTTGAAAAAAATGTTTGAGCATCCGCCGCCATTGCCTAATAGGATTTTGCCTCCGTTGTTGTTTAAGATTGTACAATAACTCATAAAAAAGCAAAGTGAAAATGATTTGGTTCTCCTAATTTCGTATATTTTCAAGTGGTCGTGCTGTGAGAATGGGAAAAAAATACATATGTGATTTTCTACATATGTCAAAGCATTTTTTTCAATCATAGGTAGCATGTCATGCGTACAAGGTATGCTCATATGGATAGTTAGATGAACAAGTGACTCACTTGACTCATTAGTGATCTAGATGTGTATTTTAAAAGTAGAGTGACCTACTTGACACAACTAAACAAGTTAAGTGATCCTCCATGCATTTTACTCTTTGATAAATTACCCTCCACTTCATATTATTGTTTGCTTTATTCGTAGAAAAGACTGTCCTGTTCCATGTTTCCTTGACTCTTGGAATGCTGGAGAAAGCAATATGTGTTTTTGTTTATTTTAGAAAAAAAATCCATGCAGGTGTCATACGAGAGAATGTGATGCAATATGTTTCTTACTTATATTTGGAGAAAACAGAAGAAATGGTATGATCATCAGATTAAGCCATAGAAGCATGAGGAACCTTCTTGTGTTCTCTCAGTGTCAGAACTCATGAGAGAAAACAAGCATGGAAGTCTGACGAAAAACGTACAAACAGATGATGTGAGATTCTGAGTGGTAAAGGCATTGTATTGCTTGATACTTGAGTCGCCACTGGAATTATGGTTCAACACGCTTTCATATGGTCATGCTCTTCTAACTTAGTACTCCCTCCGTTTCACAATGTAAGTCATTCTATTTAGATTCATTAACATCAATATGAATGTGGAAAATGCTAGAATGACTTACGTTGTGAAACGGAGGAAGTAACATTTTGTTACAAATATATTTAATGTCAAAGTTCAACATAAAAGACCATGACAAATCAAATTGGGTCTTACAAAAAAAATGCACGAGGGAGAAATTTAAAAGCCAACTTGTCTCTGTTTTAAGAAATGAACAAAGACCCACATTTTACTGCAGCCAAAAAAAAAAAAGAAAAAGAGAGGGATTTCTTGTTCATCCTGAGGCAACTGAAAATTTGCTACATTTCAGTCACTGTCACTCCACACTTTTTCTTTATAAAACAATCCCTCCTTTGACAAAAGGTTGAATGAAGAATTATCTAAGCTAAACATAAAACGAACCAGTTGGGCAGTGTTATTTGAAGTAAATTTGCATGTTCTACACCACTCTTCCTCTCCTTTTTTAAAATAAAACTGTTTCTTATACATCTGTGGCTATCGATCTATACTATATAATGTTCCACTTTGATGGATAGCATAGATATTTCTTTTTTATTTCATTTAACATAATAATTTCTAAGCCTTGAGAATGAATATGATGGCTCCTTTTAGTCATGTTTGTACTGTTCAATTTCAAACTTAGACCACTTCTTTTTTTAAAAAATATATAAATACCTAAATATGTTAGTTAATGTTACATTATTAAAGTGCTATGCTTCACAAATATAACCATACAAGTTTCATTCATCAAAATCTAATCGTTCAAATATAATTTGTGGTGAGTCAGATGTCAATGTTATTCGAGAACAAAGGGAGTGATATAGAGATACAGATTCAAATTTCATAAAATTTTATAAATATATAAACATAAAAAGATATGTCCAACCTTACAAAAAAAAAACAAAACCATATGACTAAAAGATTATATGACGGAAGATGGCACGACATTCCTGCATAAAGATGTACACAAGTAATAGTAAGTTTACATCAAAATAACTGGATAAGAATGGAGTCAAACATATTTTATAAACTGTTGCTGTTATAGAATCCATATTTGTTTGATGTGCCATATGGATGGAGCTAAACTAGTTTGACAACCAACATTATTTTGGATCAAACTAACTCCTCTAAGAGCGCCCGGGATCGCTTCCTTTTAGGTAGCATAAGCGGCTGCCGTGCAAGTATCCCGTATTGCACGATATAGCTATAGTATGGAGGTATGCTGGATTGCCATTCCAGGGCTTCACATTTCTTCTGAGGCTTAACATTTCCGATAAGCATATCGCTCATTCGTATCATTGGTAGATTATTTAGTCCTGCAGAATTTGCATGGTAAAGATTGTATGTCGCTGCGTCACCGTCACCATAGTAGTTTTTATGCATCCATATGTAAGTACGCCCACGGTTAGACTTGTATGAGTCTCTTGGGTGTTCACCTAGCAGACGGAAATGTCTGTCAGTGAAATATTTCAAGCGTTTGAGAAAATTGTACCAGAATTGAGCAGTAATATTAGATCTGAGTATGCTCCCAACAACATTTGATTCCATGAATGATCCATTCACCAAGTCTGCGATCTCCATACAAATGGATGCTAGCTTCGGCTCCTCCTCAGGATTTGTGCTCCCAAATGCAACCGTCTTGAACAGATACCAAAAGGCTTCTTTTGGGAGAAAATCTAATTGGAGTGCTTTTGTTGTTCCAAAAGTTGCTATCTTTCTTGATCGACTCGTTATTATGATCTTACTCACAGATGTTATGTGGTCTCCTCTCAAGCTGTGTAATATTCTTCTCCATGTTTCATCATCCATCTCATCGACAAGTTCAATGATAGCTAATGACTGTTCGCCTGAGGCAGGATTTCGATATTTGATTGCCCTGGTGTCTGGAAGAAGCACCATGTCTCCATTATCAATGCTATCCGGGCCATAGAAAACAATTGTAGAGAAGCATTTACGTACTCTTTCATCACGGCAGACATGCTCAACAAGAGTGCTCTTCCCAACTTTGCCTGGTCCAATTATCGGAAGCACATCAATACCTTTTGCACCACAAAGAGGATGTTGTTCTAGCAAGAACTTGATGACCCTTTCCAGTTCTGCATGACGACCAAACATGCAGTTTTCCAGCAACACATAGCTGCAATAGGGTTGGCGAGTTATACGAGGGTAGCTGCTCGCAAGCACAACAAACTCTTGCGTGTCTGAAACAATGGTTTCCAGGTGACCAAGCATCTTTTTGCAGCTCTTTTTTCTCCAAGATTTCAGATGCGATTTTACTTGCTCTAGTGAAGATAAAAAATCGTTCTAATGGATTGAAAGGGGGCAGGTCGAGAGAGTGATCACCCACCTCGTCTTTAGCTTGAGCTTGAAAGATTCTGTACCTGAAATTATCAACGAAATAGTAGCCTCTGAACATGACATCTCTCAACATCCTGAGTTGCAGCAGCATCGCTTGGTTTGTGATGCACCTACTGTCTGCCTCCTCAACGACGGCTTTGATTCGCAACAGCATGCGGTGTAACTGCTGTAGATTCTCCTCCACACCGCCCTGGTGATGGTGATGGTATATATCAATCACGAAGGATATGGACCTGCTAAAAAGATCACCAAGAACAGCAGAAAAGATGGTGTCCATGGTGAGATTTTTGTGATAGGAAGAGGGAGAGCAATCAGGCTGGCAATTTAAACAAGTTGTCCTGTTGCTGTTGAACTCATTGCAAGTGTCTTCAAAAACAAAATTGCATTGCAAGACCGCTGCTAGGAGCAATGCTTTGGCTTGTTTTACACAGTGGATCACTCATTGACATATGATTGTCCGTTTCAGACATTCAGCTGTTGACTGCACAATTAGTCATGTCGACAGGTGGCCCGTCGCCAACAGAAGGTTCGTGAGGACTGAGAAGGTTCAGAGAACGAGTCACACCTTCAAAACATTTCAATGCTTTGGCTTCTTTTTTTTCTTTTCCTTACACAGTGGGCCATTCAGAAGGCTGAGAAGGTGATTTTCAGAACACGACTCATACCTTACAATTAGCAAACATCAACTCGATTCAGACTCAACCAATTAACATAGGTTATCAATAATCCTCTACTTCATACTACCTATGCTCATTTGTAGTAGAAAAGACTGCTCTATTCTATGTTTTTTCAAGATACCAACCATCTTTTGCATCTCTTTTATCTCTTCCCCTTACAGAGTATTTCCGTTGTTCCAGTGGATAAATAAAACCACTTTGCTGAACTAAATGGGAGAAAGCGATCAAGAGGTCAACCAACTCACCTTGGGATTTACCTGTGATGATTTGGTAACTGAAAGATTCAGACATGTAGTAGCCTTTGTACATCGCTTTTCTCATCATTTGAAGTTGAAGGATCATTGCTTAGCTTGTGATGTGTCTCCTATCGGCCTCCTCAACAACGGTTTGGATCAACAGACGCGCGCACTGCAGCCAATGCAGATTCTCGTCCACACCCTGTTGCTTCCAGTAGTATCAAGTATCAATGAGGAAGGATATGGATCTGCTGATAAGATCACCAAGAACTGCAGAAAGGAAGGTCTCCATGGTGAACTGTTATAAATCATAGAGGGAAAAGAGGTGTTTCAGGCCGTACTGCAGGAGCAAGACTTACGGCAATCAGGCATGTTTCTTAAATAGATTAGCGACAAGGAATTGTGATGTGGACACATTGAAATCATTGGAGGCTGCTATCTAGATACAATGATTCTACAAAGGCACTGCTAGGCCGGGGCATTGAGGGCAAGTGATTGTGGATTTCAGAACGTGTATTAGCAGTTTACCACTTAGCACTGCAAGAGAGCTTGGTGGCCTAATCTCACTGGACCGACACTAGTGCACCAATCGAACTTTTTATTAAGTCATACTCCCTCCGTCCTAAAAAAAAAAAGACGACCTCCTAGTACAACAAATCACTAGGTTGCCTTTTTTTGGGATGGGGGAGTAGAGGGTAAACATGTACAAAGTCAGCAACAATGTTACTAATTACAGCCCCCAAACCCAGCCCACACTCGGCAGTCGGCACTGAGACCTGGACTACTCAACAGTTACATCGAATCATATTGTAATTTACTGAGGAAAGTACCCCAAGCAGCCATTCATCCCCAATATCGATAGCCAACTCGTCAGGAGATCTCCCTACATGCTAAGCGTTTAGAGAGCACGACATTTAGGACAACAAAATCAATCTATCCAATCAACCTATCCGATGAGAACATGGAAATCACAACAAATCCACCAACCAACGGCTACCTACCTAGCTATGCTATTTACCCATCACGGCGGCGTGGAAGTCAGGCGGCGGGGAGGAGGACGGGGCCGGCGGCGCAAACCGGCTCGGCATGCAGGTCCGCGGCGGGGATCGCGCGGGCGGAGAGTATGGGCGGCAGGGACTCCACGCGCAGAAGCAACCACTGCCGGCGCCGGGACCACAGCGCCGCCGCGGACGCCCGCGCCGCGCGCCCGCCGGCGGAGATAGCGCCCGCAGCCATCGCCGGATTTCCCAGCAGGACGCGGCGAGGGAGAGAGAGACCAACCGGGCCTTTGAGTGACGGGTGGGCTTGGGAATAGATGCAGCTTGTGGACCAAATTGTGGGCTTGGATTTTTAATGGTTCGTGGGCTGAATACCACGCCAAGAAGGGGTTTTGGATTGAAGGGTTTTTTTAGTAACTGAACAAATTCCTGAAAAAATCGTGCTTTTTGAGAAGTACTCCCTCCATCCCATATTATAAGGGATTTTTCGTGGACGTGACATATTCTAATACGATGAATTTGGATAGAGATATCATATCCACCAAAAATCCCTTATAATATGGGACGGAGGGCATGTTCATAATTGGATGGGCAAGCGAGATGTAATGCCAACTACTCATACGGTCAGATATGATAAAACCCAGCCAAATCCTCGAGTACTGAAAACTGGCGACCTCCACCTCAAGGTGAGGTGAGACTGAACATTGATGGTGCTTTCTATGAAGCTAGCAAAACTGGTGGCTGGGGATTTGTGATTCGGGATCATGACGGAAATGGCGTGCCAGCAGGTGCAGGGAAAATTGAATTTGTGCATGATGCTCAGAGTGTCGAAGCTGAAGCTTGCTTGTATGCTCTGCTTACTGCAACAAGTCATGGAATCTCACACATCGCCAATTCGCCATAGGAACGTATTGTTCTATCTTTTTTTTAAAACGCGCAAAACAATTGTACGTCAATATATTAAAAGATTTATAGTTACACAACACAATTAGCCAAACCAGCTTATGCCAAGGGAAGGGAGAAAAAGCAAAATAAAAGGCTGAAGCTTAGAAAACTACGGCGGCTAAAACAAAACTCCAAACAGCGGGAAGGGGCCGAGCCACGCTACACTCCAAACAAGTCCCCAAAAACGGCAACGCCTGCTAAAGACTACAGATGGTCCTCCGAGTGGATAGACTCCAGAACCACTGAGATTGAAGAGAGTGCAGAGTCGAAAACCCTAGAGTTTCGTTCCTTCCACAATTGCCAAGAGATTAGGAGCACTAAGGGGTTGAAGCCGGCACGGAGATGCTTAGGTAAGCAGGCCCTGGAGGGCAGCCACCAATCCTGGAACCGATTGCCACAGGGGTGAGAGAGGGTAGCCTAGCCAGGAGGCGACAGAACACAGAGCCAAACCTGCCAAGCAAACACGTAGTCGAGGAGCATGTGGTTCGCCGTCTCAAGATCCTGAGCGCAAAAGGGGCAGACCGAGTGATTATCGATGCCACGCTTCTGGAGGAGATCAGTTGTCTAGCAGCGCTGCTGGAATGCAAACCAAAGGAAGAACCTGCATTTAGCAATACCCTTTTTCGTGCCAGAGAAGATCGGCATAGGCAAAGGAATGCTGGCCATAGAAGAATGCTTGGTACACCGAACGCGCTGAGTAGCGCTGGTTAGAGGTCCAACGCCAAACGAGACGATCCTCGACACCCGGCGAGAGTTGTACGTGAAGCACCGCATCCCAAATAAGAAGAAACTGGGACATGACCAGGACAGTGAGGGCACGGATGTCAGAGATCCAGGAGTTGTTCGCCAGGTCAGAAGCAACCAGATTGTTCTATCCTGATGGCTGCTTTGAAGTCAGATTGTTCTTCAACGCCAGATTGTTCTATCCTGGTGGGTGCTTTGAAGTCAACTGACTATGATCATGCTCCTGCGGGCGTCATCTTCAGGCAAATTAAAATGATGATCTATGTGGATTTTGACAAGGTCGATGTGTGTACCCGGGTCAGATGTCCATTGGGCTGATCCCCTTCCGGAGTTTGTAAAGTCCCTTGTTAATAAAGAGCACGGTACGATTAAAAAAAAAAACTCCTCATACGGTCATAAGCATGGCAGGATGCTATTTGGCGCAACTTCGTTGTTGGCGCCACAGTTTCAATCCACAGGTTGCATTGGGAGGCGGAGGAGTTTGATTCAACTACACATTACGTGGGACCACAACTTAATGCAATGTACAATTTCGCGCACAGCCGCTGCAGAGGATCGGATCTACATACACCATGACAAGATGAAACGAGATGATCAGCTTCATTTCATGTAACCAGCTGCCTAAGACGCTTCTTCCTATCAAGGACACGGTGCGGACCAGGCGGCGTGTCCAGCGAGCAGCTCATCAGGTAGCTCCGGCAAGGGGGTATCTGCGACGTCCACGCCAGGACCTCGAACCTCCCGCGGGGCGTCACCCTACCGGACAGCACCTCCTGGAACGTCACCCTGGGGATCTCCTGCTTGGCGGGGCACGCGGTGTAGAAGCCGTGGCACAGGAAGATCTTGGAGCTCTCGGCCAGCCTCCACAGGTACACCGGGTGGTTGTTCCGCAGCAGGTCGTGCGGGTGCTTGCCGAACATGGCGCGGTGCTTCCGCGTGTACTCCCTCATGTTCTTGAGGATGAGGGTCCAGTAGTGCGCGTCCGGGTTGGCCCTCATCAGGCTGCTGGCGATGGTGGCGCCTATGAAGCCGCCCTTCTGCTCCGCGGAGATGTCCATGGCGATGGACGCCAGCCTCGGGTGGTCGTCCGGGTTCGCGCTGCCGAACGCGAGCACCTTGAAGAAGTACCAGTAGACGTCGTCGCGGAGGAACTTGAGCTCGATGGCGCGCGCCGCCGGGATGCCACGGACCGTCTCCGGCGACCTGCTCGTCACGATGATCCTGCTCCCCCGCGCCCTGCACATCGCCGACGACCGCAGCCGCCTCCATGCCCCGTCGCCCACGGGCTCCTCGTCCTCGGCTAGGTCGACGACGACGAGCGAGCTCCCGTGGGAGGCATGGCTGCCGTGCTTGACGGTCAGAGCACGATGGTCTCCCATGTCCTCAAGGTCTTCTCGGCTCAAGCACACGATGGAGGAGAATCGGCCGCGGACCCTCTCGTCGTGGCAGACGTGTTCGACGAGGGTGCTCTTCCCGACCCTCGCGACGCCAACTATGTGCAGCACGCCGGCGCCGGCGCCGGCGCCAGCGCCGCAGACGTCCGGCTGCAGCAGGAATCCAACGACCTGCTCCACCTCCTTCTGCCGGCCGAACATCAGCTTGTCGAGGAGCAGGTGCATGCTGTAAGGCTGAGTACTGATGCGAGGGTAGCCCTTGAGGAAGACGACGAACTCCCTCATGTCGGCGATCGTCCGCCCGAGGCTGTCGACCGTGCGGCGCAGCTCCGCGGCGCCCTCGTCGGCGGCGAGGAGGCGGAGGCGCTTGGCGGCGTTGAGCCTGGACGGCGCGAACGAGAACGACGCCCCGTCCGCGTGGGCTCGGTACGTGAGGGCGTCGAGCATGTGGTAGCCGCTGTACATGGCCTCCCTGAGCACGTCGAGCTGCCGGAGCATGGCCTTGTTGGTGATGTGCCGCGCCTCGGCCTCCTCGACGGTGACGTGCACCCTGACCAGCGCGAGGCGCAGCTTCTCGAGGTCGTCCTGCACCGTGCTCTGCTGCCGGTATCGCTGCACCAGGTAAGAGATGGACCTGCCGAGGAGGTCGCTCAAGATCGCTGGCAGGAATGTCTCCATGTCGGTCACCCAACCTTCAGGAGAGAAGAAAAACTGCATGATAAATCCCCTTTTTTGCGATAAGTCCACAGGATTTGGCTACAAAAGCAGGTCTATTATATATAAGTAAACAGAGGATGGAAAAGAGCTGCAACTGAAACTGAACTTACAGTGCTCGGTACTTTTAGGGTAAAATCCTCACTGGATTCTCCAGGTATCTCAAGCTTTTTGGCTGCAGGTGTGAGTGTGATGAACAGTGTGGCAGTGGCAGATTGCTGAATACACACTATGGGATACACATGTTTTTGGCTATTCGATGCTTCACAAAAACCAGGAAAGGAACAGCGAGATGCGGAGCTCGCCACGCAGCAATCCAGGCGGCGCATTTATTCGTTGCGCATCCACATCGGCCGGCGGAGAGAGGGACGCTTCCCCAGCTCCCAGGGTGCTGCTCAGTTGCTTCCCGAGCTCGCTGACAAAGCAAGACAAGGACCGGTGCAGATGAACCTGATGGGTGATGGCAGATTTCACTTTCCAGGTACTAGGCCAATTTATAGAAATTTGTCTCTGCTTTCTTGTCTTTTCTTGTGTTCTCGATTGAAATCATGTGGGATACTTGTAATCTTGCACAATATAAGTATATAACGCCAGTTTTTTTTTTCTTACCACTATTTTTTTCACGACTATCATTCAAAGAGGTTGGACTTTCAAGCACTACAGATGGTACAGATTGCAGAATTTCCACAAATGACGTACGGGTACAAGCTCAGGAAAGAGAGGACAGATTTCAGAAATCGCGGTCACAGGCACAGAGAGGACAAATGAGCATTACCTTCCTTACACACTTCGATTTGTTTTGAAGCAGTATCCTTCACTTCATTCTGTACCGGTGCTTGATTGAAACAAAGGTATAAGAAGAGTCTTTGGTGCCTTGATCTCATGTTCAACTTGAAATCAGAATGACAGATTGGCAAGGAAAAGGAGCAGCTTGACCTGCATCTTCAATACAAAGATGTCAGTTTAATGGAGAAGGGTCATCTCGCCCTGTTAGGATAAAAATTCTTATATCAAAATAAGGAAAAGCAACAGTACATAACCTGTGGAGTCAATTGTGCACAGAGGACCCTTGGATTAAACAGTTCACAGTGGATTTGGTGCATGATATGTTTGGCTAGTTTTTGCTGCTTCTTTTGGCTTTTGCCAGATTCTTACTAGCATTTCCATATGATGTGACCCTTACAGAAATGTTTAGACCAAATAAAAAAGGAGCAACTCTCTTGGTTGGCATTGGTACCAATATTGGCCCAGCTGAACTATGATAATGTGAGTAATTAAGGTCTTATGCAGAAGTTATTCATACATACCATCATGTGCCTTTCGTAATATCCTGCAGTCCCACAGACGTACACACCATCAATATGGAGTATGAACCTTTAGATGCTTGAATCTAGAAGTTGCCCGCCAACAGATTGTGCTACTTTTTACAATTTTACTGATATGTATTAGAGCTATGATCATTGCATTAAGATGAAGAAAAAATATACAGTTCAGATAAATATGCTACACAACATGAGGACCACCTTAAGAAAAAACCTATCACATCAACTAAACCGTCCTGATCACATTTGGCGACAGAGAGAAATAGAGGCCATGCATGGGCATGCTTTTCAGGAAGATAGTGCCACTGAGAATGTAAAAGAGAAACATAAATATGGACATGTATCTCTTGATAACAAAAATTTTGAAGGTTGATCAGGCTTAAGATGATGAGAAATTCTCGAATTATTGTTTACATAATCACATCTGATATAAAAATATTGAACAGACAATTGAAGAAACATACATTATATTCCGAAAATGGACAAGATTATATATTTCATTGAAGAAATGAGAGATGCCATCTTACATATTATTCATACACATTATAGTTGTTCCTTCATAACTGTCTATGAGTTGAATATACATGTGAGGAGACTAGATTAAATGATTGATTCTTTCATATTGTTTGCTTAACAAAAATAGATACAACCCATCCTTATGTGGATCAGATGGCTTGACCTCCAAAACGCTTATCACTGGCAATTCAGCCTAATTAGTTTCTAACATAACAACTGTTGCTAGAGTACCAGAACGTATCCATTCACGCGCATGAACAGTGTGCACAGGTAGTGTATCATGCATGTGGCAGATGGCCTACTTAACATTATCAACTGGTCTTAATAATTATAATCCATGGACGACCTGATACCAAGTCAAACTCCCCTATGCCAAAAACCGCTTCCTCTTGAATATTATATGCTGCTGTGCTTGTGCTTCACAACTCATTACGAACTCATGGTAGGGAGGTATGCGTGATCTCCATACTAGGACCTCAAATTTTCCATGAGCTTTAGAAGTTCCAGTATGGACTTCATGTAGCATTACCTTAGGATCATCATCCCTGAGACATGTTTTATAGCCATTGACTAGAATGAATTTTGGATCCCTAAAATTTTCAACAAGATATATACCGTGATTTTTTTGAACAAGAGTGTATGGATGTTCACCAAATAGAATGACATGTTTCTCAACGATGTTTCTGTGACATCTAAGGAACAAATGCCAAAACTGGGTGCAAAAATTAGCTCTGAATAATGAAGCAACGAAATTAGCAGCTACAAAACATCTGTACTCTGCTGCCATTTCCATAGCTGCTGATTCTAGAAATGGGTGCTCCACAGGGTTTGTGCTTCCAAAGGCAAGCACCTTGAAGAAGTACCAATGGGCCTCCTGAGGCAACAAACTTAGCTCAAGAGGTTGAGTTGTTCCAACATTCCTGAACCTTTCAGATCTACTTGTAATAATAATTTTACTCCCATGTGGTATGCAGCTTCTTGAAGAGTACAATCTTCTCCAGTTTTCCTCATCTACATCGCCATCATCAATAAATTCGATGATGATAAGTGACCGTTCATGTGCAACACAACTTTGATGCTTGACTATGCCACTATCTCTGAGATCAGCAAAGCTTTTGCTTCCGATATCACTTCCACTACAGAAAACAATAGAAGAGAAAAAACTGCGTACCCTCTCATCATAGCAAATATGCTCAACAAGAGTACTTTTCCCAACTCTTGCTGGACCTATTATTGGAAGAACTCCCAAACTTTCTGCCCCAAGAGATTCTCGCAACAAGAAATTGGTAATCCTCTCTATTTCTGCTTGGCGACCAAACATGCATTTTTCCAAAATTAAATGTTGGCTATAAGGTTGGCGGTGTATGTGAGGATATCCCTTCAAGAAAACAAGAAACTCTTTCATATCGTCAGTGATACTCAGTAGGCTACAAAGCATCTCTCCCACCTCCTTCCTATCCTCACCTTGAAAAGCCATGGTGAACGTCCTAGTGGAGAAACACAACCGCTTGGTAGGTCTGAGTTTGGGAAAGGAAAATGAGTGATCACCAACCTCATCATTGACCATCTCATGCTGAAGCACTCCATTCTTGATAGTATCAACCAAGTAGTATCCCTTGTACATGCCTTCTCTTAGCATCTGAAGCTGCTGGAGCATCGCTCGATTTGTGATGTGCCGCCCCTCGACCTCCAGGACAGTTGCCTCGATCCGCAGCAGCAAGTGGCGCAGGCATTGCAGATCCACCCCCATGCCCATCTTCTGCTGGTAGTATTTGTCAACTAAGAAGGATATGGATCTACTCACAAGATCACCAAGAACTGCAGACAGGAGCACCTCCATTCTGAAGCTCCCACAGTGGAAGAGGGACGGTTTCTTGCTGGGGGTACTAAATTAATTCAGGGATCAGGACACAGCTGATCTCTGGCTGGATGAGTTTAAACACTCGCGTGCAACATTTCAACGGACAATGTGGTTTTTTTTTTTTGAACTAATCAATGTGGTTTATTCAACCCCGTGTGTTTGACTATAGAAATTTTGGGTGCAGCCTAAAGAGAATTCTAAACCATCGTGACCGTGGATAGGCTATTTAATTTACGATACGAGTTGTCAACTAAGATGTGCATAGTCTACAATTACCGCAAGCTTACGACATCGTTCGACCACATTTGCGTTCCCCGACCTCATTGTGTCCATCTTGACTTGTTAAGGAAACTGGAGGATTCGCAAAACTCAAATCGAATCAGGAGGAGTTCGTTGCTTACCCGCAGGCTAGAGAGTACGGACGCGGCCGCGCGGCGCCGCGGAGCAGTGTGCCGCACCCAAGGCCCGCGCGCACGCCACCGCGGTGGGAGCGGCGGCCGTACGGCGGGGTGTGATGTCCAGGGCGCCGCACGAGAAGCCCACGCGAGAGGTCCGCGTCCGCCCGCCCGCCCGCGGCAGCATCCGCGACCGCCACGCGGCCGAGCATCGCCGCCGCGTCGGCTCCGCGCGGAAGCCTTTGGTCGCGAAGTGGGGATACGGGGAAGAGAAAGACCTGAGAAAGCGAGCAAACGTTGCACGGGACGGGGGTTATTAGCGAAAGAAAACCGTTCGTTGGTGGGGGATTGGGAGGGAATGCACTGCCTTTTTTCACGCACACATTTCCCAAACTATTAAATGGTATATTTGTTAAAAAAATCTATAAAAAAGTTGATCTAAAAAACATATTAATTTATTTTTAAAATTTAAAATAGTTAATACTCAATTAATTATGTGCTAATAGCTCATCTATCTCGTTTTGTGTATCTTCTCAATCTTCTTTTTTTCTCTCCTCTCAAACACTTAGGCTGCGTTCGGCAGCTGAAGAAAGTGAGTGAGTTTGTTTCGATTTTCGCGCGCACGCTTCTTAAACTACTAAACGGTGTATTTTTTGTAAAAATTTTCTATAGGAAAGTTGCTTTGAAAATTCATATTAATCTATTTTTCAAATTTAAAATAGTTAATACTCAATTAATCATACGCTAATGGCTCACCTCGTTACGTATCTTCCCAATTTTCTCAATTTCCTCCTCCTCAAACTCACCTTAGGGTAGATGAGTTACTGAACTTAATTAGATCATGATTACAGAACTAGATATGCTCCAAGAGGATGATGATCCTGATCCATCAAGGTAGCAGCTTTGTCAGGGAGAAACACGAATACACAATAACTAGTGATACTGAACTGCTGTAGTTTAACTATTGTAGCTCAGATCTATCTATTATATTAGTAAAACAGCTTTGAAAGGAGACACCACGTTCGCTGTGGGGGCTAGAAATTCCCACATTAATCGGAGAAAAGGAAAAGAAGAGTCCAGGTAGAAATACAATTTTAAAATAGCTGAAATTCGGAATTAAAAATAAGGAATATTGAAAGATGGGTCTATATAAGAACCCAATACGAGATTAATCAAATTCGGAATAAAACCAAAATAAAATCCGAAATTAGAAAAGAAAAGGAGAGTCCAAGTAGGAATACAATTTAAAAATAACTGAAATTCGGAATTAAAAATAAGGAATATGAGAGAATACCTTATATGCCACTGAAAATTGGTCTGATCCCTTATATGCCATGAAATTTGGTTCTTCCCTTATATGCCATTGATACAAATTTGCACACCCTCTTATGCCACTCCCGTCAGTTGACCGTGTGTTGACCATTAATTCTCAAGGAAAAAAACGTATTTATCCTTCTGAGTATAAGGTATACCTAACAACTCAGATAGGGTAAATATGTCTTTTTTACTCGAGAGTTAACGGTCAACACACGGTCAACTGACGGTAGTGGCATGAGAGGGTGCGCAAATTTGGACCAATCGCATATAAGGGAAGAGCCAATTTTTAGTGGCATATAAGGGAACAGACCAATTTTCAGTGGCATATAACGGATTATCTCAAGGAATATTGAGAGAAGAGTCCATATAAGAACCCAATACGAGATTAATTAACATTCAGAATAAAAATAAAAATAAAATCCGAAATTAGCAAAACGAAAAGAGTAGTTCAAGTAGGAATAATATATGAAATTCGGCATTAAAAATAAGCAAATATTGAAAGAACAATCCATATAAGAACCTAATACGAGATTAATTAAAATTCAGAATAAAAATAAAATAATATCCAAAATTAGAAAAACTAAAAGAGAGTTCAAGCAGAAATACAATTTTGAAACGACTAAAATTCAAAAATAAAAAATAAAAATATTAAAAAGAACACTATACGGTATTAATTAAAATTTGAAAAAAAAATGCAATTAGAAAAAGAAAAAAATCAACTAGGACTACAATTTATAAATAACTAAAATTAATGATAAAAAATAAAGACTATTGGAAGAAAAGACCATCTAAAACACATGACGAGATTAATTAAGTAATAAGTTTATAAAAGGAGTAGAGTAGTGGCGGTTGATACGACATCTAAAAACTATTTATAAAACACCAAATAGAATGATGACGGGTAGGTCGTGAAGCAACCAGTCAAGGCGGTTGGCAGGACTTCTAGAAAGTAAAAAAAAAACTCCAATGATAATCATATTTGATTTTTAAAATCTCAATGACAATAAGGAGAGGCAGCGGGCGGGTCGTACAGGAGTATAGTTGCAGAGCCGCCAACGGTTGGTGAGACTTCTAGAAAATAAAAAATGAATTACAACGATAGTTATGTTCGATTTTTATAATCCCAATGACAATAAAGAGTAGGCGGCGGACGAGTCGTAGAGAAGTACAGTGGCATTGTTTGACGTGACTTCTAAAAATTATAAAAAAATGAAACCCAACAAGACAATAAATTCTAAAAACTACAAGGTCCAATTTTTAAAGGTTCGGAACTTCTAAAAATTAAAGAAAAAAACCCAATGATGATCATGTTTGATTTTAAAATCTCAATGATAATAAAGAAAGGAGACAGTGAGCGAGCTATAAAGGAGTACAATGGCAAAGCCTCTGATAGTTTGGCGGGACTTATAGAAAGTAAAAAATGAACTCGAACAATAATTATGTTCGATTTGTAAAATCCCAATGACAATAAAGAGAAAAGACAGTGGACGAGCCGTAGAGGAGTATAATGACAGCGTTTGACAGGACTTCCAGAAATTATAAAAACGTAACCCAACGAAATAATAAACTCAAAAAACTATAATATCCAATTTTTAAAGGTTTCAAGGAGAATGAATAGAAATAGTGGTAAACCGAGCAAGCAAATAAAGAAGAATATGACAGAAGTAAGGGGTAGCAGCTGGTGTGACTTTTAACAACTACATAATTAGAAATACGGGGATGATACGGGGATAGCTATTTAATAAATTTTAAGTAAAATCATACTAAAAAGTATATGATTTTGTTTGGGTGCTAACCGCAATTGCGCGGGCCACCCAGCTAGTTATATTATTAAAATAGCTTTGAAAGGAGGCACCACGTTCGCTGTGAGGGCTAGAAATTCCCACATTAATCGGAGAAAAAAGAAAAAAAGAAAAGGAGAGTTCAAGTAGGAATACAATCTAAAAATAGCTGAAATTCATAAAGAAGTTTCCATATAAGAACCCAATACGAGATTAATCAAAATTCGAAATAAAAATAAAATAAAATCCAAAATTAGAAAAAGAGAGAGAGAGAGAGAGTTCAAGTAGAAATACAATTTAAGAATAGCTAAAATTCGGAATTAAAAACAAACAATATTGAAAGAAGTTTCCATATAAAAATCCAATACGATATTAATCAAAATTCGAAATAAAAATAAAATAAAATCCAAAATTACAAAAGAAAATGATAGTCCAAGTAGGAATACAGTGTAAAAATAGCTAAAATTCAGAATTAAAAATAAGAAATATTGAGAGAAGAGTCCATATAAGATCCCAATAAGAGATTAATTAAAATTGGAAATAAAAATAAAAATCTGAAATTAAAAAAAATAAAGAAGAGTTCAAGTAGAAATACAATTTAAAATTAGCTAAAATATAATTAAAAATAAGCAATATTGAAAGAAGAATCCATATAAGAACCCAATACGAGATTAATTAAAATTCAGAATAAAAAATAAAATAATATCCAAATTTAGAAAAATTAAAAGAGAGTTCAAGTATGAATACAATTTTGAAAGAACTGAAATTCAAAAATAAAAAATAAAAATATTAAAAGAACACAATATGATATTAATTAAAATTTAAAAAATAAATTATGAAATTAGAAAAATAAAAATAAAATTTCAATTAGGAATACAATTTATAAATAACTAAAATTTATGATAAAAATAAAGACTATTGAAAGAAAAGACCATCTAAAACACATGACGAGATAAATTAAGTAACAGACCTATAAAGGAGTAGAGTGGTGGCGGTTGATACGACATATAAAAACTGTTAATAAAACACCAAATAAAATCCTAATGACGATTAAAAGGAGAGACGACAGGCAGGCCGTGAAGCAAACGAGCAAGGCGCTTCCCGGGACTTCTAAAAAGTAAAAAAAAAACCCATTGATAATCATATTCGATTTTTGAAATCTCAATGACAATAAAAAGGAGAAGCGGCGGGCGGGGTGTATAGGAGAGCCGCCAATGGTTGGCGGGACTTCTAGAAAATAAAAAATGAATTCCAACAATAGTTATGTTCGATTTTTAGAATCCCAATTACAATAAAGAGTAGGCGGCGGATGGGCCGTAGAGGAGTATAGTGACATCGTTTAACGGGACTTCTAAAAATTATAAAATAATAAAACCAACAAGACAATAAACTCTAAAAACTACAAGGTCTAATTTTTAAATCACAATGACAATAAAGAGTAGGCGGCGGACTGGCTGTAGAGGGGCATAGTGGCATCGTTTGATGAGACTTCTAAAAATTATAAAAAATGAAACTACAAGTCCAATTTTTAAAGGTTCGAAACTTCTAAAAACTAAAAAAATAATGATAATTATGTTCGATTTTAAAATCTCAATGACAATAAAGAAGAGAGGCAGCGGGTGAGCCGTAGAGGAGTACAATGGCAAAGCCAATGACGGTTTGGCGGGACTTCTAGAAATTAAAAATGAACACAAACGATAATTATGTTCAACTTTTTAAATCTCAATGACAATAAAGCGAAGAGACAGTGGACGGGCCGTAGAGGAGTATAATGGCAACGTTTGACGGAACATCTAGAAATTATAAAAATAAAACCCAATGTGACAATAAACTCTAAAAATTATAAAATCCAATTTTTAAAGGTTCCAAGAAGAATGAAAAGAAATAGTGGTAGATCGAGTAAGCAAATAAAGAAGGAGATGGCATAAGGGGTAACAACTGGTGTGACTTTTAAAAACTATATAATTAGAAACACGAGGATGATAAGGTTTGGTCTTTAAAAGTCTTAAGACAATCAGATAACTATTTAATAAATTTTAAGTAAAATCATATAAAAAAATATATGATTTTGTATAGGTGCTAGCCGCGCAATTGCGCGGGCCACTCAACTAGTTATAGATGATTACAGAACTGAGATGTTGCAAGAGGATTATGATACTCCATCCTGATCCATCAAGGCAACAGCTTCTCAGGGTGATACACAATACACAATAGTAGTGTCAACAAATGCTTGTTCAGCACAAACAAAAAAAGGAGAAAGAAATGCTTTGCTTCACTTAGTACATACAGCAACTCTGTTGCTAGCCTCGTTCAGCCATGCAACTGACCATTATCACAGAACTAACCTACACCAAAAACCGGTCGTAGCTGCGCTTCTTCCTGCCCACCGCATGCCCTGGCGCCTCCGTGCTGCAGCATATCATGTAGCTGTAGTAAGGCGCCATCCTGGACTTCCATCCTAGAGCCTCGAATCTCCCGCGAGGTGTGGCGCTTCCCAGCATGATGTCCGAGATATTGGGAGCCTGGTCCGGACAGGAGTCCGTCTCATAGTAATCAGACATCCACAGAGGATTGCTGGCCTCTGCAAATCTCAAGCAATGCACCCATTGGCCCTTCAGTAAGAGATTGTTAGGGTGATCACCATGCAAACGGAGCTGGTTGCGTATGTATGCCCTCAGGTACTTCAGAGTAGAGCACCAGAACTGGGCATTGAAATTATCCCTCAGTAATCCACCAATGGTGTATGCAGCCAGAAAGGACCCGCTGTACTCCGTTGCAATCTCCATGGCTACCGAAGCAAGCTTCGGGTGCTCATCCGGGTCTCTGCTTCCAAATGCAAGCTTCTTGAAGAAATACCAGTAGGCTTCTGGATGCAAGAGGTCCAGCCGAATAGCTGCTGCTGTTCCCAGATTCTCGATCTTATCTGACCTGCTGGTGATGATTATTTTGCTCCCACGGGCCCAGCAACTCATCGAAGATTTTAAGCTTTGCCATGTTTGTTCACTGATATCGCAAGCTAGCTCAATAATTATCAGCAACCTTTTGCATGAAGAATAGTTTTGGTGCTTCACTACACCATTCTCTCTCAGATTTGCCACTCTTGCATCCTTCAGGTTATTTCCTCTAAGGAACAAAATCAAAGAGTAGTGATTGCGCACCCTATAATCACGACAAGCATGCTCGACTAGAGTGCTTTTCCCACATTTTCTTGGACCAATTATTGGAAGCACAGGAAAATCTTCATCACCAAGACCATCTGTTTGCAGCAAGAAACTGAGCACCTGCTCATGTTCCATTTGACGGCCAAACATGCAATTTTCCAAAACTGAATATGTGTCACGAGGCTGGTGGTGCACTACTCGATAATTCCTCAAAAATACAACAAGATTCATCATGTCAGAAATGCCTTTTTCTATGGTAGCAATCATTCCTTGTAGCTGTTTTATGCTGTTACTACCAAAACACAGTGTTCTTCTATGACTGGAGAAACGAAGACGCTTGGCTGGATTGAACTTAGAAAATGAATAGACATGACTCACCTCCTCATCCTTTCTGTCCTCTTGAAGGGCTGGATATTTATACCTATCAAGCAAGTAGTGGCCTCTGTACATCCCCTCTATTAACATCTGCAACTGATGGAGCATCCCTTCATTGGCAATACACTTTCCCTCTGCCTCCTCAATGATGGTCTGGGCTCTTAGTAGCAGTCGGTTTAGTGTCTCCAGAGCCACCTCAGCATCTGGCAGTTGCTGATATTTCTTGATGGCAAAGGTTGTGAGTCTATAGGCAATATCACTTACGGCTGCAGGAACCAGCATATTCATGGTGATTGGTGAACCTCCCCAAAAGATGGTGCAGTGAAACAAAAATATAAGGGAGAGATCAAGCAGAGCAGTGGTGCTCTATGATGCTAATGTGCTGTTTTTCTACAGTACTTCACGCATCGCACTTTCCTCAGTAACTTTCTTATCACATCACTCTCATGGCCGTCCAAAATACATTTAACTCGCTTACAAGGGAGCACTGTGGATAAACTAACAAGTATTTCTTTAAAGAGAACTTCTCGGCTGAGAAATTAACAACTTCTCATCGAGGAATGATCCTGATTTTCCTGCATTGAGATTTGACTCGAGGGTCCATATCTGTTTAGTAAATGAGGCGCAAGATAAACTTGTTTTCTAAATAGAGAATACATTTCCTACAAGATTTCTCTTTAAAGTTAATTTAAATATAATCTCCTACAACAAATATGGATTGATATGCAGATAGATGCCATGTCAGTATGTCACATCATTCCATGGTCAACTATAATACTATACCCAATAATTGAGCATTTTTTGTTTCTAGCGTTTTAACCGCAAGAATCAAAACGTGCTATGATGTGAACATCCCCAATCGCCATCCAGGTTAAATCCAATACAATCCAATCAAATAACGCCGTAGGAGAGCAAATCGATGAAAGAGACAAACTTACGGGCCCTATACGCTCGTTGATCGTCTCTGCCAGTAATTGATTAGTTACCAGTCACATCGGCGCCGCCATCAGGTGGGGTGACGCCGCATATGGGAGACAGGTGAAGGAAGCTTCCGGGCACGGGGAAGGAGAGGAGGCGGGGATTCCACCTGCGGCGGCGCCGGCGTACGCGACCACCGCGCGGCCGCGGGTACCCGCGCGCCCGCGCCCGGCGACGCCGGACGCTGTCACCGGTCGCGAGCATTTGCGGTGCGGAAGGGAGCGGAGGCCGGAGGGGAGGTGAGAGTCTGAGAGACGAGAGAATGAGCGGTCGTAACAGAGGGGATGACGAGAGAGAGGGATGGACCTTCTTGGGCCGGAGAACTTGTTAGGTGAGCTCTTTTCGCTAGTTGGGCCGGGATTCCTCTCTTGAAGGAATAAGTTCACCAGACATCCCTCAATTTTACGTCCAGTTTGTATGACATCCTTAATCCTCAATACTAGAAATCTTCACCCTTATACTATACAAAACCGTACAATTTAGTTCCCATAACAGTATGGTTCTCTGGTTTCACTGATGTGGCATCCTAGTCAGCAAACTAAAAAATAAAAAAATTATGAGCCCACATGTAAGTGAGAAAAAAAAGAGTAGTTAACTAGTTGGACCGGATCCTAGGGCCTGGAATCTCCTGCCCAATAGCTCTCCCTTAAAATGATGTGCTCATGGGCTGCTTTGGTCGACGGCCGCCGTCCTCCTCACCACCCCACATGGAAAGAAGAGAGATATTGGTGAAGGCAGAGATAGGTGAAGATGTTCTGACATGTAGGACCCATGTTGACTCAACGCTGATGACTTGGGTCAAATTGCGATGCGGGACAAAATCGCCTCGCTGTACTGCCATGGGACCTATATTGCACCGGTTTTTGATAATTGAGAGACCCGTTGTATTTGGTATTTTGGTTGAAGGATGAAAATCGATCTCGTTGTCGAGTTAAAGGGACCTAAAATGAACTTATTCCAATTTTTTTATCCCATCAACTATTTGAAAATTTCAATTTGTTAGGGTTGTGTTCGACAGTGATAGCTGAGAACTAATCCCTCGTGCACGCAAAACGGATAGACTTATTAGCATATGATTAATTAAGTATTAGGTATTTTTTTAAAAAAAAAAGGATTAATTTGATTTTTTAAAGCAAATTTCCTATAGAAAACTTAAAAAAACACTGTTTAACAGTTTGAAAAGCATGTGCGTGGAAAAAAAGGAATATGAGTTGGGAAAGAAGGGGGAAGAACACAACCTATATTGATAACCCACTCCACATAGGGCACTCCCCTAATAATAAGGTAAATGCTCCGATACTACTTGAACAAAACAAAATATTTCTGCCGTAGTTAGCAGTCAAACCAACTCTACCTTTGATTCCTCAATATTTTTTTATTAATTACTCCATAATCCTTTCCATATAAATATTATTTCCTTCGTGGGTCTGTTCCCCTACTCCACGATACGCCATCATGAGCTTTAGAAATATTGTTGATTAATTCCATATTTACCAAATCAACCCTCTATAGTCTATCCTACCAGAAAATTGGTGAATCTTTCACAATACCAACAATTTGGTAGGGTAGAGAACCAAACTTGCTCGATAATGCGCATCATATTTATCAATTCCTTTTTCAAAGAAATTAATTAGGAGCATGGAAAAAATCAGCATGCATTTGGCAAACCTTGTCCATATGGAACTAAACTCTCAAGGATTTTAGTTAGTCCTCCACAACTTAGTAAAATTTTGAGAGCCTCCTCTGATAGGTTGAGCTAGAGATAATAAGCTGTAGAAAATTGAACAAAGCAACTAAAATAGTGTGTATGTAAAATTTTTAATATGTATTATTAGCATTTTAAAAACCAATGCCGAATAATAGTCTATCATGAGGAAAAACCCCTAAGAATCAACTATAAGTTCTAAAATTTAAATTTTTGCTGCATATGCCAACAAACAGACGACGAGTATGCAGGTCGGTTTGAACATTTGGAAGGAAATGGAAGAAACAGGCGAGGTTTGCAAAACGAGGTAGGTAGGGATGCACAGCAACGGCCAAAACAGAAGGATGATCATGCCGACTGTCACCAAGAGCCTACAACAATCGAGCATCAAGATGGGGATAGCCTTTAAGTTCGTCGGTGAAGCTCTAGACCCCTTGGGAAAATATTCTTTAAAAATGCAAGTTGCGACGCTATTAGAGTATGTTGAGAGAAAGGATCCATCGAACAAAGGTTCCATTTGACTTAGTATATATTCAGCCATTCAGGCCTTCAGGGTTGCAAGCAAAGCAGTGACGAAAGCAGCACTGCTTTCAGTTGTGTATGGATTCAAGCGAAGCACTGACGAAAGCAGCGGCGTCTTCAGTGCGACGGGGTCGAGACGGGATCACTCAAAAATCGGCTAAGATGGATAATAAACTATGGTGGAAACTGGAAAGCATCAGTCGTTTTCGAGAAATCTATCATGTATATGAGCAATTCTACGGTATTTAAGGAGGTACCATGAGGTACCAAAATTTTAGTGTAAATTTTGATACCTCATGGTACCTCACAGTATCTAGTTATCACGAGATACCAAATTTATAATAGAAAAAATGGTACTTTATGGTACACCCTCAAGAACCGTAAAATTGCTCAATGTATATAGTCTTCGAGACAGCAGCGACGAACAGCAGCACGCCTAAACGGAAGCGATTAATTTCAATTGCCCTGAAAAAAATAAATTAGTACAGCTAGTGCATGCAAAGACATCTGTCACTGTTTAGTTGCGAAAGAGGCATATCTAGTAATGGCAGTGTCAACCCCAACAATGATTTGCATTATTGCTGTTTTTAGAATAATAAAATGTTATTCTCAACACATATAAATCACGTCAGCAGTTCAGCACTGTCCCATAAGGTAAAACTCTCAAACTGGCCGAGAGGCAAAGTCTGACGATCGCTTGAACAACTCTAGCTAGGCAGCAGAAGATGCCCAATGTTGTCAATATGCCATCCAGCAACTGCTCCGGCCGTCACAGAGAAGCAAAAGCTGTGTTTCCTTCTCCTAGGAGAGAGCCAAGCGGACAAGCCTGGAGGTTGGCTGCTAATGCTATGGAGCGTCCAGTTGCCAATATTTCTGCTAGGCACTGTAAGCGGCCATAGGCCGGTTGGTGTGAAAACGCAAAGATCCCCTTCAGGGTCGCCCACAGGAAAAACATAAAAACCATGTGCTCAAAAACTACACAGCCATGAGCAGATGCGCTACTCATTCGAGGAAAGTAAATTCAGTGCAACAAAAGGATTCATTTCGTTAATTCATTCCTGAAAAATTTGTTGCTGTGCTGAATTAGTAATTGGACAGCAGACAGCACGCTTGAGGCTTGACAATCTTTACTCATGGCCGCCGAATTGCCAATGTACGTTTTCCCTGAAAAAAGTGACCACTGACCATGCTAACATGCAGCTGTAGATCCTTTCTTGAGGTTCTGGACAGGACAGATCCAAAGATGTTTCACTGAAGAACATGGAAGAGATCGACTAGCAAGTCTCAGAAATGTTCACTGAAGAATATGACGAGTCCCGTGAGTTCAGAATTCGGAAATGTGTTCACCGAAGAAAAACGAAAGTTCAGAATTCAGAAAAGCTGACTATTTTATTTTTTGAACGACTCGCCCGAGACGATACGGAGTTCTATTCATAGAGCGAAGCTGACTATTTTATCACCTCCTACGTTGTTATTATGACTAGATAAGCAAACATAGGAAGTACTAATGCCATAGGAGCTTTCAAATGGGGCTATTTTAAGGTAGTGGATAGTATTACATTCCACGAGACCTTCGCAAAATTACAAAGTGAACATCCAGTACAAGTGTCCGGAGACGAGCACGACAATGTGCAGTACGGTTCACCTTCAGCTCGCCGGAGCAAAGCTTACAGCCATTACAAGCAAAAAAGAAACACATTGTGCTATTACTTGTAGTGTTATTAAGTAATAACACCACTAGTACCAGTTCAAGCACAGCTCGAAACAAGGAGAAAATTTAGTAGCGCATACACCATGTCCTGCTCAGATGCTGTAGTCCGACCATTGCTGGATGAAGGAGGTGTGGTCCATGGATTCACCCGGCATGTCGTCGCCCTTCTTCCCGCCGAGCAGCCTCGCCGGATTCCCCACCGCCGTGGTCCTCGGCGGCACGTCGATGAGCACCAGCGACCCGGCCCCGATCTTGGCCCCGGCGCCGATCCTGACATTGCCGAGGATCGTCGCGCCGGCGCCAATGAGGACGCCGTCGCCGATCTTGGGGTGCCGGTCGCCCACGGCCTTGCCTGTCCCGCCCAGCGTGACGTGGTGGAGGATGGAGACGTTGTCGCCGATGACGGCGGTCTCTCCGATGACGACGCCCGTGGCGTGGTCGAGGAGGACGCCCTTGCCGATCGCGGCGGCGGGGTGGATGTCGACGGCGAACACCTCGGCGACGCGGGACTGGAGCGCGAGCGCGAGGGCGCGGCGGTCCTGCGCCCAGAGCACGTGCGCGACGCGCTGGGCCTGGATGGCGAGGAAGCCCTTGTAGTTGAGGAGGCAGTGGGAGAAGCCGACGCAGGCGGGGTCCCTGGAGCGCGCGGCGAGGAGGTCGGCGACGACGGCGGCGCGGAGGGTGGGGTGCGCGGCGAGGGAGGCGACGAAGAGGTCGTAGAGGAGCGTGGAGAGCAGCGTGGAGGAGCAGAGCTTGTTGGCGAGGTGGAAGGCGAGCGAGCGGTCGAGGGAGGGGTGGGAGAGCACGGTGGCGTAGAGGAACGACGCGAGCGCCGGCTCGGCGTCGGCGTCGCGGCGCGCCTCGGCCTTGATCTGGGACCAGACCCACGACTCGTCGGCGTCCGACTCCGGGGGCGGGTACGCCGGCACGACGGCCGGGTGGAGCGCCGGCGGGCTGTGCCGGCGTGGCTGGGGATCGTCCCGGAGAGGCTGGCCCGCAGTCATCGTCGCCGTCGCCGTCGCCGTCGTGTCGAGGTGTGTGGATATGTGGCGGTCGGCGGCGAGGAAGGCGTGTGGCCCGTGCCGAGGCGAGAGCGAATAAATAGGCGTGTGCCGAGTGGGGACACGTCAGCCAACCAATCGAAAACAGGTAAACTTTATCTCTGCGTGGGCCCGGAGTTAAGCTGGTACACACGATGAGCACGAGCCCGAGTTGGCGCGCCGTGGACGCGTGGGCAAGCGCCAAGGCGGATCGAGCGGCGACGGGCCTGGCCCACGTTTCGTGGCCTAGCTCGGCCCTGCACAAACACCGGATCGAGCGAACTGGATCCACGCGGATAACCGCGGGTGGCGGCAGGCGGTGTCGAGTTTGTGCACGTCCACGTCGTGATCCACCTGACCACCTCTAGCCAGAAGGCGCCGGTTGATCGAGCCGGAGATACCTGCGCTGACGCGAGTACGCGACGCTAAGCTGGTCGTACTTGGTTGGTTGAATACGATCTGATCGCAATATTGTTGCCATCGATGGACGAAAATCACACGATTACACGAGCAATTATTTGGTTGTGAAACCGTGAAAGCATCCAAATGTTCCATATAACCGTTGGATTAACGTGCACGGGACGGCCCGACGGGGAGAGTGCATCGATAAGAGTCATAGTATAGCCAACTACTCATTCCAAATTATCTATAACCAATCTAACAGCATATTTATACAATAGTTATATACTACACTATTAATATATGGTCCAACCTGTCATACACACATTGTGTCTTGAAGTCTGTGCTACAGCTGACTATAAATCTATAACCCGCTGCTATTCTCTCTTCTCATTTATCTTCTTAAAATATATTTACAGCCTGCTATTGTAATCCCTCCGTTTTTTAATAGATGACGCCGTTAACTTTTTCTCACATGTTTGGCCATTCGTCTTATTAAAAACTTTACGTAATTATAATTTATTTTATTATGAGTTGTTTTATCACTCATAGTACTTTAATTGTGATTTATATCTTATACATTTGCATAAAATTTTTAAATAAGACGAATGGTTAAACATGTGAGAAAAAGTCAACGGCTATTAAAAAACGGAGCTAATATTTGCTCTAACTGGGTATGGATGATAGGTCACGCCGTCACGTGCCAAAGTCAGAGTGGGCCGGTCCCGATACTGTTGTCTTGCGCCGCTGAGTTTCTGACCCCGCCGCGGCCTCCGCCGTTTCGTACGCCTTCTCCTCTCCCGCGCGCACCCGCCTCCGCCTCCGCCTTCCCCGGCCGCCGCCGCCGCCGCAGGAGAGGAGACGCAGGCCGCGGCGGCGTCAACCGCCGCTCTCCCTTTGCCACCATCTCCGCTCCCGACACACACTCCACTCCACTCCAGTCCACAGCACTAACCCATCGGTCCCGGCGATCCCCACTAGTGCCCCTCCTCGCCCGCTTGCCATGGCGGCTTGCGGCGCCGCGGCGGCGGAGTATTCAGCTCTCCTGTCCCTCTCATGTGGGCCTATCACTCGCCGCCGTTTCGCCGTCTCCTGCCGCGCTCGACCGCCCGGCAACCTCAGGTGAGTGCCTGACCAATCTGCTGCTTCCTGCTTGCTGGGAGTAGCTGGGGGACACGCGATGTGTTCGAGAAAGTGTCCATGAGCGAACGCATTTGGGATTGCGCGGTCGTTGCGTGCAAACGAGGCCGTTTGTGCCAAACGTTCTCTCACTGTTCCACCCGCTCGTGCAAAATGGATGTCGCCGAGCATCGATCGTGGCATGTTGTCGTGTCTCAACCCATTAGTCGAGTAGGAATATCTGTTAATACTCTGTCCAGTGGTGAACGAATCTAAGCTGACTTAGAGGCTGCTCTGCACGGTTAATCTGCAGTGCTCGAGCTAATGAAATTTCACATTAATCTTCTGAAAAAGCAGTGTGTTTCAGTGTGCTAAGTCATTTTGCAAAACATGGTAAAGTCGCTCTATTCCATATTGGTCTAGAAATCCCTGGGTTTGCGCATTCTAGTTGGTAGAGTTCACATGAAGGTTTTTGCGCTTGACTCATGACTGACAGCTTCTGTGTGGTAGTGCACAGCAGAAGAAGAAGCGAGGGAAAAACATTGCTCCAAAACAGCGCTCTTCAAATGCAAAACTCTTGCTTACTACTGAGGAAAATGGACAGCTTCCAAGTACCAGTTTGAGGACTTCTATGGAACGTCCTCAGAAGAGTACATCCAGTGAGGACGATACCAATGGGGCTATTAGCCAGATAGATGAAAAAATTGCAGCCATTGGTAATGAACAGCAAGAGGTACTGCCTTACTGGGGTGGTCATATACTTATATCAGCCTATCAGGGTATCCTGGTGCACTTCCACACCTCCTTCAAACAAGCTAGCTAATTTAAAGAGATATGCTTCTACATTCATAGATCAAGGATTATTGAACTTTTGTTTATGTGACTTCTGTGCAGTATGTCAGAAAAAAACATTAAAAAGAAAAGGCACAGTCATATTGCAGAACCATGATAACATAGGATTAAAACATTTAAATTGCTATTCATTTCCTTTGGACTGATTATGCATTGTCGCTTCCTAGGAGGGCAACCTTGTTATAAATGTTTTTCCCTATTTGGAATAGAGTTCATCCTTATGTAGTATTATGCAGAAATTCGTCTGATAAAGGATTGTAATGTTTATTTTCACTCCTCAGTTTGCCATGTTCATCCTTATTTAGTACCAATACCAATATGCTAAATTGCCTCTCAATATCTTAGCAGTTATCACCAGGCCATCCACAATAACCTTAGAGCTCGCATCGTCTCCACCAGAACTAGAATGATACTGCTTTGAGCGAGACACTGCTACCTAGTTGTACTATGCAAGCGTGTAGTCTTTCTTATGTCCTTCAGAAATTGTTTCATTTTTCATAAGAATTTCTCCTCTTATATATTAACACAGAGGTCAAAGGATAAACATTTCGAATCAGACTTTCAACTTGAAGATTTTGGGGAAATGATACAAAACATGGAAAAGAGTATGGAATGCTTTCTTCTCAAGTGTATTCATACATTCATGCATGATATCTGATGAAAATACATGAAAAATAATTTTTAAAAATCTGACATGGCTAGATATTCTGCTCCTAAATCAAGCTCGTCTTCAAGCAATTGAAGATGTTGACAAAATTCTTACTGAAAAGGAAGCTTTGCAGAAAAAGGTTGACACTCTAGAGATGAATTTGTCAAAAGCACTTGCAACCAAAGGGAACATAAATACAGATATCCCTGGTGATCATTTAGAGAAATTTACAAAAGAAATTTTGATAGAAAGTGCTCTAAGTGGAGGCAATCCAGCACATTTGTGTGAGTCTCCACTTTTCATGGAGCTGACTGTTCTAAAAGAAGAGAATATGCTACTTAAGGCTGACGCACAATTTCTTAAAGCAAAGATTGTTGAGTTTGCTGAAACAGAGGAATTCCTATTCAAATTGGAGAAAGAAAGGTCACTGTTAGACGCTACAGTTAGGGAGCTGGAAGCTAGGTTTCTAGTTGCTCAAACTGATATCTGGAAAGTTGTCCCTCTGCAATATGATGTTTGGATGGAGAAAGTAGAAAATCTGCAACACATGCTTGGATGTTTGAAAAATCATGTAGAGAAGTATGCTGCATTGTTGGATCAGCATGATGATCTGCATGACAAGATTGATGAGCTAGAAGCATCACTAAAAGAAGGGAAAACATCTGAGTTTTCTCCTTATGTTGTTGAACTTCTGCAACAGAAGTTGAAAGCAGCAAAAAGCCATCACCAAGCAGGCCATCAAGAAACAAACACTCACATTCAAGTATATCAGCAGTTAACTGAGGAATTTCAAGATAACCTAGGTAAACTAATAGAAGAAAGTGGCAGACTGGAGCATTCTGCAAATAGTATGCCATCAGAATTCTGGAGTCACATCCTGCTCATGATTGATGGTTGGTTCCTTGAGCGGAAAATACCAAATACTGATGCACGTATGCTGAGAGAAATGGCATGGAAGAGAGATGACCGTATCTGTGAAGCCTACTTTGCTTGCAAGGGTGCAAAAGAAAGTGATGTTATGGAAACTTTCCTAAAGCTATCGTTATCAGGAAACAGGTATTAAATTTATCTTGTGAATCACTTTATTTTTGATGGGTTCAAATATGAATTAGAAAACTTATCTGCAATTTTTTCATAAGATCTATACTACTTTAGTGGTGGTGTCCAAATCTGCCTCCAACGTCACGAGCAAACGTGTGGGGCCATAAGGTCTCAGCACATGAATGCTTTTGCTTTGATGTTATATGCCTAATTAAATAACTATGTTATAAACTTGTAATTTTTGCTTGTGCTTTTATCTCTTGTAATATCCATTACAACACACGGACCTTTAGCTAGTATTTTCTAATATATTATCAGTCAATGCAGTTCTGGCTTGCACATTGTCCATATAGCAGCAGAGATGGCTCCAGTGGCAAAGGTGATCCTGTACATCAATTCACACTTCCATCAAGTATTTGGTTCTGTCGGTGCCTTATCCACTCTCACTGCACAATATATCCTTTCTGTAGGCTATGTACCAAGAAAATGTAATTTCGTGAATTGCAGCCTTGCCTGATATAATCCACACAAGCTTAGCTCTATCTTGTTCACATCTGCAGTTATTTTTGCCTAGTAGTTGTCAACAATAATGCCAACAGCCAAGTACTGGCATTCCATTTTGAGTTGAAAAGATTGTATCGAGACTTTGCAACCAACAAGAACATGCAAAATAATGGAGAAATGCACTGAAAATTGTATTTAGCACTAAGTTCATGCATCTCAAAATTCAATTGGAATTATGTAGAAATTTCTTGGTTGAACTTCACATTGGCTGAAAATTGACTTAGAATGATAACATTATTTGGCTTACCTTTACTTATTAAATGCATACAATTTATTCAAAACCAGTTATACCAACAACTGATTAGTCAGAAAAGTAATGGAAGTCACCCACCACAAACCATGCCGTGTTTTGCACTAGAAATTCCATCCGATATTTGCTAGTAGGTGCCACATTGCCTGCTTAGTCAGAAAATCAACATGCCTGCTTGCTTGCTAGTAGGTGCCACAATGCTGGGCACATTAAAGTTGGTGATGATCAACATGGCCCTGATCAAGCACATGAGTAGGGAAATGAGTGATTTGATTCTTAATAGTTTTCTCCTATGTAAAGCGTTAAATATTTGTACATGAGGTTGAATTCATCTTCACATCAAAAACCAAGTACTTAGTCATATAATACAGGAATAATGGGTAGGATTAGTGTGCTGTATTGTTTGACAAGAAATTTCATAGCATTAATGAAAGTTCCCCATTTGTTAGGAACTTGCATTGTATAATTGATGGAAAATTTACAAGAACACCCTAAAAATATTTTATGTATTGGTTATACTCCTGAATTTTTAGTGTAGATTCGTGTCAGGTAAGTTCATCTCTACATGAGGTCTTCCCCTTCTGAATGAATTTTCCTATTTGCTACTAGCGTTCTAGAAGGTGCTAGGTTTGTTGCCTGCCTTCTAGAACAGGGGCCACTACCAGCAGTTTTCTTCTATATTAAGAAATAGACCATAAAGTCATAAACATTATATCTGTGTATGCAACTGCTCATAGCCTTAAATCCTAGTTATGAGAAAGATTAATTGGCTGTGGAAAGTAGTCTGCTGGCAATTTCATGTTTCAAAATCAAATAGATTATCTCAACCAGACCACATTCTGACTGGAAGTTGAAATGAGATAACTGTTACATGGGCAGTTATATTGAGAAATATTTGCAGAAATTCTTATGTAATTGTTTATACTTATCTTTCCATGCTGCTTGGATTTGAAGTATTGCTTATACTAATCAGCATTTTAATTGTGTAATCTCATTTAAGTTTGCTTAACAAAATGGTTCTTCAGGTTGGCGGTCTGGCAGATGTAGTTGCTGGTCTTGGCAAGGCACTTCAGACTAAGGGACATTTAGTAGAGATTGTTCTTCCCAAATACGACTGTATGCAACTTGACCAGATTACTAATCTTAAGGTTTGTGCTTGTTGGTTAGCCATGATTTTTTTTTACATGGTTTTGCATCTTTAATCTGAGCCTCTGAGGTAAGATTGTATTCTTGGTGATCCTGCAGGTTTTAGATGTTGTCATACAATCCTATTTTGATGGAAATCTATTCAGCAACAACGTGTGGACAGGAACTGTTGAAGGTTCTAAGCAACTCTATTGGACCTTATAAGAACTCAAAAAAAGTTAATAATTGTTTGCTAACTGCAATTCCAATATACAGGTCTTCCAGTCTATTTTATTGAGCCACAGCATCCTTCAAAATTCTTCTGGAGGGCCCAATACTATGGAGAGCATGACGATTTTAAACGTTATTCATACTTTAGCCGTGCAGCACTGGAATTACTTTACCAATCTGGGAAGAAAATTGATATAATCCACTGCCATGACTGGCAAACTGCATTTGTTGTAAGAACTGAAATTCATTTCGCTTGCTTTTTCATCAATAGCTGAAAACATATAAATTTTGCTGTTATTCATTTGCTAAGTTCTGGGTGTCAACTATTCTCTACCGTGTTCAAGAATATTGTATCTTACACTTAGATTTCAGGCACCTCTATATTGGGATATATATGCAACTCGAGGCTTCAGCTCAGCTAGAATTTGTTTCACTTGCCACAACTTCGAATACCAAGGTACAGCACCTGCTCCTGATTTATCATATTGCGGCCTTGATGTTGAGCAGTTGGATAGACCAGACAGGATGCAAGACAATGCACATGGAAGAATAAATGTTGCCAAGGTATAGAATAGAGAAATAGCAGTTGTTTTGAATTCTGTACCTTAAAAGTCATGATTTTTATATTTTTGCTTCTTATTGGTTTCAGGGTGGAATTGTTTATTCCAATATTGTGACAACTGTATCACCAACATATGCTTTAGAAGTGCGCTCAGAGGTAACACCAGCAACTCTGTTTTCTAAACAACTATTACAAATTCAATATCAGCTTCACACACTTTAGATGTTTTCTTTCAACTGTAGATACATGATCAACCTCTCAAATAGTACATATTTTTTTTTGTAACATTAGTATTTATACTTAGAGTAATTGACTACACAAAGGTCGATGTATTTATCTGATAGACCAAATCTTTTTTCGAGGCAACATTTATGTAAGCTGTTAATGTACAAGTAATGTGAAAAATTAATATGTTTATTTGACAGGCACTTCTTCATCTAAAACAAGTGGCATTTCTTAGTCCATGTAGGATTAACTGTCTGCATTTGCTGTCCTTGCTTTTCTTTTGGCCTTTGCCCCAGAGTAAAAATTGCTAGCTCAAAACATATGGCATAAGTAAACAAGGTTTGAAGAGACTTCAGTGAAGGCCTTTTATGTCTGACATTGTTATGCAATTTTTTTTAATTGTTTTAAGAATTTTCAAGGCATTTTACTTGATATGTTACTAATGAATTAGGGGTCTGATATAAGTTGCCCATCATGACCTTTTTTATTGGTCAGGGTGGTCGTGGTCTCCAAGATACACTTAAAATGCATTCCAGGAAATTTGTGGGGATACTTAATGGAATCGACACAGGAACATGGAACCCTTCCACAGACAGATTTCTTGCTGTGCAATATAGTGCTACTGATCTTCAGGGGAAAGCAGCAAACAAAGCATTTCTCAGGAAGCAGCTAGGGCTGTATTCTGAGGATGCCTCTCAACCACTGGTATGAATTTCAGTTCTACGCCCATCTTAACTAATTATATGGCTATCTATTCATCTATTGTAGCCTTTTTAATGTAATCAAGTCATTTCATTGTTTTTTCTTGAAAACGCCAGAGAATTGCATTTCATTTCATTTAGGGGAAGAGAATAAAGGAAAAATACAAAGTAGGAGAGACCAAAGCCTCCTACACACCCAAGCCCCGGCCAACTAGCTGCCTAGGTTTGCCGAACCACTAAGAAACTTTTGGAGGGCAGACGCTCCCACTATACACCAAAGATTACCCTCATTCTCTACCACCTGCAAGACCGTTGCAACATTAGGACTGGCGCCATTGAAAACACAGTCATTGCGATGCTTCCAAGTCTCCCAAGCCACTAAGATAACCAAGGAATTGAGCCCTTTTCGCACGTCCTTTGGCCAGTATTTTGTATATTGGCTCCACCACAGCAGCTTTTTATAACAAGCCCCTTGATTTGTTTAACCACTTTTTATAACAAGAAAGTACTTCTGTTAGGGGAGAATACCATTTAAAAATCACATATCTGAACTCTGTTTTCTCCAGTTCAAGAAAACCCCTTTTGAGTTTTGAACTTTATATCATTTTCATTTTTTGTTGGTATTATTCGTTTAGATTAGCTGTCTCCTTTTGTTTTGTTTCTTGGAGTACAGTCTCTATTGAAATGAATTAGTCTCGTAGTTTATGTTCAGCTTTGATCCTCATTTTGTGCCTTTTAATGACCATGGTTTTCTGAGGCAGGTAGCCTGCATTACGAGGCTAGTTCCTCAAAAGGGTCTACATCTTATCAGGCATGCAATATACAAAACAGCTGAGTTAGGAGGACAGTTTGTACTCCTGGGTTCAAGTCCAGTTCCACATATTCAGGTCTGTATACTCATCGAGTGCCTCATTTTATTTTCTCAACTGCAGCTCACATTTGGCCCTATGAGTTCTTGATTTGCCATGGATATGTCTGGTTCCATAGTTTTATGTATATAATTTATTTTCTTCTACATCTTGGCTGATCTTGTTACTGTGAACTGATCGTTGTGCATTTGTATCACAGAGGGAATTTGAGGGTGTTGCAGACCAATTCCAGAAGAATAACAATATTAGGTTAATTCTGAAATATGATGAAGCTTTGTCTCATTGTATTTATGCGGCATCTGACATGTTTATCATTCCATCAATGTTTGAGCCTTGTGGCCTTACTCAGGTGATCTATCCGTACATATTAAATTATAGATCTTCCATTTACCAACCAAATAGGCCTACAATTGCTAAATGTGCGCCAGTGTGCCCACATAGCTTGCTTGGGTTCAAATTGGCATTTGTGAGCTATTATCACAAGGCATGGATTTAGACTAGGTTTTACTTTGATCTAAATATCCCATACAAGTCTTACATGGTTGTGTCATCCAAATAATTTTCTTTTATGAAATTAGCCACATTTTACTAACCATTTTACATGGTTGTTGACATTTTATTCTTTTTCATGCCCAAGTCTGACAAGTTTTTATCAACCAGATGATAGCTATGAGATATGGTTCTGTGCCAATTGTTCGACAAACTGGTGGATTGTGTGATAGGTGATTTCTCCCTCAAACATTTCCTTTGCATAGTATATTCTGATATATCTGTTGTGTTCTACTTTTCCAGTGTTTTTGATTTTGATGATGAAACTATACCTGTGGAGCTGCGGAATGGCTTTACATTTGCTAGGACTGATGAGCAGGTGAGTTTTACAATGGAATGCACTTTCAAATTTGGATTTCTAATGTTTTATGGGTAGAGCTCACGTGGGATGCCTATTTTGGTAGGATCTAAGCAGTTGCTTGGAAAGGGCATTCAGCTACTACAGCAGAAAACCTATGGTTTGGAAACAGTTAGTGCAGAAGGATATGCAGATTGATTTCAGCTGGGATTCTCCAGCTTCACAGTACGAAAACCTTTATCAGAGTGCTGTTGCTCAGGCAAGGGGAGCGGCTCAAACATAAACCTTTTCATGATGACATTGTGAGCTTAGATTCTCCCAAGCGCAGAGACAATCGTCAGTTTTATCATATCTGAACCAGGCATATGCTGAAGAAATATTGTTCTTCTCACATTCACAGAATTCACACATCGTGATCCTTGCTGTTGCCATTCCCGAAAGAACTGAGAAAGAGTAGTCTTACAGTTGATCAAGATATTGCATTTTGCAGTCAGTGCACGGAACTAGTTCTGGGTTTAATGGGGATGAGTAATCATAATCTATACTGGATTGCCCCCCTCTAAATTCCCCCCAACCGTTAGTTTTTGTGGGAATGCAAGAAGTAAATATGTGCACTGTAGGGTGACATTCGCATACATGATACTGTACGGTTTATTCAGATCAACGTTTGGGTAATGTGACTACTTTTGAGTTTGAGAGATTTGCGTGCTCCGTTCTAACCTTCTAGGGTGTGTTTAGAAAATGGGTTAGGAGAGGTGGGATTGGGAAATGGAAATGAATAAAGGGATAGGATGAAATGGGGTGAGAAGAATGGGTGGCTAAGATTGAAGCTTACCCTTTAAGGGGTGGGAAATCATATCCCAAACCCATTTTCCAAACACAGCCCCAAGGTTATAAATTTTTTTTTTGAGGGACCAAGGTTATAAATTCGTCGTCTGAAATTGACATTTTGTTTTGCGTTTTTGCATGTGATTATTTGAGTCCGCGTACATTTCCATGTACCATGGGGTATTCCGTTCCATACCGCCAGGCAAACTGATTTCCCAGGAACAAATCAGATAAAAATTATTTTACACAATCAGGTCCATTGTACTTCTTTCATCAACCAACCAGATAACATTGTTTTACACAATCTGAACGAACGAAGCAAATATTCGGGTACGCGGAAAGAGGAGAACGTCGCGCGTCTCACCGCAGCCTGCATGAAAGCAATGGACCTCACCGCCGTTGCTCGCCGGAGATCCACACTCACTTGCCGGGGACGAAGTTGGTGGCGTAGGCCCATGCGTTGTTGTTGACGGGGTCGGCGAGGTGGTCGGCCAGGTTCTCCAGTGGCCCCTTGCCGGTGACGATGGCCTGGACGAAGAACCCGAACATGGAGAACATGGCGAGGCGGCCGTTCTTGATCTCCTTCACCTTGAGCTCGGCGAACGCCTCGGGGTCGTCGGCGAGGCCGAGCGGGTCGAAGCTGCCGCCGGGGTAGAGCGGGTCGACGACCTCGCCGAGCGGGCCGCCGGCGACGCGGTACCCCTCGACGGCGCCCATGAGCACGACCTGGCAACCCCAGATCGCCAGGATGCTCTGCGCGTGGATCAGGCTGGGGTTGCCGAGGTAGTCGAGCCCCCCCTCGCTGAAGATCTGGGACCCCGCCTTGAACCACACGGCCTCGCCGAACTTCACGCCGTTGCGGGCGAGGAGCTCCGGGAAGACGCAGCCGAGCGCGCCCAGCATGGCCCACCGGCAGTGGATCACCTCCAGCTCCCGGTTCTTGGCGAACGTCTCCGGGTCGGCCGACAGCCCGGCGGTGTCCCAGCCGTAGTCGCCGGGGAACTCGCCGGTGAGGTAGGACGGCGGCTCGCCGGAGAGCGGGCCGAGGTAGAGCACGCGGTCGGCGCCGTACCACGGGCTCCCCGACGCCGCGGCGGGCTTGGGCTTGGCCGCCGACTTGCGCATCGTGACGCGGCCCTCGCCGAACACCTTGGCATTGGCGACCGCCTTGCCGGCGAGGGCGGCAGGGGAGGAGAGTGCCATGGTGGACGCCGCCATTGACGCGAGCCTAGGACTAGGAGGAGATGGCCACAGATGCTTTTGGAATGTGTGTCTTTTGAGCTCGTGAGCTGCTGTGGTGAGGAAAGTAGTGAGCTCGAGTGGGGTTTAAATAGTGGCGGGAAACGGGGACGCTGCAAGGATGGGCCTATCTCTTGCGATCGTCTGGTTGGATACTTTGGATAGCTCGCTTCGTCTATCTCGCCACCTGTGCACGCTTTCTGCTGACGTGGAGATCAGCCAATCAGCAGACGACGGGGTGGACATCTCGATATGAGTCGATAGAGTAGCAATTATTAGATCCTAGGCCCTGTTTGGATCCGGAGGAATAGCCCTCCGGAATCTCGTTATTTAAGAGTATTAAACGTAAATTACTGACAAAACCCATTCCATAATCCCTAAGCTATTTTGCGAGACGAATCTAACGAGGTATATTAATCCATGATTTGCTACAGTAATCAACTGTTAATCATGGATTAATATACATCATTAGATTCGTCTCGCAAAATAGCCTAGGGGTTATGGAATCGGTTTTGTCGGTAATCTACGTTTAATAATCCTAAATAGCAAGATTCCAGAGGGTTATTTAATAGCCCGGAGGATCCAAACAAGGCCTTAGCTAGGCTAATGGGCTAATATCTTGTTCGGACAAATAACCCAGCTTGGCCCATGGGCTATAATAATCCATAACATCTCTCTTCGTTTAGCTTTGGAATTCCTTTAGGCTGCGTTTGGCTAATGGGTTATGTCTAATGGGAAATAGAAATGATATCTTGTTGGAATGAGGTGGTAGATTATATGAAGAGAAATTGTATCCTATGTTTGGTTAGATGGATGGAAAAGGAAGTTTCTAGACTAATGACCAAAATACCCCTCCTTGCAATAAGTGGCAGAACATAGACAGATAGAAAGGGGTCAAAATGGCAAGGGGCAATATGGTAATTTCGCCTAGCACTCTATCCACCCCTCAATCCAGCAGGATTGTGCATCCCATTTCCAATGTATCCAAACAGCATAAATCTGGAAAAGGGAAATGATATCCATTTCCCATCCTCCTAATCCCATTAGCCATACGTAGCCTTAGCTTTTATCACTCGTGTCAGATTATCACACGCAGCTTGAAGAGGCTATTAAATACTCTGTAGCTAATATAGTACTCTCTTCATCTTATGAGACTTCTTAGTCAAACGTTTTCAAGTTAAATCGAATTTATAGAGAAAATAGAGTAACACTTTTAACAAAAACAAACATAGTATCAAAATCTATTCAATGTTATATTTAATAAAACTAATTTGATATTTTACATGTTGCTAATTTTTCTATAAATTTGATTAAACTTTAAAAAGTTTGATTAAAAAAAAAGAGAGTCAAAGTGTCTTACAAGATGAAGTGGAAGGAGCAGTAACTTTGATATATTGAAAAGAAAATACCATGGTTCAAGCCTATTCATTATTGTCAGTGTTACGGATAAGTCATATTTCCTATACTTAGGTTCGTATTGTGTGGAAGTACCATATACCTAATGTTATACGAGAGCGGAAAGGTATATCCAAACAAGTTAATAAAGTGAGCCTGAAAGGAAATTATCTTTGCCGGAATAGAAAGTGTTAAGAGTCTAACCTAGAGAAGACAAGCTTCTTCATGTTCTACTTGGAGAAGAAGGCGCTTACTAGTATAAATACAAGCCTCCCGTGAAGGGATGGACATCTAATCACGTCTCACAAGTCATAGCTAGAGCCTCATATAGAGACAATTCGGAGGAAGTCGAAGCCCTAGTCCAAGTCATAGCTAGAGCCTCATACAGAGACAATTCGGAGAAAGTTGAAGCCCTAGTCATTGATAAGATCTTGCTGAGCCGTAAGATTATATTCAACGGGTCAGATTAGCTAGTCTACTCCATCCATATAATCCGTGTGGTACTTTTCTCAGTTCATTACTTATAATAAGGGTTATTACTTAGCTTGAGAGCTCAAATCAGTATAAATCCTTATCTCTTGTCTTCTTGATATGATCTTGCATATACCTTGTTCTAACGTTTTTCATACTCTACAAATATTATTGACAACTATCATGAAAAAAAAAACCATGCAAAATGTGCATGTTAAAAGAGAAGGGAAATAGCTAGAGGAGCACTAAATTCCGCATAGCAAAGTTTATTTCTGCAGGTCTTCTTTGGCGATTTGTCCTGAATAATTGCTGGGAAGTGCACCTGAATGAATCCCTGATACAAGCAAGCAAAGACATCGATTCACGTGAGAGCAAATAACATCCATAATTAAGCTGTGTGTTCGGACGTCCATTTTCTCAACCCATATTGCTCGTTTTCCGCACGCACGATTTTCAAACTGCTAAACGGTGAGTTTTTTGTAAAAAGTTTCTATACGAAAGTTGCTTAAAAAATCAAATTAATCTATTTTTTAAAAAAATTAGCTAATACTTAATTAATCACGCGCTAATAGATCGCTCTATTTTCCGTGCTACTGTTCCAAGTTGGGAACAACCCATAGGGAACACAGCCTAGTTTAGCTAAACACAATGCAACATGTGTTTGCCATAATGCAATCAATCTTTGGACTGAACGTCTGAACCCTTTCGAAACAGCGCACTTTTCTTGAGTGTTCTGTGCTAATATTCCACTCCAGAAGCGCCCAGGTTCTTATCGATGCCACAACGAAAATGCAGCAGAATTTCTGGCTTACTACCTCTCTGCACTAGAGCATTATCACAACAAATCTGCTACTTTGATAGTTGATGCCTGGTAGTGACAAGAAGCACGAATCTTACCACGTACAGTGCGCGCATCAACCACATGAAAAGCATCTACTCACGGGGATGTGTCGGCTGTCAACTGAACACAAATTGCAGGGGTTGGTTCCTTCCATCTGCTTTCTCCACAAGTGAACATTCACATATGGTGTTCCATACTTTGATCCGCATCTGATTTATAGCCATGTGTTGCGAATTTGTGAATACCTCGCCATATTCGCAAGTTGGTGAACATATCACCAATTGTATTCGAGAATATAGTTGATTACAAGCCGTAACGTTTATTAGTGACTAAAAACAATTTATAGATAAAAAATTTATATATGTACGTATTATTAGCGACTTAAAGGTTAATGCTAAAAATAATTCACTATAAAGACCATCAAATTCAACTCTAAAATTAAGTTTAAATTTTAGCTACAACGAGTAAACATTGGAGCTAATCAATGTGAAGCCTTCTAGCCTTTGTTATTTTTGGCGTGGTTTTGCAAGTGTCTGATCTCATAATTTCCAAGTGATGGATAATTTTAAAATTTTCCCGAATCTTCATCCATTTATTTATGTATTTATTTTGTTATGGATCTTTTTACGTGTCAACACATGAGCTTGGGACTTGGGAGCCTGGCCAAGTGGTGCTAGATACTAGGAATAGTGTACAATGTATACAGAATTATAAGAGGTGAGCCACGCAAGCTGCCACTAACTACGCGGGTTAAACGGAATATTCCTTGCTAGTAAGATACAGGAGAACTTGTTCTTTTTCTTAACCTGATAATGTAGAATAAGGTAGCAGCAACTAGGAGCCTTCCCAAGTGACTAGGAGTAGGCTTCTCTCACATGACCGATGTCTCGATACACACATGGCACATGGAAATGAAACACTGCTTCTTGACCAAAAATCTGGGATTGGACCTCTGTTTATATTTCAGCCTGCTGGATTAGAAGGGAAGGAAAAAAAATTGGATGGAAATTGACAGATAGACCAGCCAAACGATCCAGAAACCAACTCCCTCACGTTGTACCAGTGGTTCAAAATCAAAAGAGGCAGGCAGAAAGGACCAACGAGGCAACGATCGAATCGTGTCCATGGTCTCCACCTCACGGGAGATTCTCCGCATCCACCGAATATCCACTAGGCGACGCCCCCGGCAAATGCTCCCAATTTTTTTCTCACATGCACTTTGTCACCTGTCAGAAACGTGACCCCTGTTATCCTGTACCATAAACTACAGTATTTGTACTTAGCTCCTGGCATCCAAAAATTATCATTTTCTCTGCACTATACCCTTATATACCTCGTGCGTAAGAATATCTCAATTCCTTTTTTTTCCCAATAAGTACTCCAATTCAGCCGCGTATAAACTCAGAAACACGTAGAGATTGTTTCTCACCGCAGCAGATTGTGGCAACCCAACTGCGGATCAAAAACCAATTGTTCCACACATATACCACTCGCCTGGGAAACCGGCAGAGCCACCCAAAAGATAGATGCGCCGAAAGCGACCGCCACCACCGGTCCACCGCGGCACACGCGACGCGAGAAGCAGAGAAGGATATTCCCCTCGCGGCTCCCCTCCGGATCCTTCCCCCACACACCGCAAGTCCGCAACGCGAGCCGCAAGCGCGCAGGCGCGCAACCGCGCAACGGCCGCACGAAAAGCGAAACCGAAAGACACAACCCCGCATCCCATTCCCGCGGGCCTCTCGGCTGCTTCCGGAAACTCGTGTTTTCTCTCACAATCCCTACTCCCACCCGCGCATCTTCGTAATATTCGCTCGGCATCTCCCCCCTCGCCCTCCCGCGCTCCCGGTATATAAGCCGACCCCCCCGCGGCCTCCCATTCTCCTCATCAGATCAAAGCAAGCAAACAACAACAAAAACCACTTCTCGTGGGTAGAAGAGAGAGAGAGCGAGGCGATTTCGACCAAGAAGATGGCCGGGATCGTGGTGGTGTTCGACTTCGACAAGACGATCATCGACGTCGACAGCGACAACTGGGTCGTGGACGGGCTCGGCGCGACGGAGGAGTTCGAGCGGCTGCTGCCCACCATGCCGTGGAACACCCTCATGGACACCATGATGGGCGAGCTCCACGCGAGCGGCAAGTCGCTCGCCGACGTCGCGGGCGTGCTCAGGTCGGCGCCGCTCGACCCGCGCGTCGTCGCCGCCATCAAGGCCTGCTACGGCCTGGGCTGCGACCTCCGGATCCTCAGCGACGCCAACCGCTTCTTCATCGACACCATCCTCGACCACCACGGCCTCACGGGTTACTTCTCCGAGATCAACACCAACCCGAGCGCCGTCGACGCCGCCACCGGCCGCCTCCGCA